AAATATCTATAGTGTCAGCTGCATATGATAGCAAACAATCACGGTAAAAACCTTTTTGATGTCAGATATTTACCACTGATTTAAGACGTCGTATACTTCTAGAGGGTCTAAATGGGGTTAACCAATAACCATGAAACAGCCAAAAAAAATTAAGCGTTAAGCTAAAAACTGTTTAATTCTAACCATTAGTCGTAAAAAAATTTAACCTCAAAAAAAAATTTGTTGGTAACAACTCATGGAATACTGTTAACCGTTAGTCGTAAAATAGCCAAAATTTTAACCGTTAGTCGTAAAAGCCATCACCCCATTGAGACCCTCCTTCTACTACAGTGAGCCCATAATTCTCAAATGCGACTTGTTTGGCTTTGACCGTGTAATCTTCGAAAATGAAATTTCCCCGAATTTCGCTTAGGGTTAAATCAGGTAATAATGACATCAATACTTAATTAAACGGGAAGCAAGCTTATCAAGCTTGCAATTGTTTGTTATATTTCGAAGACAAGCTAGAACTTAAGTCATAAATAATTACTATCATTCAAATCATCGCTCGGTGTCAGTGCCTTCTTGCTGCAAGTTTCTCGCAATTGTCTGAGGAAAAGAGAACACAAAAAGGTTAAAGCAGCGCGAATTGCCGTTGGAAGTTTCAGGAAAGTGCCTTCCGGATGCGCGCATCCTACAACGTTGCTGTAATCCAGTCCATTTCCCCCATCTCTCTCCCCTCCTCAAAAGAAATATGAAGGACCATTAAGTTCAACTTTTGATTATTACTGAAAGTCAAGCCACCTCCTATCTCTGATGGTATTTTCTTGTTGCCATATTTGTCACTGGATTAACGCCTTCAAAGGTAAGACCAGTGATGTTGTTATTTTCGAGCAAATTACCGATCCACTCCGTCCGTTTTTATCGATTAGAAATCACACCCTCAAGAAAATGAAAAGTTCACGAGTACAATGGGTCAGTTTTTACGCACAGGTAGCTTACTGTTTAAAGACAGAAGCCTTATTTGTACGCTGGATCTGATCGATCTCGTGATGCAAATCCAACCGTTCCAAAAGGGATGAACAATGACTGACGTTTTCGGTTAAACAGAGTAAGATGTTTCATTTTTGGATGCTCAAATCCATGATTAGCTAGAAAAGTGTGACGTGCCAAATAAAATACATTCATTTACATTTTTTAAAATTATTATTTTTGGCTTCAATCATGCAAATCACACCCGCTACAAAATGAAGAGCCTTTTCACTAAGACAATGAGTCGATCATCACGCACATATAAATGAATTCGTCGCGATGCTGGACTTCAAAGCTATGTGGTCTCACATATTGTTCATCATTCACATCGGCTAAGAATAGATTCGTTTTCAGTGACATTCATCTGATAAGTAAGCTGGTTATTTGGTAATAGCCCGCTGCAACAAAATTTTAAATCATTTATGCCTTATTGCGGACTGTTAGGAAATTTTCAAGAAGTTGTAGTAAAAGGTTATCTTTCTTGTTAGCCTAAGAATTGAACGCTTTAAACTCGAATGCATGTAACTTGATCCCAAGAGGCTTCATTGTAAATACGCTCTGACGGCCGGTACAAATCCAGATGGAAAACGAAGTATAATATTGATACTGCAGACCATTCTTTGCTTGTATTGGCAGTACAACATCATTGATTCCTCAAGATTATCAAATGCTCTAATGAAGGACTAACGCTCGAAACGTCAGCTTTAGAAACTCATTACGATGGCCAATTTACATTGTCAACTCAGTTGGTAAAGCCAAATTATTTTGGAATACCCCACCAAAAAAGCTTAGAAACTTACCCCGTTAGATTAATGTTGTTTATAGAAACTACGAATGGAGAAATTTCTCCTAGGAAAAGTTATGGTAAATGGTTTATTTTTTATTTTTGTCCTGTGAGTTTAAACTAATGTCGTGTTTCGCAAAAATCACAACTTAGATAAAATGAAAGGTGAAAAACCGAGTTTTTCAAACCATCGTTACCTCAAATCTTGGCAATCATCCTCATCAGTTACGAATAGATTGGTTTTTACCCATGTATTTCAAATAAGTAAGCTCATTACTTAATGATCATCATCATCACTGCAGTTTGTCGGGGGCGAAAATTACTGTTTCATTTAGGTCTGGTCAGTTTCCTCCACGCAGCTCTGTCCTTCACTTTCCGCTGCCAGGAACTCCTGTCTATATCTAGCTTCTTCAGGTTTCTTTTAACCGTGTCTTTGAATCTCAGCCTTGGTCTACCCTGATTGCGTTTGCCCTTGCATAACTGTGAATGGAGTAGTTGCCTAGGGAAACGCTGGTGATCCATCCTCTCAACATGGCCGAGCCATTTAAGGTTCATTTGTATTAGCAGACAGTCCAAGTTTCAGTACCGCACAATAGAGAAGCCAGTACTGTCGCTCTGTACACTTTGCATTTCACACGAACAGACACGTGTCTCTCTCTCAAGTTTCCGAACGCAGAACTTGCTCTTCCCATTGTGAGAGATAGTTCATCCTCCAGCCTTGCATTCTCTGAAACAGTACTCCGAGGTACTTGAAAGTCTTACACTTGACTAGTGATTCTGTGCCAGTGCTGATCTCTTCTGGTAGTGATGTTGATAACTGGAACTTTGGCGGTTGGTAAAGGCATTCTGTCTTCTTGATGTTGATTTTGAGGCTGAATTGATGGGCTGTTCTCGCAAATTTCTGCAATAAAGATTGCATATCTTCTGCGTATGCACTGTGTGTAGCTAAGGCACTGTCATCGGCAAAGAGCATTTCTCTTACTACCTCCGTCGATGTTTTACTCTTAGCTTTGAGCTGTGCCACATTGAACAGGTCTGCTTTTTTCCTTGTTTGAATGTATACTCCTTCTGAAGTGTCTTTGAAGGCCATCTCAAGCATCGCTGACAGATAATAGCAAGAAGAGTGTAGGCGCCAGTACACACCCTTGTTTAACCCCGTTGCTTACTGAGAAGTTTTCAGACACTGAACCACTTATTGCCACGCTAGCTTACATACCTGTGTGGAGTGCCTCGATCAGGTTGATAAACTTCTCTCTGCAACCATATTTCCTGGGTACCTGCCAAAGTCCTTGTCGCGATACAGTATCGAAGGCTTTACCGAAGTCAATGAAGACTACAGAAAGTGGCATGTTCTGTTCGATACACTTTTCTTGAACCTATCTCAAGCAGAAAATCAGAGATGTGTTCATTGAGCCTGTTCAGAAGTACGTGAGCGAGAATCTTACCAACACTGGCCAGCAGTGATATAGCTACCTCGGTAATTTGCTCAATCTCCCCTGTCACCTTTCTTGAACAAAGGCATGATACTTGCTTCCTTCCAGTCCTGAGGTACTTTTTGGGCTTCTCATATCTCTTGGATGAGCTTGTACAAGCAGTTGATAAGCTGAGCACCACCAAATTTTCACTCTTCTGCTGGAATTTCATCCCCTCCTGGAGCTTTACCATCCTGTGTTGACCTGATAGATGCCATTAGTTCATCGAGAATTGGTGGTTCATCCAGACTGGATACAACTGGTCACTGGACTAGGGCCTCTTTAGCCTCCTCAGCGAGATCACTGGGGTTGTTTAGTAGTTGGTCGAAGTGGTCTGCAGATCTGTCCCAGATCTTGTCTTTCCCCTGCGAAACTGATTCATCGTCTACAAACCTTTAGTTTTAGCATAACATGATTAGCACCACAGTCCGCTCTTCTCATTGCTCTGGTTTCCAATACATCCATTACGTCTCTCTGTCTTACTATGATGTAGTCTAACAAGTACTAGTGCTTGGATCTTGGGTGCATCCATGTCATCTTGTATGTATCCTCGTACTTGAATAGGGTGTTGGTTCCACAAGATTGTACTCTGAACATAGTAAAAGTATAAGCTCTCCGTTAGCATTGCACTTGCCTACTCCATGACTGCCTAGTACTCCTCTCCATTTCTCAGTGTCTGAATCAACTTTAGCATTAAAATCCCCAACGAGTATCAGTCTGTCATTAGACGGTACAAGTCTGATTGTCTCACGAAGGTTATTATGGAACTCTTCCTTCACCTCCTCTGTGTTGGTCATTGTTGGGGCATACACACTGAGGAAAGTGGCATACATCTTTTGCTGTAATGGGAGTCTCATAGTCATTATTCTGTCGTTGATTGGTACTGGTTCCTCGTCCTTGTTTTCTGACTGACCATTTCATGAAACTGCTTGCAAAGAATTTAAGTGCTGCAAGCTTTTGCTGGACTAGCAGCACATTATCGGTAGATGGAGGTGTTTCAGTGGCAAGGATAGGCCAAGACAAACTGACTCCAATATCTGTTGCAGTGACTGACCAGATGATAGGTTAGTTTGTCTCTGCTCTTTTTGAAATTTACGACAGACGTGTTGATCACCTACAAGGATGTCCATTCTCACCCCGAGTAAGTGGGAGTCGTCCACCACAGACCTTAAGACAAATATTCTTTTTAATTCTGTCAGGATGCCAAGTTTCACACTCCACGCCCTCTATGGGGCGGGGCTGCCGGTTGAGTCGACTTCCCAACCCATGAGACGGGTAGTACTGGTTTTTATGGTTATCCAGTAGCAAGCAAACCAATACCTGACTTGACTTGGTGATAAACTGCTAGAAAAACATTTTCAAATGTTCCCAGAACGTTGTAGCAAGAGGTTAATCGATCCTTCTAATTTTTTTAAGAAACCCGCGACCTTTCAAAAACCACCTAATTGATGGCGAGACACCCGACACACGACCATTAATCAAACTCAAGCATGCGTAATTTTTTTTTTACTTGATAATATAAACAAACGAAGCAAACGAAGTCAATATTGTGAATTCTAACACTTCATAAAAAGGTTCCAGTTGTAATCAAATCGGCTTCACATATGGGTTCCTCTTTGTATTGTCTCATTATGAATCCAGATTATCAATTCGTTTGGTTAACTTGTGTTACTAAAAACAATGTTTCTCTAATAACAGGGGAGGATGGCAATGGAAAAATAACGGCAGAAGTCATGATAACTTCCGTGAACATCGCCTTACTAGTAGCCCTGTTCCTGCTAAACTCCAATCGCATTCAGAAAGCCATTGAGATATGCAACGAATGTTTAATTTTGCTAAATAACAGCGATCAAAACAGCAAAGATCAATTTGATTCAGTACTACTACATATTTACAGCGACATCTATACAGTTCTTTACAGCGCTTATCGTCATATCTCTGACTACGTAAATGCGGAAAGATACGGCAAGAAACTGCTTGTCTTCTACAACAAGTGTGGAATTCTGTTTTATAAACTTGGCGAAAACCTAAAAGCAAAGGAGTATGTTGCGAGGGCCCTTACTATAACGACCGAAATTGGCGACAAAAGCGGAGAAGCATCCTGTTACGTAAACCTAGGTGCTGTGTTTCAGTCGCTCGGGCAATACGACGAGGCTAAAGAGTATCTCAAAAAGCGCTCGTCATCAAAACGGAAATTGGCGACAAAGAAGGAGAGACAACTGTTTACGAAAAGCTAGGTACTGTGTTCCGGTTGCACGGGCAATACGACAAGGCTATGGAGTATCTCCAAAAAGCGCTTGTCACCAGAATTGAAATTGGTGACAGAAAAGGAGCGGCAACTGACTACGGAGAACTAGGTGTTGTGTCTCAGTCGCTCGGAGAATACGACAAGGCTCAAGGGTATTTCCAAAAAGCGCTTGTCATCATGACTGAAATTGGCGACAGAAATGCAGAAGGAACATGTTATACAAACCTAGGTGCTGTGTATCAGTCTCTCGGGCAATACGACAAGGCTATGGAGTATCTCCAAAATGCGCTTGTCATCTCAAAGGAAATTGGCGACAGAAAAGTAGAGGCAACTGTTTACGGAAACCTAGGTACTGTGTCTCAGGCGCTCGGGGAATACGACATGGCTAAAGAGTATCTCCAAAAAGCGCTTGTCATCACAACTGAAATTGGCGACAGAAAAGGAGAAGGACCATGTTATGGGAACATAGGTACTGTGTCTCATGCGCTCGGGGAATACGACAAGGCCAAAGAGTACCTCCAAAAAGCGCTTGACATCGCAACTGAAACTGGCGATAGAAAAGGAGAGGAAACTGTTTACGGAAACCTAGCTTCTGTGTTTCACTCCCTCGGGCAATACGACAAGGCTCAAGAGTATCACCAAAAAGCGCTTGTCATCACAACGGAAATTGGCGACAGAAAAGGAGAGGCAACTGTTTACGGAAACCTAGGTGCTGTGTTTCATTCGCTCGGGCAGTATGACAAGGCTAAAGAGTATCTCCACAAAGCGCTTGTCATCAAGACGGAAATTGGCGACAGAAGAGGAGAAGGAACATGTTATGAAAACCTAGGTGGTGTGTTAAATTGGCTCGGGCAATACAACAAGGCTAAAGAGTATCTCCAAAAAGCGCTTGACATCACAACTGAAATTGGCGACAGAAAAGGAGAAGGATCATGTTATGGCCAGCTAGGTAGTGTTTTTGAGTCGCTAGGTGAATACGACAAGGCTAAAGAGTATCTCCACAAAGCGCTTGTCATCAAGACGGAAATTGGCGACAGAAGAGGAGAAGGAACATGTTATGAAAACCTAGGTGGTGTGTTAAATTGGCTCGGGCAATACAACAAGGCTAAAGAGTATCTCCAAAAAGCGCTTGACATCACAACTGAAATTGGCGACAGAAAAGGAGAAGGATCATGTTATGGCCAGCTAGGTAGTGTTTTTGCGTCGCTAGGTGAATACGACAAGGCTAAAGAGTATCTCCACAAAGCGCTTGTCATCAAGACGGAAATTGGCGACAGAAGAGGAGAAGGAACATGTTATGAAAACCTAGGTGGTGTGTTAAATTGGCTCGGGCAATACAACAAGGCTAAAGAGTATCTCCAAAAAGCGCTTGACATCACAACGGAAATTGGCGACAGAAAAGGAGAAGGATCATGTTATGGCCAGCTAGGTAGTGTTTTTGAGTCGCTAGGTGAATACGACAAGGCTAAAGAGTATCTCCACAAAGCGCTTGACATCACAACTGAAATTGGCGACAGAAAAGGACAAGGAACATGTTATGTAAACCTAGGTGGTGTGTTTACTTGGCTCGGGCAATACAACAAGGCTAAAGAGTGTCTCCAAGAAGCGCTTCTCATCAGAACGGAATTTGGCGACAGAGAGGGAGAGGCAACTGACTACAGAAAGCTAGGTACTGTGTTTGAGTCCGTCGGGCAACACGACAAGGCTAAAGAGTATCTCCAAAAAGCGCTTGTCATCACAACTGAAATTGGCGACAGAAAAGGAGAAGGAACATGTTATGTAAACCTAGGTATTGTGTCTGCGGCGCTCAGGAAATACGACGAGGCTAAAGAGTATATCCAAAAAGCGCTTGACATCACAACCGAAATTGGCGACAGAAAAGGAGAAGCATCATGTTATGAAAGCTTAGGTAGTGTGTTTACTGGGCTCGGGCAATACGACAAGGCTAGAGAGTGTCTCCAAAAAGGGCTTGTCATCGGAAGTGATATTGGTGATAAGTTAGGGGAAGCACAACATCTTTTAAACCTTGGAATTGTGTTTAGAGCTGTTGGTGATTATGAAGCTTCAGAAGTATGCTTTGAGAAAGCTTTATCTATATCCAGAGATATTGGATGTAGAAGAAAAGAGTTAGAAATCCTTAAGAGTTACGCCTTTTTGTATTTATGTCAAAAAAGAATCAAAGACTCCCTTTCGTGTCTTCATCTGTGCATTGAAATGTACGAGGAGCTGAGATATTTCTTGGGCGCCAATGATGAGTTCAAAACATCATTTCTGGAAGAGTTTGTAACATTTCCCTACAAGATTCTTTGTACTCTGCTTTGTGGCTCTCGAAACACTCGTGATGCTCTTTATGTTGAGGAGTTGGGTCGAGCAAGAGGCCTATCAGACTTGATGGCAAAGAAGTACTCGGTTGAAACGCACATCTCTGCCAATCCACGATCTTGGTTTGGCATTGAAAACATTTTAAGAGAGAAAAATAACTGTACTTGTCTGTACATTTCTTATTTTTACTATGATCTGTTTTTGTGGATCTTGAAATCAAGTGGAATCCTTCACTGTAAAATAATATCGCTAGAAGAGAATCTCGTTCAGGCTGGGTTGCCCAAAGATTTGCCTTTGAGTGAATTCTTGGCTGATAATTTCCGGAGTCTTGGTATTTTGCCCACTGGAGATTGCGAAGATCGGTCTTTAAATATGGCTAAATTGCAACCTCTCTCTCCCGAACAAAAGAGCTCAGCAAGAATGCGACTCATGGAAGAGGACGAGGAAAAGAAAGTCATTTCAAGTCTATCTTTGTGTTACAAATTGTTTATTGCCCCCGTTTATGATTTGCTTGAGGAGCCTGAAGTCATTATTGTTCCTGACCCCAGGTTGTACAAAGTTCCTTTTGCAGCCCTGAGTGAAAAGGAGGGAGCCGAATACCTGTCGGAGACTCATAGGATCCGTGTCATTCCTTCTTTGACGACACTCAAAATCATTCAAGATAGTCCAGAGGACTATCACAGCAACACTGGTGCCTTGATAATAGGCAATCCCAAGGTTGATGGGCTGCCACCATTGCCAGGTGCAAGAAAGGAAGCGGAGATGGTCGGACGACTGGTGGGTGTTCCGCCTTTGGTAGAAGAGGAAGCAACGAAGCAGGCAGTACTTGAGCGGATAAGTTCAGTGAGCCTGATACATTTTGCTGCCCATGGTGACGCCGAAAGGGGAGAAATTGCCCTCTCTCCCACTCCTATTCCCAACAGTCAAAATGCTATCCCACCACAGGAAGCTTACATGTTGACGATGGCTGATGTCTCACGAGTGAAAGTCAGAGCTAAACTGGTGGTACTTAGCTGCTGTCACAGTGGAAGTGGAGAGATAAAAGCCGAGGGAGTTATAGGAATTGCCCGTGCGTTCTTAGGATCCGGTGCTCGCTCAGTGTTGGTTGCGCTGTGGGCCATTTCAGACAAAGCAACAGAGCAGCTGATGAGTCGGTTCTACGAACACCTAGTTAAAGGAGAAAGTGCCAGTGAATCCCTTCATCAGGCCATGAGGTGGATGAGGAAAAAAGGCTCTACCTATGTGTCTGAGTGGGCTTCGTTTACGCTGATTGGAGATGATGTGAGGCTCGAGTTTGACAAGCAGAGGTAAGACTCGGTGAGAACAGGTATTTCATAAATTAAAGTTAATTAATTAAGGTGGCTATGACTTACTGGTCGCTGACGGCCGGCAGTTATCTTTTGTAACCTTGAATATCAAGGCTAGTTTCATGCCGTTTTTTTTTTTGTTCCTTTCAAAGAGTAACAATTTATTCTCCCAGTTAGGTGTAAAATATAGAATTTCGAAGGCGTCCCTCTGCCAATCAGATATAAGTGTACATTTGCCTACATAATGCGCCTGGTATAACTGTATTTGCTTTGTCTAAGAAAATGTTGATTAAGTTATTTTTAATTGTTTTTCTTTTTTACGTTTGTTACAGGAAAGAAGATGAGAATAGCTTGAAGTAAACAGACCTTAGAGACTTAGCTGGATAAACAAATAGATGAAGTACAGCAAATACTCTATCGGTTATTTCATTGTGTAATTAAAGAAGGGAAATCTTCAATTAAGCATATTAATTTCAGTTTTTTGCGTTCTCTTTTCCGATCTTCTCAGAAGGAGGTATTGGTTACGTATCCTAGAATTTTTTTTTTCGGCATGAAAATTATCTTATCCGGCCGATATAATTAGCACGAAACATTATTGACTTAGGGCTCTTAAGTGAAGTGAAATCAGGAAAGTTAAAACAGTAGTTTAAGCATCAAAAACGAGCCAGTCAAGTCTCTCAGGTTTTTCTCTCAAAGCTTTTTGTTATAGGTTTCGTTAACAGAATCTTAAATTTTTGATGTAAATCTCAACAGAAACCTTTTCTTTTGGTCAGTTCTAGTACAACTTCTAAGTGCTTTAAAGCTGAGGAATAAAATATAAGGATTTCAAATAGAACCATGGAAAAAGCTATCAAGGTCAAGAATTTTATTACTATAAAGTGGAAAAATTACAGCTGCAATATTTTGAAACTGGTTCAACTAGTCACTTACGCATTGTAATGTTTGAAATAATCTGTTTGCATGGTGATTTGATCGTTTTTAAGTCAGGTCATTATCAAAATGTTGTTTAGGGAATCAAAATATTCCTGTTATTTACTACACTTTATACACTTTTTTGGGCAAAGTTTCTTAAGAGATTTTGTAATAATTCCAAAGACGCTAAAATAAAAGACAGCTTAAAAGAAATCTTAGAAAATATCGCGAGCGTTTGTTTTAACCAGGTTACAGAGTAAAACAGATAGCACTGTTGTTCATTGTTAAGGTGGCAAGGTGGCGGGATAAAAGATGCAACTGGTAGGAGTGTCTGGATGTGGTCCACTGACGCTTTCCTGTGCAGAAAGCATCAACAAACGCTATCATCGCAATCTTTATGCAACCAATCTGCAACCTTTTTTCAAAGGTTGAAACGTTGGGGAAAAACGGTGGGGTAAGCTGTCATACCTGGCAACTTCAAGAGAAGATATAAGAGAAGCCCATACGATTCTGGCATATTGTTTTACTGACTCGCTGTGCTCACTGCACGTATACACCTCAATCCACCAGTAATGTCTTAGGGCAAAGTGGTTTACTGTCGTTTCTTTCAATTTTGGCTCATTCTCCCGGACCGAAGTTATAAGTCACGCTCAATAGAATATAATTTCAACTGATGCTGACATCATGCACTTCATCTGAAGAAGAGAACACTCCCTATCTTCGAAAATTTGGTTACAACATCACGAAGAACGACGGGTGACGCTATATCGAAGGCGTTCGTAGAGGGTTAGAGTACACGGTAATTTTGGTCAGCGGGAAAATTATGAAACCCGCAGATATTGCGAAAGCCCGCGAAAGGATGACATCTAAAAACTGAAGACAATTTTTGATTAAGACACTAGAATGCGTTATGGTGGCGGCGACTAATCATTCTTCTTTAAATAACTCGGAGATTGATTTCCTTAAGGAAAACCTTGAAAATTGTTCTGTTGAAAATCAGTACTTCTTGGGTTATTTCGGGGGGAAAAGAGACGAGTTCGAGGATATACTCGAGAGGTTTCTTCTTGTTCCACATGCTTTGTAAAGAAGGCCTTGCACTCAAAGGAGTTAAATCACAAAAGGTTTTCGAAAAAATGTTTGGCAGTTTCTTTTATTTTTAGCTGATTTTTTTGCCTTTATCAATTCGGTGTGGGCCTTGTAGAGACTTGATCTTTTGCCGCAATTTTGTAAAAACTTACGCAATGCACCGGGCGTAAAAGTGTTGAAATATTTAAAAGTATTTCATATATAGGGAAGCCCTTGGAAAACGCTATTAGTGCGCATTATGCATTTGCAGCGTCTCTCGTCTTTGAACACAATGGTGGTAATGTACCGATCCAATTTTGTGGCAAACCGTTTACCATCGTAAGCAATGGAACTCGGCATCGTGAGAATTTCTTTTGAAAACAGAGTTTGAAATGTAATGAAACGTACTTGTAATATTCGATTTTTGCATAACCCGCGAAACTGTTTTAATTTTTCTAAGTATTTTAGTAGAGGAATCCATCGAGCTTTTCGCATACTGAGGAAACGAAATCGGGAAGGTCATTTACATCCATTTACTACAGAATTTCCCATAAACGTAGCAAGTGTACAATTCCTGAAATTCCCGTTCGTTATTTCACGAATTATCTGAAGTTTCAGTGTTGACAAATTTTTCGTATTGTGTAAGTAAAAAACATTGAACTTCTCTCAACGGACTCAACGCTGCAAGGAGAATCTCTCTCATAATTTACTTTTTAAGAGACGACATTACCGTCTAAAATTCAAACATTACCGTTAGGCTTATTAGCGCATTGATGACCTAGTAAATAGCTCAAACATACTGAAAACATTTTTATTAGTTTTTGTATATCTTTATCTGTGAGCCACATGTGAGTAATCAAAAACAGAGCAGTATAGTTTGGTGGCTTTTTTTCATGAATCTAGGATTTGGGGAATCGCTATAAACTACGCGATGACGCATTTAGTAATATTTCTTCTCCTCCTAATGATTGATACTGGAAGAAAATAGTAACGGTGTAATGCCATTTTATGTGCCTGTTATAAGAAAAAATTTGTACTCGCATTTAGCTTACAGGTAAAGATCCCATGAAAATTTTTCAAAAGAAATATATATCTCAGTGGTTATTTTATGACAACCACAAATTACTCAAACAAAATCAAGAAACTCCCGCAGGACCTCAAAGCTCCTTTGTTCAGAACGATCTTGAACAGTCTTTTTTGAATTTTTCGTGGGGAACAAGTGCTGAAGCTTACATGATGTATTTTAAATTTAACCGCTGTACTATAAACTTGTGTGTTCGACCTTTGACGAACGTCTTCGATAGAGCATCACCCAAGAACGACGAAAGGTCGTAAGCTGCCTTAAGATACCGCTGACTAGCATGTGTGTGGTTGTGAGAACATCGTCCCCATGTTCCAGACTTCGTCAATTCTTCCCCACCTCTCCACTCCCCGAACTGGTCTTTCAATCCATTGAAGAAACTCTTCTACAGCCAGTGCTGAAGAGTTTTCATGATTACAGTTTTTATTCAGTATAAAGAAGGGCTGGAAAATAAACTAACAAGAGCTCCACTTTTAGGCTTGGCTAAATCTATATATTGCTGAGACTGAGAAGTAACGGCTCGCATAGGCGCCAAGCCTTCGATTTCAAGGCAGTGGGACTGTGGTGCAATAATCACAAATCATACCAGAGCACACGAGCAACATCCACGACATGTTGGAGGAGCAAGCAAGCTGATTTGTCTGATTTGGTGTGTCCAGTTAAATGATGGCTTCCTCAGTGATTTAAAATGTTATATTCCTAAAAAATTTAACTGACGGATGATCGAAACCTGGCATTGATCTTGAGATTCGCTGGGAGCCCACTGTATTCACTCGTTAATAATCCCTTGGAGTTGAGCGCGACATTTTGTAGTAATATTGACTTTTAAGTCGCCAAAATTTCTCCCATTAATGTTAATGCTTACATCTTGCTAGCGCTGTTAGACTTATAGCAAATCCCTTTCCTAGCGGTCCATCAACCGAGAGCTGACAGCCTAACAGGCCCCCATATTGGACACTCGCTTGACTCCTACTGGAGACCTTGAAACTCTCGTCCAATGCCGATTTTGCAACCCTTTAAACCCACACCCTATCCTACACTTATTTTATTCCATAGTCTGCTTTAGGCTGTCGGTCAGAGTAGACGGGCAAAGAGCAGACACTTGAAAAATGGAAAACAGTTGCTTATTTGATAATGACACTGTGCCAGTTTGTATAGAGAAAGCTGTGTTTTGATAGATATAGTCGCTTTTCAGAGGCAAGTAATAGGTCTTCGCCGGTTGCTAAGACATCTCCAGTTTTCTCGGTCGGACCTCTTACTGAAACTTTACTTTTGTATACGGTGTTTTGTTTAACGAGTTGCCCCCAGGGATTCCTTTTTTTGCTAAACCCTTTAGAGGACATCCGTTAAAAATAAGACAAAAATTTAAATTTTGAGGCAAGGCTCAAAATTTCAAATTGTTTCTATTTTTGCACGCAAGTAGCCCCTAGTAAGACAAGAAACGCTGGGAATTTTTGTCTCTCAAATATGTTTTTATTTTGGAGAAAAACGAACTTATTGCTTTTACCCTAAGGAATTGATATATCGGGTCATGACAGACCGAAATTGAGCACTTTCGTTCGCTTTGCGTTTCAAAGATATTGCGTCAAGGGAAATCCAACCAACGTGTGCTCTTTCACAGCATCTTCCTCCTCTGTAAAACTTTAGTTTTATAGTAATTGGTTGATTAGTAGCTTTAAGCCACAGAAAAGAACAAAGTGCTCTCTTCAGTTACGAAAAACGCTGTGACTAAATGCCCGGCAGCCGGTCACGGTCCCAAATAGACTAAATGCCCGGCAGTCAGAAATTTTCACAGATTTTCCACCGAAAGGTTCTTTCAGACTTCAGATATTTATTCAGAAATATCAAGCGATTCCAAGAAATCGATATTCATTTCCAAAGGACAAACTCTCTGAACTTGAGCGCACTGAAATGTCGCTCGGTTGTCGACAATTGCACGCCTCTGATCAGACTGCCTCATGATGAAGACGAAGCAGATATCCGACTGCGGAGGCAAAAGAAACTCCAGAAAATGAAAGGAGACTTAATCTTTGTTCCAAACTGATCATCACTCCAGTCGCCGATCTACTCACTGAGCCGGAAATGATAATTGTTTAGACTCATAGTCTAAACCATCCTTCTGGCTCACCTTGTCGAAAACTTCTCCAGCCTCACGTCAAGTTCCTCTTGTCCAATGTGTAAGCAAATTAAATGTTCGCGCTTTTCTCGGTGTTTACATTTTTTAATACAATGGGATCCTTTCAACCAAAAACTCTGGGTTCAGACTGAAGTTATTAACTGGGACAGCCTTGAATTATTTCACAGGCAATATCCTTCAGAATACTGACGCTGGTGATATACAGGTGCTGTTTTCCTGGATCTATCTAAAGGTTTCGACACGGGTGATTGTCACCATCCATTGCAGAGGCTAGCGAACATTGGTCTTACCTCACAAACAGGTCACAAATCACATCAGCCTGTAGCTACTAATATGCTCGTTTGAGTACCTCAAGGCAGTATCCTGGGATCACTACTTTTTTTGATTTATGTAAATATTCTCCTAGGCTTTCAAATTACAAGTGATACTATTCTTAATGCCAACGATACTATGATTTATAACTCATCAAAAACCTTGGTGACTTTGAATCTCATGACCTGGAAATGGTTTCAGAATGGTTCTCCAGAGGTTTTTAACTCTTAACATGTCAAAATGTCATTTTTCGGCACAGGAATTGATAGAGTAACATCATTCAAATACTTCAGTAGGTTTCAACCAGTCTATGACTTGCCAGTCAAAGCAACGTGCAAGACCTTCTTACCGTCCAGAAACACATACATTCTTTATTTTGATTTCCTATAGACGAAAATAGGTGACTTTTCACAATCTCTAAGGGCCATTGTTTTTAGTGCGACTTTTACACCCCATTGGAGGAATGAATAGACTTTGGATTATCCCTGGCTCGTTCATCGCAATAATGTGGAATTCATGCCTTCTGTGGCTTCTGGCCAATGTGCACGCATCCATCGTCGCCATGGGGGATGGGACTAAGCAAGTTTGGTCTAAAGGCCATATAACAAACTACTTACTAACCTCGCTTGCTCGAGCCGTTTTGGGGAATATTGGCACTTGTTCTTTTTGGTACGGACCGAGCGCCGAGCGAACGGCCCTTACACTCGGTTAGTAAGAGGTTAATATTTTTACTTTAGGGTAAAAGAGGAGGAGAAAAGAGACGGCGAGTTGTTAGACTTTGGGTATTTGCATGGAACGTAACGCTTGTCGTTTCCAAGGTAAAAAATAAAGGAGCAAAATTACAACGGCTGTCTAAGAAGATCACGATACCAATTTGCGTTTTTGATTGAATTGGAGTAAGCAACTCGAAAAGAATGGTGTACACTGTGGTGCAATCAGGAACGATTTGCTAGAAGCTTTCTCTTTTTCAGGTTTTCGTTAATTCTTTTAAATCTGATCAGGAAAAAGAAAAAATAGAAGTATGTTACAATGTTAGATTCTCTAATTGAGGAACACACTGGACTGAATGCTTGTGGAGTGAACACCCACCATAAATACTGGAGAACGCGGGGCTCTTAATCAGCCACATCGCCATCTTTTAATTTCTTCAACTTATTCTACTGGAGTTTTTAGCGTAGTTTTCGCTTTACATGTTTTTCAATTTTGTTTAAGTTGAATTACTGTCGAATTGGGAATTTTGCTCAAGCGTTTTGATCCATTGTTACGCGAGTTTTTACTAAGACTGATTGAAATTCCGCTCGTTGTTTCAGGTTAGAGTGGAATCCTGGTTGATTTGTGGTTGTGAATGCGATTGTCATCAAATTGCCTTTAATCGTTACTGTGGTTTTTCAGGATTCTCTTGACATTCGCGACCTGTACTTTAAGATAATCCCAATACCTCCTTTGCGACTCACCTAAAGCGACGTCCCGGTGTGATTTGTTTTAGTCGCTGCAAGCCTTACATTTACCAGGTATTCCAAGGCAAGCCACTTGTCTGCAAATAAGGCCACATTTCAGGACCCTTGTAGCCGTTCAGTTACACGATGTAACTGTAAAATCACTTACTTGTTGGTTTTAAAGCAAACTGACTGACCAACGTAAAGGTTATAGCAAACATTTTGTGAATGAGAAAATGCAGGAAAGCTTATCAAAAGGGATGTATGTGTAGTTGTACGAGTGAGATGCAACAAATTCCGAAAATTAAACTAGAATTGAAAATAGACATATATAGGCCCCTGGGAAGCGAATTTATTCCAATATACACAGTTATATACAGATTGAAAAAAGACATTAATCAGTCCTTGATACATCAACTAAATCTTCTTCAATTCTCCTTCTCAACAAATTTTTCCTTCATTTAACTCATGGCAGACGTGGCATTAGTAGCAGCTGTCTCTGCCCGTTTGATTTCATTGGTGATTTGAGTCAAGTCTTGAATAAATACTTGGATCTGATAATGAGAAAAATATATCATGTACAGATTAGATGACAAGGAAAAAGTTTAAAAATTGTTTTTCATCACCCAAAGACGTTGAGCAATGAAGTAAATTTAACTATGGACAATCTTTGTCGACTGAAAAACGTGTTGTTTGCTTTATTAGAACTTTTACGAAATTTATCCTTTTGGGAGGAAGATTAACCTTACATAAGGCTCGTAATTCAATTTACGTTTCCTACAAATACACTTTATTCTATTAAAAATTGGCCCATCATGCTTCCTTGTAAAGTTTTATTGTAATGCAGCAAATAAATGACTTAATAAATAAAAAAAATTATCCTGAACTAGGCTCGTTTCTCGAAGGTCTAGGTAATTCAACGGGGCTGTAAACCTGTTCTGTTTTTATTCCAGATGGGGATTTCAAAAGTTTTGAAAATTATCCAATAAAACTATCAGCTAAAGAAACAAAACGAACTGTCTAAAACTTGCAGGCATGGTTTACAACATCCTAAGCATCTTTTTATCTCATTATGATTATAGTATAGTACCTACTCACTGAGGCAAACGAAAAATACAACTAATCCAACCAGAAGATACCGGTTTGTTAAACATGTAGATGTCTACGTTCCTGTTTGTCTCCTCATTTAAAAGTTTTAGTGACATTACCTTTTCTAGCTGTTTTTCAGTATGTTCTATGACTGTGTTCTGTTTAAGGTGTCTGTTCACTAACATGAACAAGTTGTGGGTTGCCCTGGGGTGAAAGAAATACCAGCAAACAATTATGAATATCTAGTTCCAGATTGTAACTTTTGCAAATATATTCCATGATAAATGCTGCATTCACTACATACATTTTTATTCTTCCTAAAAGAAGAGTTTTCTTGGCTGCTGTATTTTGTATATGTGTCCACTGAGATTCCCTGAAATGACAAATCAGCATGGTAACCAGTAAGAAACTACAACCTTCTTTTAGGGAAATACGATAAGGATTTGATAGCACATTACTAGAATTAAGCACATGAAAATTACTTCAAGTTACCATTTGACTGCAACACTCTGGGCTCTCTCAAGCTGCGTCTGTAAATGTGCAAGCTGTTATTTAATGGAAAATCAAAAGGGAAACTGTATTAATTGGATTGAAGTTCTTCATAGTCAAATTAGCAATTTAAGTAAAACATTGATTCCTGGCTAACAGAACCTTAATGGATAAAATTGTAGCAACCAGAATTTACTGCTTACCTGATTGTTGTAGTTTAATATCTCATTGTTCTTTTCCTGCAAATCAGAACATTTTTAACTGGTTAGGTCTTGACCATTAACTACAATTGACAGGAGCAGAGACAACTTCATAATACAATTTCACAAATTAATGAGACACGTGTTACATTTACCTCTGTAAATTTTACCAGTCTTCCTTTTTCTTTTTCATACTTTTCCTGATTTTTTGTTTCTCTTTCCAAAAGGTCCTTAAAACAAAAAAATAAGCACAGCAAGAAGTGAGAATTCCTCCTTGAGGGAGAGCCAGGAAGCTCTAATTCATTACCATGCAAGGCTTTCAGTTCATTAATCCTTTAGTTCATCAATCCTTTAGTCCATCTGAAATAAATCCAGCTAATGTCTAGAAACACTCACTGAATTTTTGGAAATTAATTTTCCAGTAAGTTTTACAAGCAAACCACATTTTATCATGAAGGCTCATCCCTTGGGACCAATATGGCTCCATACCTTGAACGTAATCATTAGAGACTTCATGGTGCCTTTGATCATTACCTGATGTGTTGCTGTCAACGTATCGTACCGAGCAATAACTTCCCGAATCTCCTGAAACTGAAAAGAAGGATATCACAAAATTAACATCTCAGTTGATGTAGGCAGCCACTTCAAAATAAAAATTATGGATCAGTTATGTTTGTGAGACAGTCACCTCAGCATTGAAAATACTTAAAGCTTCAGAGCTACATGCTCACTGCCTACAAAATTTATCAAAATAATTTCCCCTTTTTTTTTTCAAATTAAATCTGTTCAAAACAATATCACTATTTGTTGACAACACCATTTTGTCTTGGAACTTGTATGTAGAAATATCAGAGAATGATCTTGTGTCAAAGTAAAGGGCTATCTTTGGACTAGTGGTTTAAGGTACTGTTAATCAACCCAGCAGAAATGAGCAACATTAATATATTACACAGCTATTTGAAGAAAGCTAAAACAAAGCAATTGACATACATGCTGGTTAATTAACATACCTCCTCTGCTGATTCCAAAACCTTTTCCAGATATTGCTGATAAATGACATTTCTCTCCAACTTGTATTGTATGTGATCTCTCTCTTTCATTAAAGTAGCTGTTTCCTCTTTTAACCTGAACAATGCATACATATTCATTCTCCTAGATAGCTGTTTTTACATGACACATGTACATATTAGGTCTATAACTTTATGATGGACTGGTCTCCAGAGCTGCCTTGTACTATTTTCTTTTTTTTCCACTCATTTAGATGATTGGGAATGGCCATCAAAAAAATTTTACATTCTGCAATACTTATTGCCTTGTGGAGAATTCTCTGCATTAGCAACAAAAATTTAGTTTCTCAAACAAGTCATGATCCACAAAGTTTTTATACACAAACAATTTATTCTCACTATGAAAAGGGATTCATTTGATTACACTCACATGCACAAATGTTTACTACCGGTATGTTTTGCTCCAGTCCTTATAGCCTTTCTTCCCCTCACCTTAGAGATTTATATCATACTGACGTACAGTCAATATTACCAATATGTCTTGTGTGCTGATTACTATACTGATCAACACATTTTACAAGTAGGCCACAATGCATGGGCAACATCTTCCATGAGCAAAATTGATTTATACCCTGGCTTTAAGTATCCCACCTTGCAATTTCCCTGTCCTTTGCCCTTCTCATATCTCTTTCTTCAGCTGCTTTCTTAAGTGCTCTTGCCCTCTTAGAATCATTTTCCTGAATTTAAACATAAATAATTTATTGTTATACATAACAGAAAATGTGATTTTCCTTCATTGAAGATCTAGCAGGAAAGGTTGCACAGTTTGAAATACAAACAGCTAACTTGCCTTTATGTAACTCTTAGATATTTTGATCAATTCCTTGCACATTGCTTCACTAAATTTTCTTTCGTAAATAAGTAGGTGGACTTAATTTAACAAGCCAGGGTAAAATTAGTCAGTAATTACACAGATGAACTCATGGCCCTCAGAATAAATGGAAATCTAAATAAAATATCTATAGTAAAATAGTATAAATTATAAACATTCAACTAGAATACAAAGCTATGATAATTGAAGAATATAGAACTAATGATAGAAATTTTTACAAGAAAAGATATTTTAAAAGGATTTAAAACCACTGAAATGACATGAATGATTTGGTGAGAATTTAATGGCTTAAAATTGATTTAAAAGTGAACTTAAAATTATTAGCAATAAAACTCTGTTTGAGGTCCACAATTAGCAATTTCCTTTCTTTAAAAATGTTTGATCACAAACAGTATTTCTTTTACATTAAGGGAAAATTAAGATTACTAAGATGAGCAGAGATACATGTATCATGTCTGTCAGAGTTTCTGATGTAAGTAAATTATTAATATATATAATGGTAATAGGACCAAGTGGAGTCCAATTCGGTTTGTAATCATACAAGTGATAAACAAAATTGGATGACTGTGAAGCGGGAGTCTGATTTGTTAATCACAAGGATGATTACAGACAGAATTGGAGGACACGAAGTCCTGTCACCAATTAATCAAAACTATGACAAAATTTGAGAAAGAAACGAGACATCGGTTATATGTTTTCATAAAAGAAAAACATCAGTTAACCTGTCCACTTACACAGACATGATGTCTGAACTGTCCCTTTAACTGTCCTTTTACATTGTCCAATTACCTGCATGATGCATAAACTGTCCTATTACCCTGTTCAATTACCTGCATGACATGTAAACTGTCATATTACACTGTCCAATTACAAGCATGATGCATACACTGTCCTACTAGTGCTCAAATCAGGCTGGTGGTGACCAATCACATTCGAGAATTTTGTTAAAGCGTTGATTATATGGGGTATTCAATGCTGCATTTTAGAAATTAAGGTGCATTTATTCTTATGAGATTCTGCATAAAAGGGATTGCCTTTTATGCAGAATCAATAAATATAAATTAATGCACTTTAAAATGTTAAATAAACTAACTGAAGATGCTGTTCTTTCTGCACCAAGGATAATGGTAGCTTCTTGTTTTTGAAGGCACAGAACAGCTGAAATTTCTTAAGGTTTTCTTTGCTACAGGAAGTCAAAATCATGCTTCCATAGAACAATACAGGTTTGATAATTGTAGAGTAGTATGTTTTGTGCTGATTATGTTCTAAAGAAGGACTTATGTGATGAATGAGACCAATAGGTTTGGCCAAGTTTTTGCATACAGTCTAACTACTCAGTCTGGATATTTAATGAAAGGTCCTGATCTACTGTAACACCAAGAAGTTTGAAGTTAGTGACATACTCAATATCACTTCCATTTACACTGTAAGTTGACATAAGGCGACAAGTTTCTACAAAAATTTCCCTGTTACCAGCATGAACTTCGTCTTTTCAGAGTCAAGAAACATTTTTTTTCTGCCCACCACTCCTCTAAACATTTGAGACCTTGACTGAGAGCCTGTATCAAATGGGGAACATTTTGCCAGCTGGGGTTTTTCAGTGAAATTGTGTCATCAGCATAAAGGTCTAGTGTCAAGTCACAATACACTTTAAGGCGTGTAGTTGATAAATAAAAGGAAGAGATGAATATGAAAGCAATCTTCGCACTAATGAATACTACTTAAAGAGTAATGAAGAGAAGAGAGAGGGTCCCAGGATCAATGCCTGAGGCATACCTTACTAAAACTGCTTAATGTTGGAACAGCAGCTGTTTATACGCAGTTATGCTTGTCTATTCTTGGCATAGTTGCTTTTACATGCAACTAAATTGATATAAAGTTAGCCAGATTTTGTCTGAAATCCATTTATAAACATACCTTTAAAAACTTGTCAAACTTCAGCAATGATTCTTTTAGCTGATATTCCTTTCTGTCAAGCTCCTCTCTTCTTTGTTGAAGGCTCTCCATTTTCATTTGAAATTCCTGATGAATTTGAAAAAAGTAGGGAAAGCGAAAGTAAAAGGCACAATAAATAAAAAGAAACATCTGGTAACCCCCTCCCCCACAGTGGACTGTAAGTAAACAACAGTAAAGAAACAGTAAAATGAAAGAATCTCTAAATCCTACTTTCTGAGGAATTTTTAAATTGGAATTTCTAATAATAAATTAATAAGATAAAACTTATCTCGTCTTCTTACTGAATGGCAAATGATCTAAGTGCATCACAGGAGCCTTGATTGGTACATGTAAGTCTGAACAATATGACTGAACTTGACAAGAACTAGTGCACAGATCTATTTTTCAAATAGCTTTATGCAACACTTGTGCTGCATAGCGAGAAGTCTAGAGGTCACAAATGCAATATTGAGGGCTTCCTGTCAGTTTTAAAGCTCCTGTCAGCAATGCTGACCTTTCTTGGGTACCAACTAAAACTCTTTCAAGAACCCCTTTTCTTGTCAGTCTTTTCCCTTTGGGTATCTGAAGATGTATGCCCTCGACACCTGATATATTGTATTTGTAAATTTTTATTTTGCACTGGCTATGTGGAAATTCTCAAAATAAGATGAAAAGAGTTACTTTCGTTAGCCTCACATGTGCACTACAGAAGTCCCTAAACCGGTGATTCAAAATGGTTTAATTTATAGAAAATGTATCTATTACATGCACAATTGTATACAGTTATACACTTTGTACCAGTTCATAAATTATGCTGCGTTCAACCTCTTTGAATTTTCTATTTGTTGGGGTGACAGAGATTGTAGAAAAATAAAGTGTTATTTGACGATATTTCTAACGATAAACTAATATATTCCGACCTCTTTCTGAGCTGCAAGTGCTTGCTCAACTTCGGACATTTCTCTTCTCTTTTCCAGAAGTCTTGTAGCCGGAGTGAGGTGGTCGTCCTCGCGTTCTGGCATTTTTCTGGTGAAGAAAGCATGATACTGATTAAGACTAACCACTTTGCTCGTTGCATATAACAACATTGTTATCTGGACAGTCCAATACATTAGAAAGATTCACATATCATGATTTTGCCACTTACACGAGGATCTTATCCTCGAATGTGGTTCTAAAGTATTCTTCTAAGTTGACTGTCATTTTGAAACGTTTTTATATAATCTGCAAAATCAGTTTTTATGTTTCGTCGACCACGTCTCTCTCCAACCAAGATGGCGGAATTGCGTTGTCAAGGAAACGTTCGTATTGCGGATAATAGAGCTTGAAACTATCCCAGAGGTCAGTGCGTTTGTGTAAAAAATGGCGGCAGAACTGCAATGTTTTTATATCGAGAGATGTAGAGGAAATCCCTTCATATTATCTCACAACTCGTATTTGATGGAAATTTTTATTTGAAGCTGATTCTTGATTCCAGTATGTCTTCTATCACTCTCTGGGTGAAGCCGGACGCCTTTGATTTCGGAGCAATTCATGCGCCATTGCCTCCAAAACTGACTTTGCACGTAAGTTGAAACCTGTCAGTGCAAGTAATCACTGTTATTTTCGTTCCAAGAAACGAATGACCTTTTCTATCTTTTTAGATTTATCTACCTATGACTCATGAAGTGTACTGATTTATTTGATTGTCCTGTATGTTAAGCCCTAACTCTTATTACTTTTATGCTCTGTGTAAATGTAATAATTTTGACTAGGTTACATTTAGGTTTAAAATCGCTTAATTGCTGTCACTCACGATCGGCCCGCAGGCAATTAGGGTGTTCAAAAACAGCTCGCCTCTAGAAACTTCATCGTCATCCGTTTAGGTGATGCGATTGACTGGAAATGACCTACTTGTAAACACTGTGTGTTAAGTTGTCCTCATATCAAAATACAAGATATCACTAAAGATATCACTAAAGATATCACGCAGATCCTAATACAAGCACCAGATTTTGTTTTGTCAATGTGTTAAGTCAGCACGTTATGAATGCAAAGTTGAGGGTATTTGTTAGGCCTTTGAGATGCAGAATTCATTCTCCAGCCACAACTTTTTGTGATAAAATCTGGAAAGTAGCACTGATGACAGGAATTTCATTTTCAATCTTCCCGTTTTTATTTTTTACTGTTGGCCTATTTTAAGGGTTTAGGAAGTCTTCCTCTTATTTACACAATAAACAGAGTCAGGAAAATAGAGAGGTTATCTCTTGGCAGCAATTCAGGAATTTGATAAAACATAGCTAACAGCTGATTTGATAAATGTTACAAATGACTTTATTCTGAAATTTAGATCTAAAAATTTGATCAGCGTATTAGTATCTATCTTTTTAGAACTTGTACAAGCTGTCCATTTATGCAAGAAACAAAGGAGAAGCAGGATACCCTCAGCTGAGGTAGATGTGTGTTAACATTCAAGTTACATGGACATGTTTGTTGATTATCGTTTTACCAATATACTGACTTTTATAAATTAATTGTACTATTGATACCAGTGATTATGATAGTTTTGTAGGTGTCGTACATGTACTTTGGACAAAATACATATTAATTGTTCAATTGGACCTGTGACTGTCATTGCCCATTTGTTGGCTGGAAATCATTGCACTTCTTGTAGCATCAAGAAATTAGGAGTATTGCCACTACCTTCCCCTCCCCCCAGGATGGGATATAAGTTTATCACTGGTAACACCCAGCTCTTTGAAAGCTTTTTCTGATACTTTGCTTGGAAAAATTACTACTCCTGGGTTGAGAGAGGTACTGCAAGGTTAAATTGTCAGAGAACACAATACAATCATTGAACCAGGGATTGCGAACTTGGATCTCCTGATCTCTTGTTCCATTCTGACAATACGTAATTGTGGATTTGAAAAACTTATCATCTGCTCCTCTAAATAATTAGTATGTTTGGTGAGTAGATTTTTCTGTTCATTTTGTAAGAAAGTGTTCATGGTTGCTAGTTTACCAATTGATTTGCCCTTTGCAGAGGTCTTAAGGCTGCATAACAAGATAGGCAATCCACAGTTTTTTATGAATTTTATTTTTCTCTTAATTGAGAGCTTTGTGGAGAGGGAACAAAGTTTGAGAAAGGAGAGCTGCTCAGGTTGAGAAAAAGCAAGGCTTTGCTTGTCTTTGAATTCTGACGTTTAGGAAGACTGAAATGAATGTACTACTAGGATTTTTTGTCTTGGTTCTTTACCAATTGATTTGCCCTTTGCAGAGGTCTTGAGGCTGCATAACAAGATAGGCAATCCACAGTTTTTTGTGAATTTTCATTTTTTCTTAATTGAGAGCTTCGTGGAAAGGGAGAAAAGTTTGAGAAAGGAGAACTTCTCAGGTTGAGAAAAAGCGATGCTTTGCTTGTCTTTGAATTCTGATGGTTAGGAAGACTGAAATGAATGTACTACTAGGATTTTTTGTCTTGGTTGTTTTTAAAAGTTATCATGGTTACTAAATATTGTCTTATTGCAGTCCTATAAAACATTGTAAATAAATGTATGAAAAAATTAAGATAAAGGAGATGGAAGGATACACCATTTAGAGAGGGAAAATTCAAGATTTGCTTGTGGAAAGGGTGTCATTAATCCTTTTGCCTTAAAGTTTGATATACCAGATATTTTTCTTATTGAAGATTTTCCTGTTGTTGTTTAGTTACCCTGTGTGGAAGCATGTCGCCTGCAACAAGTTACAGATGTCTGAGGATCTGGCATGGCTGTAAGTTGATGTGATGCACACTGAAAAATAAATGTATGTCTAATAAATGAAAAAAGATCTGTGAACACCTTTCTCAAAAACTGAATGTTAAAAAGTCAATGAAAAGTCAGCAGCTCAGAAAAAATCTAACCAAAATGATTGCAAAAGATATTTTGAGCATATCTAGTGAGAATCAAGCATTATACTTACTTCAAATGAGTAGAATGGCACTTAACTTGAAATGATAATTATATCCAGTTCCATGTTTTGAATTGTATAAGAACATTTAAAAATTGGGAAAGATTTGTTTTTTTTTTGAAATTTTTATTTTCCCTTTGGCCCACTCTACTGGTATCTTACTGGAGGGACAAAAGGCAAAACATATTTAGACTTGTCAAAATGTTGCAATTAAAATTTAAATTATCAATTTTATGTTTTGTGCTGTAGTAAATATAAGTGAATGTATTTAATTAAAGTATACTTTTCACCAGATACTTTGAAACCTTTGACATGCTTTGTGGCTCAAGTTTTAAAGAGCATTCAAGATGGAATGAAATATTTTCTCAATGCAAAAGTGTGGAAGAAATAGGTCAGAAAACTTGGGCTTTATTACTTTGCTAGATCTATGCAAATCATGATCATAACTATTTAACACTTCAACTCCCAAGATCTGATTATTAATTCTCCCTTTCAGCTGTGACACATTTCATTGTAAACTAATTATAAGAATTTTGTGTTGGATAAAGATAACTTCTACCTGATTAACATGAGTATTCGTATTACACGTTTATTGGGTGATATATGGACACTGTAGAGAGAAGTTACATGCTAATCACTTCTGAGAGTTAAAGGATTAAATGACTGCAGCTGAAAGTTTTTTTTGCTGTTACCATGTGGAGTTGCTTCCTTCCCTACAACCACATTTAGAGAAGGGAAATGTTGAATAGGGTGTGAGTGAGATAAGAACCTCTCAAGGGATTCAAAAGGTAGCAAAAACACAAACTGTTTTTTTGCAAAGTAGCTTTTAAGATTGAGGTGCTCACCCAGTTATAAATGGAGACAGGGAGGATAAGTCTGCTTTAAGGTCTTAGGATGTCTTTTGAGAATTGGCAATTTTGATATATTGAAATTCTAATAAGACTCTGAGGCTAGGGGGAATAAAATAAAAGAAATTGATTATTCATCCCTTAACCTCTACATGATTTCCTTTATTTTATTCCCCTAGGCCTTTAAGCCAAGTTCAAATTTTTAATATATAGAAAATGGCGTATTTGATATCATTTTCCTAATCTCTGTCACTATGTTTATACATGTACATCAAAAGACAAGAAATTTTCAGTACTATCAAGGACTTTACTTTTTGCAGATCATTTGAGATCTCAAGGCTCAGTGAGAACATTGCAGTTCATTCTATTTCTGTATATTCAACAAATTCACAAGATATCTTTTAAGGCTTCTCTGGTCCTGGGAGGAGAAGAGTATCCTTTTATACTTTCTTTTTCACAATGTTTTCATTTTCAAGTAATTTAATTGGAATGCAATTATTGCTTTAACAACATGATGTTGTGAACATTGCTTTTGTCTCAACTGTGTTAGATAATATTTCTTAAGCAATCAAACTCTTAAAATATAATATTGAATAAAGAGCTTTTCAGATGATATTTACAGGGTTGATTTAAGCAGTATTTCTGTGTTTGTAAACACAGTATTTACTCTGTAAAATTTTACTTAATATTAACAAGATGGCCAACACGTTCACGATCACCAGATTTGGAAAAAAAAGGATCTGTTGCAGTTAAGGTACAGATGACCTAAAAATAATGATATCGGTATTGATGATAATTATCATAACACTAATTGATGTGTATTAGTATCAATAATAATCATGGAAATTATTGTGATTTTTTTTAAGATGGAATAATCAATTAAATTTTAACTTCTGGTGAAAATTATTCGTCCTAGGTTGGATTTTATTTTTGTTCTGCTCCTAACCCTGATTATGAATAATTAGTGTTAGGATGCAAAGGAAATTGAGAATCAACTCACAATATGTTGAACATTTTTCCCCTTTAAAGTAAAATGTAAACTACACCCATTAAAATAAATTGAATTTAACTGTAAATTTGACTTAAGCAGTCAAAACATACATAATTTCATGTTTAATGATATTTTTCTTGTGCTCTTAATTTTTAACTTTTCAGAGCCTTGATGAGCATGATCACATGATGTTTGTACTACATCATTTGAATGACATTTTGGAACTCTTGATGGAACCGGGTATGTAACCGTACTTAAACCCATTGCACACCAATGTCAGTATGCATATTCTCCATACTGTTCTTTATACATTGCTAAGGTGTTGACAAGAAGAATTTGGTCAACTATGAAGAGCACCTTAAGCTGGTGATCATTTCCTTTATTCTTGCAACTTCAATGTGTGATTCTGGCTAACTTAGGGAATTTACTTGGACACACACACACAAAATTACTACCACAAGGTGATATGTTTGCATAATTTCATATTGCAGTATGTCATTATTTTCAGAGTCCAGTGGAATAGGCAGTGGTAGTGAAGCCTGTCTTACTGTTGAGGCTCTTGATGCTCTTGGGTTTCTCATCACAGGATCTATTGATAGGAAGTGTGTATACCACCATAAAGTATACCTTGGATTTGAATGTTGTTTATGTTGAAAATGTTTTGAATAGTTTGATTGTTTTATTTGTTTGTGTCACATTGTTCACCTGAAACAAAGGAAAATTTTATTAGGGGTTTAAATGAAGTTAGTGCAATAGCAAACATTTGAAAGTTAGCTTTGGGTGTTTTAACTTGAGTATGGTCGTTTCCTCAAAAGACCTCAATCTTTGGGCCAATGTGTTTCTCAGCCTGTGTTTGATGTTAAATTTCTTGCTTTACTTCTGCCATCCCTCTCTTGGATAAACTAACTATGAAGTATACCTGTTAAATAGTGTGTCTTATTTAGGAAAACATATCCTGCTTCTAATCAAATAAAATCAGGGTAAACATTTCGCCTTGAGATAGAAGGAATAACTGCTCATAAACCAGCCCATTCTGAGAAACTACATTTTATGGTTGTCTCATTTTTGATAGTATATTTAGACTCTAAATTACTCCTTGATAAACCAAATTTCTACTCTTAATGGAATGATGGTAAACAAAATCAGCTTTTTGGGTACTAAGAAGAGTTTTTGAAACTTTCAAGAAACAAGCCCCTGGCTCTAAAGGCTCTCTTACATGTCAACTTCAATTAATATAATAATTTGGGTTTTATTTTTTTGTTATTTTTGTTTAGAAACATTCAGCCACTACATGAATTAGCTCGTCTTCAATCAGAAAGACCAAAGTGCGGTTATTCAAAGGTAATACTCATCACTTGAGTTGAAGTCCTTTTAGACTAAAGATACTTTGTTAATGGTTATGAAATTAAAGGATGTGGCAACTGATTTGTGGCAAAATATTTACAGATCTCCAGAAAATTCTCTTTCCGCCAACTTCAGTCATGGTTGAGGTCCAATCTTCAAGTAAATCCATTTGGAGTGTCTGCCATCCTTGCTCAGGGATTTAAACAACATGAATTACAAATACAAAGTAAGAAACAATTAAATATTGATTAGTCTGTGTTTGTAACCAAAGTTATGCATAATTGTTTTCATCATTTATTTGAAAAGGTCCACACGCCTACAGTACTAAACATGAGTAAGGAAATACATATCAGAGATTAAAAACTTACAAGCAAACTCACAATTATGAAAAATTTTTAACTCAAGGGTGCATATCTTTACCAGCGAAAAATGAAAATGACAATCCTGCTTCTTAAAAAGTGGACATAAATATTGATTCACAGGACTAAATTTATACACAAAACCTGTAAAATTACTCGACATAATTTTGTAACATTATGTAGCAGTCGAAACATCAACTGCAAGTACACTATACAACTAATGAAACATTCAAACAATCACAGGTAATTGGCATGTATACCCAATACACTTAGGAAATGGTATGCCGATAACTTTTGCAATTACAGTGTTTGATGTGATTGTAGCTGATCATCAAATCTTTGTTATTTGTTCTGTAAAGACCACTCACTTTCAGAGATGCCCAAAGCCACCTTTTGGAATCTCATTTTATGGAGGAAGGGTTTATCAAACATGGAAAGGGAACCAGTTCGTATGTGGGAAAATTTCATTGATGAGTTTCCTGTTCTTGTAGATTTTCTAAGCCTCAGTGACACATTTGATGATCACAGTCTCCTGCGACATCAGGAATCAGAACATAGTACTGCTGGCAAAGAACCATCCACAAATAGAAGTCGCATCATGAGCAATATAAGCCATGCTCCACCAGAGTATGTAAATGTGCAATTGTGATTTAGTATTGAAGATTCTGGAAAAGTTCATTTGTTATCTGATAAGAAGATCATTTGGTTTATCGCCACATCAGTTTTTAATAAAATGCTGATTCCATAGCACAATTAAAGCCCAGGTTACATTTGGTGTTATCTGTTGTCGGTGTAACTAGGTAAGAAATCAGATACAGACAAAGTGGATGAATCCACCAAATACAATCCAGAAAATATTATCATGGCCACAAAAATGGATGGAAATACTGACAAGTTTACTGTTAACATGGTTGCTGATTGCATCTCACTTAATTCATTGATTGGAAAATGGATTGGATTGATTTTTGAGGCAAAAATCTTTACATCAACAATATAAAGTGTAAATTTGATCCCACCATTCCAAAGAAGTTAAAATAAGTACTGTATTTTCTTCCTTTCCTTCTGTTCCTTTTTGGAAGGAGGGTGTATAAGAGAAAGGGGTGCCTGTACTGATTCCACTGTAGTCAAAGCTTAAAATGTTATAATGGGTGGTGCTTATTCAAGAGGGGGGCAACTGTTTGATATTATGGCCAAGGGGTGGATGCTGAGGAAATTGGGTCGTGCAATATGAAATATTCAGCATCTGGTATTACTTGTTTGTAATTAACTCCTACAGATGGTTTCTTAGATTCATTAATTCCAGGTCAAATGGTAGCATTTGCTATTTATTATTAGTTGAATTGTATGAAGTGAAGAAAGGGTAATTAGGTTCAAATTGTTTTCCAGGTATACAAATCTAGTTTCATTTTAGTTATTAAGATTTTTGTGGGATTTACATGAGGTCTAAATGAAAATGTGTGATAATGAGCTAATTTGTAGTGATCAAATATTGGGTGGGTTGTTTGAGGTAAATTGTAAAATGAACCTTTTCACTGGGGTAAGTGTGCTTTGCAATTGCAACTCTCCATGCTACAGTAGTTTTGTTCTGCTGAGCTATTAGAGAAATAATAATAATAATAATAATAATAATAATAGTAATAATAATGACTTTATTGGATAACACAATTACCGGTAAAACCAGTAGTTCTTATTGTGGTCCACTAAAACTTCAAATTCAAATAGCAAAAATACAAAGTAAAAATACAGTTAAAAATTTTTGTAAAATTATCAACTCTGGAGTTCCAATCTAAATATTTCTTATATAGTTGATTTTTAAATTTACAAAGGGAAGTGTGACCCCTAGTGGCACTGTCTAGGTTGTTCCATAATCTAGTGCCACTTGCAAGGAATGAACGTTTGCTGGTCATAGTGCTAAAGAAAGGTGTGGATAAGTCCATATTAGTTGACACCCAAGTTGTGTAATGATGTCTATTTTTAACATAACAAATATAATGATTAAAGTAATCAGGACATTTCCCTTGAATAATCTTATGGATAATGCACAATTTCCTTTGCTATATTATGTCACTAATGGGAATCCAACCTAATCTCTTAAAAAGGCCAACTGATCTTTCAGTGCCTGCATTTAAATTACCCTGGCACAATGTTTTTGAACTATGAGGAGCCTTTGTAAATTATCAATCTTAATGTTTCCCCTTGTTAGCGTTGTATAGCAAATTCCTAAGTTATAAATTCAGGTACTTTCTGGCTCTTTTAAGAAGATTTACCCTAGAATTTAATTTAGTGATCATGTAATCTATATGGCTATTCCAATTAAGATGCTTGTCTATCTTCACACCAAGCAGCTTTTCGTTCACGGCCTCTTCGATTTTAGTGCCTCGCAACGAAAGGTTAAGCGATGGGTCTGCGCAGTAGGAAAGTTTTTGCTTGGTTCCAAGAAGTAGCTGTTTTGTTTTCTTTGCGTTTGGGACCATCTTGTTTAGTGAGAACCAGTGATTTGCTTTGTTGAGACTTCCCTGAAGTCCATGTTGGATATGCAAGGGATTAGAATTAGAAAAATTAGGCATCTTAATGTGCAGTGCAGGTCACCACACTGGCATTTGTTTTCAGCAATAATGTAGCAAGTTGTTATCATCATTATCATTATTGCTATTGTTAAGTGGTAAAAAAGTTGAGTTTGAAACACTGAATTGATGGAAATTGTTACTACTTAGTCCATAGGAACTTGATTTATAACCATTGGAAGAAATATATCAGGTAACCAGAAAGTCTAATTTGTGCCCATTTTTAATTTATTTACTCTACATTTCATTTGATAGGCAAAGATTCCTTATTCTGTCTCAAGTTTGCAAACAAACTGTTGCAAAGGTATGTTCTCTCAAAACTGCAGTATCTCCTTGATTGAAATTTGACATCTAGAATTAACAGTGAGGGAATTTTAATAGCCCACTTTTCATACTTTTAATTAAGCCTGATAAAGTAGACATCATTATTCCAAGGCTCTAGGGAGTGAATGCTGAAAACCAGACCCTGTGTAATAAGAAATTTTAGAACAATGAAATTGGGGTGTTGTGAATACAAATTTTTTTTGTTTTTTTCTTTCTTTCCATCAGGCCAATGACTCCTATTCAGGAAGTACAGTAAAAATTCATAGATGCCATTATTCCTACATATATATCTTATGCCCTTTGAGGTTTGTGAATGCAAATACCGCTAGCTATAGTATTTAACCCTTTAACACCCAATATCTCATTAGTAATCATTTGCCCTCTAGAGGGTAATTCAGGTTGTCCAGGTATATTTTAGGTTTGCACCATGGTACCACCGATTTAACTTTTCCAAAATAAAGCAATGAACTTCCTTTTTGCCTGTACAATGCCTTACTGTAAAGTAAAGCCTTTATACAGGCCCAAGTGGCCCATGGGGCAAGCGCTTGGCTCTGGTTTCCGACTTGGCATAAAGCGGCTAGGAGTATTGCTACTCCCCCCTGGATGGGATGCTAGTTCATTGCAGGGTTACCCCCAGCATATTTGCTGGTACCCATTTGTACACCTGGGTGAAGAGAAGCACTGTGAGAGTAAAGTGGCTTGCCCAAGAACACAACACAATGACCCCAGCCAGGGCTCAAACCCAGACCACCACAATGCCTTAATGTGATTGGAGATAAATCATTGAAAATTGTTTTACAATTAAGTCAATTGTCTCTGTCTTTAGTTGTATGTCACTCTAATGATCTAGGGAAACATGAAACGAAGTTATAAGTGTACATTTAACTCTCAGTGTAGTAAGGCATTTTCTGGATAATTTCTAAGTTAATTTCTCTCCTTAATATGCCTTTTAAGTTACATACCAGATTGTCACCCTTATTGACTACAGTTATCTGAATAGCGCATCCTTCTGCAAAATGGACACATAGTCTTCCTTTTGGTTCAATATTGTTTTGTTGCTTTGTTTATTTATTTTTTGAAGAATGAAGCTTCAAAGGTGTGACAGAATTCATGATGTAACTGTTACAATTGGTCTCATTTAGGGCTGTTACTGTAGAAAACTGTCACAACTCCACAATTGTTCTTGGGGTGGCAAACATAGCTGTTAATATCATTGGTTGCTGTAATTGTACGTTCTATGTCGTCTGTGAAAGAATCTCATTCAGGTTTGTTGTCAGTGATGTTGAAACGAAATGGTCGTAATTAATCAACTTGGTGAACCAGTCAGATATGTAGTAATGGTTGCATGCATCACAAAGTAAAAAAGATCAACCACAGACCAGAGACCAGAGATTTGAGCCATTACCCCTCTGCTTATGGTCAGTAAACGAAAGAGGGAAACTTACAAACTTTGAGGGAAAACTAAAAACTTGAATTAAGTTTCTGTCAGCATGAAGTGACAATTCATTAACCTTGTTATTATTGTTTTGTTTCAGTGGCTGTAGTGACTGTTCTTTTCATCTTTGCACGCCGACCAAACCAGTTATTCTTCCAGGAAATGAAAAGTTAATTCTTGCGCCATATCACACTTACTACCCTACCCTGGAAGAACATTTACGTGGCCCCTGGGGGATTCCCATTGAGCCAAACTTGTGGAATGATCCTCTTGTACTTGGTAAGAACCGATTGGGTGCATGGGGAAGGTAAAAGGTTGTCAAATAATGGACTCGGTTATGGTAAAGTTTTGTTTACCTTATAGCCGACCCATCACTTAATTTTTGAGTTACATTGTTTTGTTACATTTGTTTTGTTTTTCAGCATCTGATCGAGGTGAAGGCTCATCACCCGTATATCGTGAACTGTCGCCCTCAGACTTTTTCACGTTCACAATTCCGTTCTCTATGAAGGGATCTACAGATGTAAGCATCACAGAATAATTTTAGTTAATAACAGCACCAAAACCGAAGTAATCACAATCGAGAAAACTAAAAACGAGCAAATATTCCCCACATAATTTTTAAAAGGGGCTTGAATTATAGCTTTGGGCTGGAAAACGCGCGTGAACAAGTCACCATTAGGTTTTGTTGGGAAGCAGGTTTTCATTGATCAGTAAATGTAGCAACAGGAGAATGGTGTAAAGTAACAGGAGATATTATTCACGTTTGAATAAAAAGTAACTCAGGCCATCGACATTTAGCCATAGAAATGTGCGTAATAGCTTAAGTGTTCTCTGATCCCTAATGCAGAAGAATACCTTATAGGTATCTGTTTGGTTGACGGGTTTCCCAAATTTTATTCAGCAATCAAACTGAGCTATGTTTTGGTAATAGTTTGAAGATTTCCCTTAAATGTAACAGTGAAACTATTGGGTTTCTTTACGTTTTGCCTCATTTTCTTGGCCCACAATAAATACCATTTTATAAAATGAATGTCAACTGGCTGGATCATATGTTCGATCACATGCATAATCGAACTGTGTGGTTTTATTTCAGGGACCACCGATTCCTCTTCCGAAAAAATACGAGAAAGCTTTGAAAGACAGAGAAAGGTAAGCAGAAAAGTTCCAAGTTGAAAGCGGAAATACGTTAAGCTCTCTGTGCTTCTTTTTTTTGTCTTTTTTTGAGCCTGTTACTTGTTTTATTTTTGTTTTCATTTGTTTATCATCGTCGTCATCGTCATGATTATGATGTCGATAGTATCGTTGTTGTTATTTTTCCTGGGCTATGTCGATTTGTCGTGGCAACTCATGTTACGTGTTTGTGATGAGGTATATTTTTACGCGCCTATAATTCGTTATTTGTATCCACACACGTAGCACTGGCTACTTTTTCCTCACACTTGTCACTAGTTCTTTGCTCATTCATTTTTATGTTATTATCGGTTTTTCTTTGAACTTTGTGTCATTAGCGAATGGTGACTTATTTTCGTGCCTCTCCTCACTCATTTCCAGCGTTTGCACATTTTAAGTGCCGTGTTGTTACCTTCCTCTAACCTCGTAATTATAATTTACTTTCTAAAGAGTTTTTTGTTATTGTTGAACTTATCCATTTTCGTTATGATTATCATCTAATTGTTGTCACTGAGTTGGTTGATTGTATTTTGACAAAAAGTAATTTTTAAACTTTAGTTTTGTCTTTGCTTGTATGTTTGGCAGAGCTATTAATAACTGGTATCAATTGGTAAAAACATCATCACTCACTAAGCCGCAGAGGAGACAGCTACAAAAAGATGTACAAGATAGATTCCAGGTAAGGAACGAGAAACCGTGTTTACTGCACTACTGTAGAAATAAACTTGAGATGGACTGGAATCTAGTGGAGGGGAGAGGAATTAGTAAATACTGTCGGTAACTTCATGCGGTAAACTGGGTTCATTCCGCACTGCAAGCCAACATCGATATGTTTTTCACAGATAATTTTTTTAACTCGTGCGATGGACTTCGCCGAATGTAGGAAGGACTGCTCGTAGTCTCGGAGCTTCCGGTTCTAAAGTGGACAAAACCGTATTTTTACTTTTTCACAGACACTTCCTCTGTTCATTGTTAGCTATTTTGATAATTTTTATCCTAAATAAAGTGAATCAACTAACTCCGTTGTCACTGGAGTCTGTGTGAATTTTCACAATTTATTTCAGTTGAACACATCTCTTTCTGCAGGAATGGCTGGCGGAAAGTGGACACGCTACTCAATTAAATGGTCTTGTACCTCCCCATTCAGGAAAGTCTTGAAAAATCAAGGAAACTGGCAATTCGTTGGTAACAGACTGAAATAATAGGAAGTTAAGAATTCACCGCCTCAGTCAAGAAAACCATCAGATCTGAACCAGAGAGATTAATATGATGGTTCCCATACAACTCTGGTGGAGTGAATGGTTTAGCTATGACTACATTCATGTAGCAGCAGAGAAGTGAAATCCATCTATGATGGCCAGCATCAAGATTTTTTATGGCATTCATACAAGAGCACTCAAAACAGAGCTCAAAACATATCTGAGCATCTGTATGCTTCAAGTTACCACGACGAACATTGAAACCATACTTCTTGTAACAGGAATTGTAGCTAGATAGGATTAAACATTTGCACGTTTATTGTGCGAAGTCGTTTCCGTCTTGACTCAAAGGAGTTTATAACAAGAACCGGCGGAAAATGGAGACTTGCCATTATGGGTTGACTATTTCGATTAAGAAAAAAACACAGCTTGGTTATTATCGGTGTCAGTCGCCCGCCAATTTAAGGCCTTCGTTTGCATTTGCAGACCCATATGGAAAGTGTGATTAGAAATTGAACGTCGGTTATGTAACAGAAATAAGGATATCAGTTGAAGAAGATTAGCTATTCTTTGTTTAATGAATGTTATGAGGAACGTCACATAACTGATAAAGAAAAAAGAAATCTTCAAACTGTATGATATTTTGTTCTATTGTAGTTAGATCTATAATGAGATCTCGCTATGATAAAAATCTTTTTATTTAGTATTTTGGTTTGTTGTTTTGTGTTTGTTCTTTGACGCCATCTTCATTGCACAGATACGCCCATACCAACCCTGTGTGTGTGCTCGTGAATAATGTTCTGAGCAGTGGCTGTCGCTTGCTCTCTGGAATACCTGTCTTAATGAAAATATTCGAACATGTGACATTACTTTCACTTCCCACGAAAATAAAATCTCGATTTTCCACCGTCCAGTCTGTGTGAGACTCGTTCAACAGAAATGATCACAAAATCTGCCCGGAGCGAAAAGCGGCAGTCTAAATAGGGAAACTTTGCCGTGTTTTGTAAACTTTCGCCGTTATGTTTTCGCTCGGCCTATTTGTTTGTTTGTTTTTTTTATCGCTGACGGTGAGTTATTCCAGAGGAATGCAAAGGAACTTTCCGATGAATCAAATAGTGCTCTGAGTAAAACCAAAGCTGAGCGGAAACACGGTTTTCGTTCCTCTTTTATTGGATAAAATTTATGGAAACCAGGTTCTCGTCGTTATTCCAGAGGAATGCAAAGGAACTTCAGCGATGATTATTTTATGATAATCACTGAGAGGATGACTCACTGGAATTAGTTTAGTAATGGCCAAGCACTCAACCCTCTATAGTGAATGTCTTTTTTGAGGAAACCTATGCCCAGTTGTATAAAGAGCGGATAACGCTATCCAACAGATAAGTAATAGCAAAACGTGTAGCGTTACTCACCGGATAAAGATTTATCCGGTGGATAGCGCTATCCGATCTTCGAACAACCTGGGTCTGATTAAAATACTAGCCAATCAAAGGACGTTATTTAAGCATATTAACCGAAAACTAGACTCATCGTAATAATTGCCTTTTTTCCGAGAAAACCTTATTGAAATGCTAGCCAATCACTTGATTTATCCATAACCAAATACCAGACCATTTACGATGACTGCCTTTTTCCGGGAAAATTCGGTTGAAGTATTAGCCAATCACTGGACTTTATTTAACAAAAGGCGAGCACGGAGGCTTATAAAGTAGTTGCCTTTCCGAGAAACTCGGCTTGTTCACGTGAATGCCAACAGACGCTATTGTGAATATATCAAACTCTTCTAACTTGTAAGGATAGTTACCGAACTCAGAAAATGGCTTCTTACATGGATGAACCGAGTACGAAGAAGCAGCGTTTAAATCCAGAAGAGTCACAGCTCGAAGGTCAGTCACACTCCAGAAATATTACGCTAGACATGGCAAAATATGACGAGTGGGTTCGTAAACTGTCAGATGAAGAACTTGTCAACATATTTGGGCTGGGAGTCGCAGTGAAAGAATCCGTTACCCTCACAGTGGATGTTAATCAAAAGTTTATGAAGGAGACGCTGTCTTCTCAGATGGAACCGATCCAACAATGCGTTTCCGACATCGAGAAAGAAATAAAGGCCCAGGTGGAAACTGTGAAAGATAACGTCAGCAAAGATGTGAAAGCACTGACAGGCGATTTGAAAACAGATATACAGAATGCACTCGCTCCGAAGATAAAAGAAATTACAGGCACAATGAACAAAGTTGAAAAGAATGTAAATGATCAAGTGCTGAAGGTGCAAAAGGAATTAACAACTAAAGTCTGTGAAGGCATCGAGGGAATGACGAGCAATGTGCTTAGTTTCAAAACCGACTTAAGCAAAGGCATTGAGAAAATCGGAGGAACATTAAAGACAGACGTAGACGAGATTGCCACAAGAGTTCCTGCACTCAACACATTAGAAACGAGGATCAAGGATTCTGAAACCCGTATCACTAAATCATTGGAAAAGCATGGAGAAAAACTGGATTTGATATCAACCGCTTTACAAAATCCACAGAAGAAAGGAGCTCGGGCTGAGAAAGACGTACTTGAGATTCTCAACCAAAACCTTCGCAGAAGTAACTTCACCTTCAGAGACATTACCCGTGAGAAGGGGAAAGGTGATATAGAGGCAGATACCCCTGATGGTCACAAAATCATGATTGAAATAAAGAGCTGGGAGAATACTGTGAGTAAAGATGCGATTGAAACGTTTGAGGGAAACCTTGCGAGGCTTACTCATTTTAGAGTTGGCATCTTACTTTCGATGAAGAGTGGCATCGCCAACCGATCTAAAAGAAGTGAATTTGAAGTTTTGTTTAATGATGATCGAAAGCAATACATGATCTACGTTCCAAATGCCCTTTACGAGGAGTATATGATTGTGTGGAGTGTCTTGATGGCCAGTCAATTGGCAAACATGCAGGTTGGGGAGCTTGGAGAAAAGAAGAGCCAAGGCCTGCGGAAGGTCTACGAGGAGTTTCAAAAAAATGCACAGTACAGTAAGAAAAGCAGAGCAGACCTTCAGGCTCTAAGGGTGTTAGTACAGCAGCTAGAAGGAAACGTCGTTCCCTTCCTTGATGCTGTCGACAAAGCGACAAAAGTTCTCAACAAACTGTTAAATTGAAATCAAAAGCGTATTTTCGAATTTAGACACTGTCAATTAGAGAACTGACTGCGAATCATCGTAATATCTTATTTTTTTTTATAAAATCTTTCATAATATCTAAAACTTCAGCTGAAAAGATTACTCAGGCAACAAAAGTTATTATCTCAGCTTAATTTAAGAAGTTTCAAGATCTTTACTAGCATCAAGACTTACTAGGTGTTCTGGTCCTTCGAACCCTGTTCCATTGGCTTGCTCCCCACAACAAACGAGACGTATGTCTTCATCATTAGTGTTACCAGATTTTTTCAAAGCAAAATTTCGTGGTGAAACGAGAAAGCGTTTTCACCTGCGAGCACAACAATTACAATCCCCGACAATAGCATGGAAAATCAACACCCTAATACCTTGCGATGAAATACAATGCTTAACTGTGTTTGTGACGCTAGACGCGTGACACGTGTGACAGAACAATAGGGTCGAGAGACATAGCGGCTTACATATTTCTGGTGGACGATCATTGCTGTGGGAGTTATTTAACGCGGAAGAGGTATTTAAACACGATTATCAGGGCAGCCGGAGTGCAGAGTCATTACTTCGTCTCCTCAACCCTGAAAGCTCTGTTGCACCATTCACAACACTATTTCGGTCGAGTTTTTTCTGTGACATTGAACACCAAACTTCTGTAATACCGTTAACAGGAAGATTAATTAGAAATTGGGCGTGTAAGGAAATCAGAAGAGGCCATACAATCCGTTGAATATGAAAAAGCCTGCCACTGCACTTTTTAGTTTACAGTTTGAGTGATTTACCTAGTATCAATACTTGTGTTTCGGCAGTGTACCAGACGCTGCTGTTAGTGAACACATTCAACGATATTCAGTGGGGCTGAAGCGAAGAGCTGTTTTAATTTTGTGTTGTCGTTTACTAGAGCCACAAGGTAAATTTGACTATATTTGTTTGCCACCCACGCTTTTACTAGTGTAGTGTTTTTCTTCTGTCTCTTAGCCTTCCGCAAAGAAGGGACAGAGCGGTCCGCGATTTCAAATAAGTTGTTTACTGTACTACTTGTTCTTTCATTCTAGCTTCACCGATTCAAATGATTTTGAAATCGTGCCCGATGAATCTTGATTGGATGTATTTTGGATAAAATGGTTAAAATCTTGATGATATTTACGTTCTATGAAAGTGATTAATGTACCAGTCACCATAAAAAACACCGAGAGGTGATTCTAGATGTCCTAGCAAATGCCTGACGGATAGTACCCTTCTTTGGCGTACTTGTGTCGATATGGTAAATGTAAATGAAGCAGCAGGAGAATGGTGTAAAGTAACTCAGGCCATCGAAATTTAGCGGTAGAAATGTGCGTAATAGCTGGAGTATTCTCTGATCCCCCATGCAAAAGGAATACCCTGTAATATTTTGCGATAAGATACCTATCTTATCGCAAAATATCAAACTAGTAAGGTAATGTTTACTAGCATCAAAAGAAGTGCATCTTTTTGGAAGTAGTGCAAAATTTGGTGAACCCAGACTTTTGCATGAGAGTGTGAAGAAAATCAGATTCAATGAAAAGAAGGATACACTGCTGGCGCAAGAAGCAGTCGGGAACTGGAGAGTTGAAATTTTAGCATGATCTTCGGAGTAATCCCTTACTAACGCCCTTCACTTCGAATTTAATTCAACGTTTCCTCGGGCTTCCGCCCTTCGATTACCGGCCTGGCAGTAATTAAGGGGTATAGGACTGAAATATTATGGGTCACCAATCAAAACTTAAAGAAGCCTATGTGGCCCTGTATTCTAAAGTAGTGCAACATTTTGTCTTTTGTTTGTTTTGTTCGTTTGTTTGTTTGTTTGTTTGTTTGTTTTAATCAAACGCCCCGCTTTTGCTTAATCCGTAGCAAGTGGGTAGCCAAAATGGTTCTCAGTTGCTGCTATCTTGGTGTTGAAATGTTCTTTGTTATTCACCTCCGAAGTGGCCAATCAGTGAGCTTGGAAATTGCTCCGTGCACTCGTGTGCTCTTGCGTAGTGAAAACAATGTCATGGTGTTATTTTACACTTAAAGTTTCATGACACAATTGAGACGAAAGTACAATTTTCTTTATTTCATCACCGAGCTATAAAATTACCATCCCTCTTGGTGTGTTAACGCATAACTGATCCTTGCTGGACGAGTGTCACATATGAACCTCATTGTGGCATGGCTTACTTTAGAGAGTCTCTGAAGCTCAAAGATAGAGTAAAGAATGTCTTGCGTTTAACCCTTTACAACCTAACATCAGTGTTCATATTCTCCATACTGTTCTCTGTACATTAACTATAGTGCTGACAAGGAGAATTCGTCTAACAATGAAGAATTTCACTAGTTTGTGATCATTTCCTTTATTCTCGTGACATTAATGTGTAATTCAGTAGTGGATGTAATGCTAATCGATTGGATTCCCGGTACAGTAAACGTAGCGTGATCTCATATCTCAGTGGAAAACCACATTATGACGTGCTTACGTAAGCGGTCTGAGCTTTCTATGGTCGGTTATTTTCCATACGACATTGCGGATAATGGAAGTTTTACTTGGATTTAAATGCTCATCTTTGAGTCCAACGTGTTTTGATGATCTCGAAACTCCGTTGAATTTCACGTTAAATATTTCTTTGCTCATCACTTTTTCCTGAGACTCAGTACTTTTACTGTTCTGTATCAAGTATTTTACCAGAGGCCTGGGTATGAGTGTATGTCTCGCGGATAAAATGAATGTGTCGGCCGAAAGTTATATCACTTCACCGTCGCTTTTCAACTTCTCTTGTACGCCAGCAGATAATCAGTAGTAAATCTAAACGATATTTATCCACAATGGTAATTCAGCAAGCGAAACAAGTGTGGAAAAAGGCGGACGCTGTCTGTTTTGACGTGGATAGTACAGTCATAACGGACGAGGGCATCGATGAACTTGCCGCATTTTGCGGAAAAGGGAAAGAAGTATCACAATGGTACGTTGTCATGCAATTATTTCAATTTATCAGAACTTCTCTTCGATAGTATACCGTTTATAGGAAAGTATTTGGTCCCTTAATATCCCGGTAAGGTCTACTTTTAATCGGGATGATGTAACAAAACAGTATTTACATAAATCGTTATCTAGCCGCCAGCGAGAATAGGAGCGCCTAAATGTTTCTTTCGCCCCAAAATTTTAGCCTTTTAAAGGTGTTTAAGGTGAAATGCTAGTGTAAGATCCTTAAATTTAATCAGAAACGTCTCTGTGTGGGTGATTCGGGAATAAACTTTTAACGTTGTATTAACAACTGGAGATTCATCCATCTTCCATACTAAGTTAATCGATGGGGTCCACCTACGGAAACATGTGAAAAGAAGGCTAAGTTTGATTAAGTATGGCTTAAAATCGATCGTTCTCTTAATTTCGGTGTAGAGAAAAAATGACTCGTTTATTCGGTGAGGTCTATTTCGGCTCCATCCCATGGCTGGGCAAACCCAGCACGCTTTGTTCACGTGAGACTGTCACACGAGGAAACGTAACACTGTGTTTCTTTATCACGTTGCTACCGACCTTTGGACATTATGACAGAAATTCGTACCAGGCCACTCGTTCCACAAATGGAAAAGCCTTTCCTAAAGACACCTCAGGCAATTTTTTGGTTACTAAAAATATCCCAGTTTTGAGAAAATATATCTACATGAGGATATTTTGAATAGATGCAAGGCTTTCTTGGCTGAATTCTGTGTTTTCCATAGTGTTCTATAGGAACAATATTCACCTGTTGGCAAGAAAAGTCATCTATCAACCAATCAAGTTTTTTGGGGAGAAAACATCTCAAATGTGCATCCATGTTGTCTCGTTTTTGTTACTGTTAGTATTTCCACTACACTTGTAAACATGAAATTTTTTCATTTGTGATTGACAATTTTGGAATAGTTATGCAAATGATGTGCTATTCAGGCATTTTCAGATGTATTTAAATTTTTTTGTGATATTGGAAACCAAATGATAATTTTTGTTTTTGATAATTTAAGTTATGCAAGGTAAGGTATTTGTCATTTTGGAAAGACCTAGAACTGGCAGTTTTGGAATATTTTTTTAGGGAGATGTGACAGTAAACTATTTTTGATGTTAATAGTTCGAGTCTTAATCTTTGATCAGAACCTGTAAAAATGTAACTCCTTTAAACAACGAGATAACTCTACCACTGTATGCATTTGTTGAAGGGACTATAATCACATTCATTTGTGACCCTTGCATCAATCATATGTTTTCTATGTTTTGTGAATATGCTGAGGTATTTAAGCTCTAAACTTCCCCTTCGATGAAAATTGTGTTATGACCTATTAATTTAAATGCCAACAAATGAAAAAGCTTGCTCTAAAAACCCTATTTTCATGAATTTATTGGAAATGTCTCGTTTTCAATTAAAATGTGGCATAAACCCTCAGTAGCTTGTCTCTCACCCTACATGTTCATGGCTTTTTTTTTATGCATTCATTGGTGTATTGCTTGTTCAGTGTCTTGAACCTTTTTGCAGGTTCATGGTTTTCACTTTTGAAGGTAACAGATTTCTGATTCACGATTTCAATGTTAATCCCTTTGCAGGACTACTAGAGCAATGGGAGGGGGTATTCCATTCAGAACAGCACTTAGGGAGAGACTGGGAATTATTAATGCATCAAGAGAGAAGGTTTGTTCAACGTGTTAAGTTATGGAAAAAGAAAGCAAGAGATTATCACTTTTCCTTATGAACTTCAAAGAAGTTCTTGTACACTTTTCCATTTCTCATTTCACTTAATTTTAAGAATTTTTTATTTATATTCTGTGGTAATCTTGACCAGTGTAAACTGTCATCATTCCTATTTGGTGTCTGTTTTCCCTATCCAAGTAATTTCTGTGGTTAATTGCTGGGTTTTTTTTTTGTGATTTTCCATGATACCATTAGTGGCTGTGGATAATGTGAAGAAGCTCCTTCTTATGTCTGTATTATAAACCTTGAAATACAAGATCGATCTTACATGGCTATTTTTTTTCTTTTTTTGTTTTGTTTTTTTCCAGCTTCATGAGTTCATAGAGAGAAATCCTGTCCATCTCACACCAGGAATAAGGTACATTTAAGAAGTTTTTTACTAGGACAGTTTTGACTAAGCATATTGATTCCTCACCCATAAATGTAGGTGCCTCTTTGTTTGGAGCACTAATGATGATGTGAGTGTTTCGTTGAATCTTTGATTTTATTTGAGACTTATTGTATGTAAAGTTAACTATATCATTATGATTTAATTTTAGGGAGCTAGTGAATAGGCTTCAGGAACAGGGTACTGCAGTTTACCTTGTATCTGGTGGATTTAGAAGAGTTATCCAGCGTGCTGCAGAACAACTTGATATACCAGATGAAAATATATTTGCCAATAGACTGCAGTTTGATGATGAAGGTACTATTTGGTTCTTTATTTTTTCTTTTTGTTTTTTCTTAAGTTCAGTATTAATTGGTGATCTTACCCTGCTCGTGGCCAAATATTGGAAAATATTATTTAGACACCTCTTAATTCCAGCATAGAAGTTAAATGTAACATTACAATTGACATCTATATCAGCCTGCTAACCCATGTATCATAGGCTACTTTTTCTTCCCTCCATTCCCCCTTCCCAGCATATGGTTAAGTGTTCTTGAAAATTAGTTAGCTAGTACTCAATTGTACTCTTATGACCCACATGTATCTAAGTAGTCTCAATAATGATTGTAACTTTTCTGGTGATAAAAATGATATATGGTTTATTGAGGTAAATGAAAGTGTAATGAGCTGTGGTCAGATTTGGTGGCTTATGTCTTAGAAATACAAAGAGTCCCCAGAAATCTGCAAGTGAAAGGCTTAAAGGGGTTACTTAAGGTACAATATCTTGGTGTTTTCTTTGATTTAAAGAATCTGGATTTCTTCTTACTAGGGCATTACAACGGCTTTGATGAAAATGAGCCCACCTCAGATTCTGGAGGGAAGACCAGAGTTCTAAAGCTTTTGAAAGAAAAGTATGGATACAAAAGGTAAAAACAGTATGCTTGAATGATACAGCTGTTGGTCCTAGTGTGCAAAAGGGTAGCAAGTTCTTCAAAAGCAATTGCATTGGATGGCAGAGTGGGAATAAAAATTAACTGTGGTACTTTTGAAAAGTTTGAGCTTAGTTTGGGAGTGAAGACAGTGAATGGGAAAGTTGCTATGCTTGTACATTAGTTGTAGATGGTGTGACATGTACTTCATGCAAACTCCTTGTTCCATGGAGGACTTGATACATTGTCAGTTAACTTAACCTTAAACATAGGCAACTTTTTTGCAAGTCAGTGAGAAACAGTATCAGAACAAATCAGTTGTATTTTTTTTGTCTCTAACATTTCCTCTCGTCAAACTTTCATATGTTGGCTTTCAGTTTGGTTATGATTGGTGATGGGGCTACAGACCTAGAGACATTTCCATCTGCAGCTGTGAGTACCAGTTTGTTGTTGTTATTGTTTTTACATGATATATTATTTTTCAAGTGAATAGTTAGTTAAGTAAGATTAAGACTCTGGTTGTTTGCAAGCTGGTATGTAGTGTTATCAATGGGACAAATTGCCTTCTGCTCCTTGAGAATTGGTTAAACATGGGGAATGGAGAACTGAATCACTGAAATAAGTGAATCATATCAATATTGACCATTTGAACAACTAAGATGAGGCAAATAATGAAGATTTGGTTTATTTTTGTAATGCATGGTAGAGAGACATGATAACTTGAGTAGAGGATGTTCATGGTTTATTTTAAAATTACAGTCATGTAGTGCTGATATTTATTCAACTTGTTAAACTTTTCAGGACACATTTATTGGCTTTGGTGGTAATGTTGTGAGAGAAAAGGTGAAGGCACATGCTCCATGGTATGTGACTGACTTTAAAGAGCTTTTAAAAGAGCTAAACCCATCCTCTCAAAATGGAGCAACTGAAAATGGAGCATCAGAACATCTAATGAATGGATTGAATGGAGCAAGTGAACATGTAATCTCTGGAGTAAATAGCAAACACTACATTTGAAGGAAGCAATGCAATGAACAGATCTGTCAGGACACAGGATTAATTTTCATTTGAGAGACATTTTAATTATATACCACAATCCATTGCATCATCCATTGTGTGCTGACTTTTACATATCAATGATATAAATAATTATTTATTGACAGTACAAAATAAATGAATCTCATGAGATGGTTTTAAATCAAAGAAATTATTTTCAATTCACAACAGTGTTCAAAAATTTTCAGCAGACATTGTGGCCTCAAGATTATGGCTGTACAGTCAACCAACCCAGGAAATCTTTTTATAATTTGAGGTTTCTTCAGAACACTAGAGTTATGGTCTTACCACTTCTGTTGAACATGAACTGTTTTTTCCTACACAGCGTTGCAAAATATAACTCGATGTCTCTACTAATGTTATGCTATTTTCAAGTGGTATAGTATTTCTCGGCAAATATAAAGCTGTTTCTTTTTAAAGCTAATATATCTCTTTTGTAAATGTTGTGATCTGCTTGTTATTTGAGATTGAGAGTGACATAAACAAAAACAACTTTGATATTAATCATTTTAGCAACTTTGCACGCACAGTGCATGTCCTCAGATAAAAGCAATAGCTTTGGGTACATTAGGAACATGTTTGATAAAAATTCCTAGTTGGGTATTCTTTGTCATATCTGATTGATGGAGATGGATGGTTGGGGTCAAACCACTTGTTGAAACTTAATACTGCGGTTTCACGGTTGTCTACTGTGAAATAACTTATGATCCTTGCAGTCTGATTGGTTCTCACGGGTGCAAGCCAAATCACACCATTTTATGCTCTAAATAGCATCTTTACCAACTTTTAAAACTTTTCACCAACTAGCTAAATATACTAGGTCAATAGGATATTTGTGCGGACTTGTATTGCGTGCAACTGAATTTTGGAAAGTAGAGTTAGAACTCGTTATCCCAGATTAAGAAAAGGCCTGAAACAATATTGGTTTGAGAACTTTCATTTTTTCAGTGTTAAGCAATGAAGAAAATATTTACATGGCATGCTTCTTGAGCTTGAAACAACTAGGGCCAGTTATTTTAACGAAGTTTATCTGTTGTTAAACAAAAACGCGTTCTAAATTACCTTCAATTTTGTCGAACCTTTCATCTGAACATTTATTTTTGAGAACAGTGTAGAGAGGGCCGAAAGCTAACAGTAGAGATAACATTTATTTGATTATATAAACCCTCTCGCAAAGAATACCAGAAGCCTACTGCTTCTGTAAGACCGCGATTTGGGTTAGACCTTGTGTAAATAACCGGCCTCTTCAGTTTTTGAAAACGTAATCAATTTTATTCAAAGCTCGAGTGGAGAAAATTTCACCGTGACAGGTTCAAAGTCCCAGGCGTCAGGATGTCCCATAGGCCTTTTCCAGCCCGACGTGCTCCATTTAAAGATAGGCTGCTGGTCATGTGTGGGACCGCTGACCGCCATACACGACAGTGATTTGTCGAATAGGTCATAACTGGTCACCTAAATCGGCAAAGGGAACTTAATATGGATTCACGTCTTGGATTTGTATGAAAAGTTGCACCGTAAATTTTGTTTGATCGGAGGCTCATTTTTTCCTTTTAACGGTAAATACAGCGCACAGCGAAGGGAATTTTGTAATTTGGAGGTTCAATCCGGCTTCTTGGAACAGCTATCTGGGAACAGTGAAAACTGAGATGTGGAAAAAACTTGAGGGTGAATATAACGGGTACATAGATGGATATTTAATGATAAGAATGGACTAGAGAGAGAAATTTATGTTGTATTTTCTTAGGGAAATACACCGGTAACATTTTCTCTTTCTTCCGAGAGAACTCCTAAGCAAGGGGAGACCTGATCTTACCTTGCAGTCTGTGCCTCCATGGTTTCTGTGGCCTAAAAAACTGAAAGGATAGGAGCCATTTGCAGGATTGAGGTCGGAGCGGGCTGATATAGCATTCTCAGCACTGTACGGAGGTGAACAGGAGCACTTGGACAGATTGTCGTATTTGTAATCGTTATATCTGGAATAATGATCCGGATCGTTAAAAAAACGTTCATTACTTATATTAAAGCTGCGCAACCCTCTTTTTCGGGAGGGGGAGGAGCTAAGGAGCAAAATTGTGACTTTAATTGATTTAAAATCACAGAATGCATCAGCTTAATCGTTTCACTCATTACTGTCTCCTATACAATTCTTAAAACCAATAAGCAGTAAGCTTTTTAGCAATAACCCTTTTTACGATATTGATTCTTATGACGTTAGTTCGGTGAACTAAGTATTGGTGAAAAGGTAAAAAACGAGTCGTTTAGCTAACGACCAGTTCATTAACGTCTTATATCGTTTCGCCAACGTCTCAGGTCAGTCCCATCCCATAAGTTATCTCGCTAACGCACAACAAAACATTTAGTGATTCCATCAGCAGAAATTGATCGCCTTCTAATCGACCGTCGATTCGATATATGCAAGGTCGAATTGATACGACTCAAGTCACAGGAATACAAAGAAAAAAAAAGTAAAGCCTTTATACAGGCTTAAGTGGCCCGCGCTTATGTCCGGTTTCATTAGCATGAAGCGGCTAGGAGTGTTGTTACTCCCCCCTGGATGGGATGCTAGTCCATCGCAGGGTTACCCCCAGCACATTTGCTGGAATCCATTTGTATACCTGGGTGAAGAGAAGCACTGTGAGAGTAAAGTGTCCTGCCTAAGAACACAACATAATGACCATGGCCAGGGCTCGAACCCGGACTACTCGATCCGGAGTCGAGCGCACTAACCATGAAGCCACCGTGCTTCCACACAAATTCAAAGTTAAGGTTTAATTTGGAGGTTTCATTCGTCTATGGTGCAATAAACCAACAGCAAAACATTTCATTTGTCGCACCTTCGAAGAAAACAAAACTAAGAAGAGACGTTGGTGAAATAATTTAAAATGTTAGCGAACTGACCTGAGACGTTGGCGAAACGACCTAAGACGTTAGCGAACTGGTCGTTAGCAAAACGACTCGAAGGCGAAACGACCATTTACAGGCATACCTCATTAACTTTATGAAGCCACTCAAGTCGTTCACTTTTCCTTGGTCCCTTTTGAAGATTTGAGCTCGTGGGTTCAAATGATAATCAAACCATGGACCGTATTTCTTGACATTCTCTGGTTGGCCACTTAAGTTGTAGATTTCAGGGAAGTATCTATGAAGGAAACAAAACGGATTTCACTGGGAACCAAAACATCTACTTTTATGTTTCTGTCTGGGGGAGGGGGGTGGGGGTACCAGTCAAAGGGTAAATCATACTAACGGTAGATTGTAGCTTGCCCAGTATCGCTCGTTGTCGAGGATTTCGGACATGTCCGCCATCATAACAGTTCCTGGTAGTTGCTCAAGAACCCAGAATGTATCGGGCGCAAGCGGTTGATTCGGGACAAACTGCTTATAGTTCACGACCATCCACTGGAAGAAAAACCAACGAACAAAAGGAAACAGAAAAAAAAATTCGTATAAGTACAAGAGAGTGACACCAAAACAGTTTAGGAACAAGCTCAGTGGAACTAGTCCCAGCAAGAGAATATAGCTTTTTTCTCTTAATCCTAGTTGGAGTTTTTGAGCACAAGACTTCAAACAGATCAATAGTTTTCATCTCACACGTTTTAACCACGGGTTAAACTATGTAGGGTCAACTGAGTTACAACAAAAATGCTCGTAGAATTGACCCCCTGACTTCAAATACTGTATATCTATGTCAAGTTCAATGTAGGGTTCAATTCATCAGTGGACTGATATCACATGGATCAAGAAGCAACGCAAGATTTTATTAGGTGTTTTTCTTTGGTGTAGCAGCGTCTTATGTATACCTTAGTGACATTAGTTAACCCTTAACTCTCGTGAGTGACCAAGACAGAATTTCTCCCTACAATATCCGTAAAAATTTCAAGCAGACAAGTGATGAGAATAAAAAGAGAAATATCAATTAGTGTATTATCGGTTGATCCAGTAACAAATTCTCAGAACTAAAACCATAGGAATTGAACAGCAGTCAGTAAGGAGAATTACTAATGAGATGTATCAAACTCGTGAAGTTTTTTTCAAAATCTTACCTGGTTATTGTAGCTGAGAGGTCGCGTGTATTTCCGGTAGAAAATAACCAATGGGGAAGATGAAGGTAAAGAAAGCAGCATAATTAACCTTAAAATATTTTTCATAGCAAGAACTACTGCAGCTGTCAGCCTTATCTTTTCCTACCGTTTTTAATGAGCAGATCTAATGCAATAAAATGAAGCTCAAGAAAAGTGTTAAGAATCCAAAGCTGCTGTTAGTGAATGGTAATCACGTGTGAAGTCTTGGAGAGGGGACATCCTGAGGAAATATTGTAGCAAATGACAGAGGCGCTTGTCCTCTCGCTGTGAGTTGAAAAATATGGGTGTTTGGGACGAAACTGATTGTTGGCGAGGAATTTGGTAGGCTTGCACATACAGATAGTTAAAATCTGCATACATCCCCATCATTTTTAGAGGAGTTCACCAGGGAGATGGACAAAGCCTTTTTCCACAGATATCTTCTCAGAAAATAGACCACAAATGTTTCATCGTAAAATTAAGTGCAGCGAGAGTTTAGCACTACAGTGTGTTTATTGCAGGATTTAATTGGAATTTGGAAGGAGAAAAGCTTGGGTGAGGTAGAGAACTAACTTAGAGGAAAAATGGCTGAACGTACATGTAAGCTAGATCCGGGAATCGAACCCGGGAGACTGAAGAGAGAGAGAGAGATGAGGCGGGAAGGGGGCTCATTCCCCACATGACTTGTCATGAAAGTGCTACAGTGCATAGTCAAAACCTACGTTCCACTATTATACTTGGAAAAAATCTCGACCCATTCCCGCGCCGTATTGGCAAGGCGATTAGCCACAAGGTTCCTGATCCATTCTAAAACAGTGCCAACAGGTTGAACGTATTTCCACAAAGCTGGGTTATCGTTGTCTATGGTCGTCTCTTGTACTAACTAAATTTAAAGAACAGACAATGATAAGTATGATGATGATGAAAATAATAATTGTAATGACAGTTATAGTAAAAAGGAGACAGTGTCAGCAATTTTGGACACAGAATAATGAGGTCTGACTTCTCTCCTGAGGAAGGCTTCTTATTGTGAAACACAAACTAATTAATACTAATTACCAATCCACTGTTGATCATGTAGAAGTCATCTCCACTCAGGAGCCGTCCTGGGTATGAAGAAAAACATTGCTTTTTTCCTGGTACAATGGCAGGGATATCGGAATCTAGAAAGATCAAGGGTGAAAAATTGTATCAGGCCACAGTGCATTAGGGTCTATCACCGGGGAGGGGGGACCTCTGAGACGGAGTGATTAATAATGACCAGTCCCTTCTATATCTATCTCTCTATCCAGGCTAGTGCATTGTATCAGGACAAAAAACGACATCGCTCGTCGAGGCTTAAATACAGGGGAAGCGGGATGAGGAGGTAGTCTGCTCCAGACTAACAGAATAACAAACCAAGGATGAGTAGACATAGCGTGTGGTTGGAGTTTTCATTGACCCTCTGAGGTCCTCTGAGTATTTGCTTTTGTGAAGCTTGTTCATTTGTTCTATTCTGTTTAAGTTATGAAAACATCTTGAGAGTCTATTTTCCCACCTACCATGTCCTCACTTCTCTTCAGGCATATATCGCACACTTTCTATCATTATTAGCATAGCAAGTAAACCTAGTCGACCTAGGTATGAAGCATTCAACAAGTTCTTGTGGGGAATACCTGTGATTCTTTGACGATTAAATGGAAAGTTATAAGACTTAAACAGCCGTAGCATAGTGTTGTAAGAACCCCACGTGTCATGTGAAATCAGCAGATCCTTGTTGCCAGGCAACAGCTTGACAAGTGCGGAGCATGACCCTGTGCCAAAACTTTTACTCAGAGTTTTCCTACCGAGAGCTTGTTCCAAACCATCTAAGTCACCAGCGACTTGCATCAAGCTGTAAGGGAATGAAGAAAAAAGAAAACAGCAAACAAACATCGAATTTGGCGACTAAAATGGATGAAACGGTAAATTTGGCTGATTTCCGGTGTTAGCCTGAATGGGTTTGTGAATGGTCTAATGTCCAGGCTCCTCAGGATAGAGCGTTCCTTAGTTGTATAATACCAGCAAACCGAGGAAGACTAGTTCTTACAATACAGCCTCTCAAAGAAATAGACTATGAATAGGAACCAATAGAGTGGCAGAGACCAAATAAGAGTAACCTATGATGGCATTAGCATCCCTTTTAGGCGAAGTTACCACGCTCTTTTTAGACTTTTTAAGTCACTTCTTGGTACAGAACCAGAATGAATGTGATGAATCAACTGCATTATACTGACTTCTTCGTACAACTCAAGACAAGCACATGAATGACACACAATACATCCAAGGTTTGCTGAGCTTATTTTCCTACGACACTTCACTAAACAGGTCTTACAGGAATCCAAAATCAGGAATGACAGCTCCTTCAGCTTTACTTTTGTTTTCTCTGTATCCTTCTTTCAGACCCTCAAGCTGCTCAAGAACAAGTTCAACCTCGAAAAAAGAGAACAATAATAATTAAAATAATACGAACATTATACACGCATTTTGATTGGTTCTCAACTATGTTCTTTTGCAGGACAGATGCATAAATTGCGCCACCACTACCAATTTTTTGCCTATCTATTGTATAAAGAAGATAGATTTTATGTTACCATGGGCCTATTCAGTAATGACTCGTAGACGTCAAAAAGTGGTGAGAACATCAGTGACGCACTCGGCTATAAAAGTGCCATTCATTGTTCTTACCACATATTGACATCGTCTATAATAATCATAATGTTATTTATCCAGGGAGCTCACATCACCAAAGGTGTTATTCAGTGAGGCCCTGCCAAAAAAAAGAAAAATGTTAAATTTGAAAGGTTAAAAATAGTTAAAAATACAATATTAAAATGTTCAATAAAATTACATCATAAAATGAGTTAAAAAATTGCTTAAAAATTAAAAGTGACCTCATGTTACGTATTGACTTGTCAAGACTATTCCATTCTCCCAGTCCTTGATATAAAAGGCGCTGTTTTCCATAATTGCGCCTAACTCGCGGTAAGTAAAAATTGGATTTGCCACGAGTTTTATAAGAATGGATGTCACTGATTAGCTTTGTATCAAACTTAAAATCTATAATGCCATTTACATATTTATAAACGAAGACACAGCGGTGAAACAACCTAAGTTTAAAAAGTGTTGGCCAACAAAGTTCTTCTAATGCCTCTATAGAAGAGATCTATTATTGAACAGAAGGCCGCAACACAGAATCTATTGGTGAAATAAAACACTGAGATAAAGGAAACTCTCAGACACTATTATTGGCATTTCCATTGTTACAGTATTTTCGAATGTTGTTTTTGAATGTGTTTTTTTTGTTATGAAGATTTTCGTCACTAATACATTGGCTGCCTCGCTCCATTTGTCTGTTAAGAGAGATTGATATGTCAGTGAAAGATCGATGTAAGGCAACTATGTACTCCTCCTTGATCAATCAATGTTGTAGATGATTAGCAGCCAGTTCGTGAAGTTAATTTTTTATACTTAATCATTTGTGACGAAGAAAGGAAGATGGGCAGTGTAAAGCTACAGTCCTTAACAAAGATCTTTAGGCGAGGGGAGATTTGCATACGTCCTAAAAATGATTTCAAATATGAAATTTGTAAAGTTTACCATCCCGTCCTCTAGTTTTCTTTCGTTCCTGCTTCCTCCCCCCCTCCCCCAGAATGATGTATACTGTTGACGAAATGGAAAATCACCAAATGCATAAAGCTGTTTCGAGAACGCTTGTTGGAAAGAAGCGTAAACCTGCACGTGACGAACGCGAAAGGTACCGTGGGTATTTTTCAGGTCACGGTTCCTTGGCCTTAAGATTTCAAGGAAGTCTGAGAAAAAGTCACTGTAAGGACGAGGCATCACAGGTTGGATGAATTACATACTTAGTAGACCTATTAAGGTATTATTATTGACTACCGGGTACCCAAATTACCTTTCGAGATTATCGCAGCAGTTTTGTCCTTTTTCAAACAACCTTTCTTGAAAAAGCCCACGACAAACATTGATATTGTAACAAGGAAGGAGGCAGAAATAAAAATTGTGTTTCAAAACTTTTGTCCAAATTGTCAGAGTTCCTTTCGTAATAAAAAAGCATGTTGATACGCTCCGAAAGGTAGAGAAAACGTCAAATTACACCAAATTTTTACACTTCAGACCACGGAGTAACAAGGAAACTGTTCTGATTTAGGACAGCTGTTAAGATGTTTAATCTCCATCGTAAGTTAGAACTGTTTTGGAGTAATTACAGTATAGTACAGGAGGTGACCAATACATTTGCCTTTCTGCTGTAGTACCTGCCTAGTCACAATACAATCGATCTCTTCTTATAGGAGATGTCATTCTGTTTCAACTAACTGCTGAAATTATAGTTTTACCTGGTGCCAGTATTCATCTGTTGGGTTGTTCTGTATCTGAAATCTCATCCAAGACAGATTCTCTCCGAGGAATTCACCGAGAGAGAAGCAGAAATCTGGGTCCTCTGAGCAATAATCAGCCAACGTGTTAAGCCAGTGCATGTCAATCAAATGTGACGTCACATAGCCCTCCAGCATGCCAGCAACCAATGCTTGCTGCTTGTCTTCGTAGTCACCACGGGTTACAACTTGGAAGAATTCCCAGCTGTATATCGAAAATAAATACTTTAAAGCGTTACCTCTAGGTGGGGAAGAATGCGTGATTATATTCGGAGATAGCGTCATTATATTCGGAGAGGAGGAATAGCGTGACTGGTAGATAACTCAAAGAGAAGCAAAGATTACGAATATTTTTTCTGCACGAATATTTAGCCAACGGATCTAATGAAGCTATCTTCTAAACCTACCAATATAACTGCTGACCTAATTTGCATATAAAAAATTCACCAATTTGTACGAAAGAATTCTCAAAATGAAGGCGTTAATCGGGCTAAAGAAGCGTATCAGTGCATATTTTATACGCTAATGAAGTCACCGATTGCCTCAAACCCGCGGGTATATCTTTAACTTCCATCCACCAACATCTTAAAAACAACGCAAATCCATGTGTCAGCTCAATTGCGCTCGTGTCAAAGATCATTTGCATAATTCTGAATTGACCAAGATCTCCTTTTGACCGTTCAAACTTCGTTTATTTATCCTCTACGTTGAGGATTTGAGGTTTTCATAACAACTGAATGGAGAATAGACGCCGATTCATCCTAAAACGTTGCGTAAACGTGATCGGTCGTAACGCTTGCATGCTTGCGTGACTTACAAAGTAAACAAAACCAAACTCAGTTAATCGAAAGTTATTTTACAAGGAATTTATCTCTTAAAACGTTTACTTGATTCATAGAAAGCAAAGATTGTAGTGACTGCGGGTATTTCAGCCCTGATTTCTTTCTCGGAATGTCGGGACGACGTATCGAATTTTTCTGAAGTCTGAAATTTTCACTTTCGATCGCTGTCCACACGGGTGTTTTAGCCAAATATCATTGTTGGCTTGTGGCATCGCAAAAAAAAGAGAATCGGAGAACAACTAAACTATTTTTGGAACATGTGTCCTAAACCCTTTTCATGGGCAAAAAATAAAAGAAACTTTTTTTCCTACGGGAAGTCGAGAGGACCGCTCTTAGCGAGAGCAGCACTTAAAATGAGTTAGTACTTGTTACGACTCGTGAACGTCTTAACTTAGTCACTGGACTTGAATATAAACAAACAAGTAGATAATTATGTTGTAGCGTGACCTCGAGACAAAACTGTTTAAAATCACCTTTTTTCAGATGTAAATTTTCGTCCTTTACTTGAACTGTGATGAAAAATAATGTGAGTTGATAACTCACAACCTAACGTCCCAAATATCTAACAGCCAAGTGACGATTGGATTTCTTCAGCAACTGTGGTGCCGAATGAGCAACTGAAAACTCTGGAATATCTGTTAATCTTACCCCGATTTTTGTATACTTCCACTAAGCTTTCCGCTTGCAACTGGATCATCATAGTTTCCTCTCCGGATTACTACATTAGAAGATTTTTCTCCCTTCTCCAAAATAGCTGAATATATCTCATCATCTCCGTATGCTAAACTCACAAGCAACAGGACAACTGCAGTAACTATCTGTTTCAGCCACATATTTGTCGATTACAGAGGCTTGTGCTTGACTTCAGAAGCGCATTAGACCGAAACAACTGCGTCATGGAGCCATTATGTGTCTAGGCTGAAAATTATTAAACTCGATAACAAAGCTTCTCACGTGATCACGCAACGGGTGAAAGCCCGAAGTCTAAAGTGGAGGTGGTGGATCAAGATTTTTTTTCCCAAAGATGGAATTCTAACCGACAATTCTTCTCTTCTTTCTTTGTATGGTGTAAATATGGTAAAAAACAGCTTCGTTTTTATCAGTTCCTAGTCCTCATTTTTGCAATATGCACTTTGGTTTGGCAGTAAATGTTGCCTAATATAACCCTTTACACTCTAAAATTAGTATGCATATTCTCCTCACTGTTCTGCCGACATCGAGAATTTGTTTACAATTAAGAGCTTCTTCAGTCGGTGATCAGCTCCTTTATTCTCCTGACCTTCATGTTTATTTCAGGCGTGATATGGTAAGGAGAAACTAGATGCCAGTCACTCTTGGGAATTAAAGGGTTAAGAGTCTGTCCACGAGAGGACCGGACAGGCGTGACACATGCCATCTCACCGATTTCTTTCAACTTTCACAGTTTATAAGGATCAGTAAGTTATTCAAGAATCCAGAGTGGTTCGGGCTCCCGGCTAATCCCCAGAGTATTAGAGCCCCCACATTATATCCCTTGGGTAAAAGGCTAAAATAAGCTCGAAAGATGCACTTTCAATTAATCTCTCTCACTCTAATTTTATTTTGTCCAATGGTTGTTTGGACGTTAAGGAAACAATTCCTTTAAGTTGGGGTAATTTGATATGACTTCTCTCAATTTGGAGCAGTTAATCATTAACTGTGTCACGCAACTATTCCTCCCCAAAAAATTCGGTTTTTTAATTGCAAGTATCTGCAATGGGTAACATACTATCATAGGAAAGACCTACCTTAACACTACGTCTGTGGACAAAAAGATGTTTGGCCTCTGTAAAATATTCGTGATCACGTCCCTATGAAATAAGTGACCTCTGTCGTTAATTTATGCAACTGGTGTTTAGTGGCTCAGTTTCAATTTGAGAATGAGATCGTCGACGCTAGTTTTGCGGTGCTAATGTCTAAAAACAGCAGATGTATAGCTGCCAAGCTAAGAAGTCACATATCATAGAAATTTTGTGACGCTGACACAATCTATTGGAAAAATTATACGTAAATGTAGTAGATATCATACATTAAACATTAACGAATTGACGTCGGCAGTTGACAGCGACGTTTGTCAAATGTAATTTACACAAATGAAACACTAAATATACTCATTATAAGTTTACTCAATTCGCCATAATTTTTTTATCGGAGGGAAACTTTGGAGCAGACCCAATCGAATGTTAGGTACATTTTGATGACTCAAGCTAACTCTACCGGAACGCACTGTCTTAATTGGAGGCTATTCATCAGACATATATGAGAGGCAATCAACTGGATTAAGTAAGGCTCGAGCGAGTCCTTTAATGGTGACGGTATCTTCATCTTCATGTTGTATTTTTCTAAAAACCTGGCATATTGGTGCTTGTCCTCTTTTTTTTTTCTTCTTTTCTGGAGTCCAGACTTGTTGGTTTTTACTTCGAGGGTCATTTGAAAGGAGGTCCTGTATTATTTCTCTTATCGTCTTTGTAGTGGCCTTTCCGTTCACATTTCCGTTTACGTAGCTTGACGGATTATATGATACAACCTATATTTTTTGAAAAAGTGTGCCGATGTCATTTTTCTGATAATTGTAACTTTATTTGGTTTTATCAACTGAGTTGAAAACGTAACATAATAATACTAAAATAGTTCCTGGGCATCGGGAGTGACCGACTGTGTGGAAAGCTATTGAGTGGAAGATTCAAGAAAGGTTGGAAGAAAAAAAAATACAGAACAAAAGCTCCTGAACGTTTATTATTTGGTAAAATTTACTTTAAAAGTAAATAAACGGTAAAACAGCTAGAAATGAGTTAAATTATGTTCTCCAAGTGTCCCTAACTATCTTTATATAAATCATGTCGATTCGTGTTTCCACGAAAATTTGGGGAGTTAGGGGTGGCTTAAAGAGAGCAAATACAGTCTGTGATGTTAAACTCAAGACTGCAAGGTCTTCAACCACGGTCAGCATTTTTTAGCGAATACCTAGGGAGGAACTGGTAACAAAGTTCAAGTCGAGGCTACGAAATAGAGTGTTTCTTCCTGGCTCCAGTGGTGTTGGTGTCCCGGAATTTCTAGAGGTTCCTTCCCACTTTGTGTTCGAGTTAAGAACAGACACAAGTCCTCTCTGACAGAGATTACAAAAATATGCATGAAATACATCAAAACAAAGTAGATAGGTCTAAATTTTGGGGAGACAATGCAGAAACGTAATCCTGGGCACTGATTTGAACCGACAATAAAAAAAATCGAACAAAAAAGAACGAGGAAAAAAATTTCTAGAAATACAGAACAAAAGGAACAAAGTAGATAAAGGGAGACAATGCAGAAACGTGCACTGATTTAATCGATCAAAGCATTTCTAGACAATATCTGTAATTCTTGTATCGCAAATTTCCCAGGATGCAGAGGAATGCGCTACGAAACAGGGTTACAACTTCCGGTGGAATACTAAAGGGATATGCACTTATAGCAGAACAAACCTGTTTTTGTTCGCCATCCGGTGACAGGTGTCAAGACTTGGTTTAACCAGGTCTATAATCATAATAACACACATGAAAATTCCATGCCAAGGTTTATTGGCGCTGATATCCCAGATGACAAAATGCCGCGGCACACCTTATACGGAAACGGAAGAGATATTGAACCAGAAGTGTTGCAACATATGCGGACATACGCGTGCGACAGCGTGGGCATGCGCTGTTGGTTTCAAGTGGCAGCGCGGTGATTTGTTAGCGCTGGACAATCTGACTGTTTTACACGGGCGGCTGGGTTTTACTGGCGATAGAAAGATTCTTTTATATTTAAACGCCTGAATAACTGTCAGTTCTGTTTTTCTTTTCGTTTTCGAATAAGGAAAATAGTCATATTGTTATGTAGCTATAGTAACAAGAACGCCGCAGGAAAATGTAGAGGAGTGATTCGTTAGGTTTAGTTTTGACCGATGACCTTCCAACAGAATGGATTAAGTTCTCGAAAACCTATTTTACTTGAGGGCCTAATGGCTGAACACTTTCCGCGAGTTTGCGGCTTGGTTTTTTTGGATGGAGGCTTGATCAAGATAGAGATTCCAGTTTAAATAGATTCACGCAGTAATGTGCATAAATCACCAAGGACCGATGCCACATGAATATAATCATCAACTAGGAGGAAATCCTCTTGATTGGTTGGTTAACTTTTATGTGTATTACCCTATGATTAAACAGGTAAATTTTCAGCTCCAAAACTCTAAATACCGACAACCTGTCTCCACACATTCCTACTTATCCTTTTCCGCTACAAGACAAGGTTATTCCATCATGTCTTAAAATTTTTTTTAATCGATTAAAAAGAGAAAATGACTTAGCCAAAGTGTTCTTGGTTAAGCCAGAACCTGAAGAAATACTTCCTATCAAATAAAAAAAACTAAGGAGAATCAGTTTAATCACAACATCAAATCTGAACGAAATACTTCATTACCAAAAAACGTGTTACAAAATATGATAGTTCCCACGGTAAGGATACTCAATCGATGGATTGTTTCTCTTTCCTTACCTACAAACTACTCAACGACCTTTTTTTCTTATCGAAGTATTAGTTACTGGATAAAGACACACGAATAATTCCAAGTCAAATATGGTGTTAAAAATCGTCCGACAAATCGTCATCCCACTTGACAGTGACTGGTTCAAAGTCCCAGGCGTCAGGATGTCCCATGGGCCTTTTCCAACCTGAAGTGCTCCACTTAAAGACAGGCTGCTGGTCATGCGTTGGACCGCTGACAGCCACACACTGCAATGTCTTCACCATCTCTGAATTTGTCAGCTGGAGCGAGCAAAAAGATATGACACCCGACTACTTTAGTACCGAACTATTTCATGACATAAGCCTTCAGGCACTCGCCAAAACGTGCAATACAAGGTCCAGGAATAATTTTTCTTTATAAAAGGCAATACTAATCAAGTCGGTAGTGTCTCTGCATATTTGCTTGAACGTACAGTTTCACTGACGCGAATTTAGCCAATAAACCGTCTCTTGTAGTCATTGTCATTTGGATGTCATCAGTTATATTGCGTTACTCCAGTTCAGCATCATTGCGCTTCATGATTGGTTCGTGAATTCGCCCTACTAACTAAACCAATCAGGGACAAAACTTATCATCACGTGGTCACATTTCCCCTTTCCCTGAGCTCCGTCACAGTGCAATAGTATTTATGCTCTCTGCCACAGATTTTTGTTTTGATTAATGTTTTCAGTTTAAATTCACAAAATATTTCCAAAAGTTGTAACACCCGTGCAATCAGATGTAGCTTTTACCCGGTTTTTTTTTCGTTTGCTTTTCTGAAATCTTCACGGCCACAAACTACTCACCTTGGCGTCAATTCCTCCATGTTGCCTGTGACCCAGTGCTGCAATTGGATACTTTCCATCGGCTGGGTTCAAGTCCGATCGTGCAGAGATGGCATTCTCTCCGCTGTAGGGTGGGGTGCAGTTACAACGAGCTAGTGGATCGTGCTTATAGTCATTGTACCTTGAAAAGGGAAAAAATTGAAAGAGGAAAACCAATCTTGTTAATTTTAGCATACGAACACCATTTTGAATTATTTTGATAACTCCATGTACTCCAGCAGAAATTTCCACCTCTGTCCCACCCCCAAACATATGAACAGAAGACAATAGCAAAACTTTGGGGACAGAAACAAATCTAGTAGGGGAGGTAGGGGATAACGCGTTTGATCCACGTTTAATGCATATACTAATTGTCTAACAAAATCAGAATGGAGTGGGTAAGTGAGTGAAATTACTTCCATAACAAAACCTCAGAGTGTGACTACGTCATACCATGAGGTAAAAAACGAACAAAGGCGAAGTGTCCAGATGTAACAGCTGACAAAAGTAGGCGAACGTAAAACGACGGGTCTGACAGTCTAATTCTAAACACCTGGGCCATACCCAACGATCTGGGCATATTTCATTTGAATTTACAAAACGATTTGAAGAGAAGCACACGAACCTCATAAGTTTCATCATGCTGTCCATATCAACAACCTTGTTGTGATCACGTTTGAACATCTGTGCTCTTGGAGCGCCATCATAACTAAACCATGAACCAAACTTCTCATAGCTCTCTCTCGTTCCGCTCATGTTGAATATGTATGGAAAATAGCTAGAAAAAAAGAAAGAGAGCTTTGAGATTTCCAAAATGTAAGAATGGAGTCTGATATACATCAAAGTAAAATTATCTGCTCGGAATTGGTTTAACTCACGGTAAATTGTAGCTAGCCCAGTATGTCTTCTCCTGCAAGAAGACAGACATGTCTGCAACTTCAACTATCCCAGGTAACTGCTCCAGTATCAACAATGTTCCTGGAATGATCGGCTCACCAGGAGTGAATAATTTATAATCAAGAACCATCCACTGATGAAAAAAAAAAAAAATCAGTCGAACCTGTATTTAGCGGCACCGTATAAAGCGGTCACCCTGTATTAAGCAGTCAGTTGTCAAAGTCCCGAATTTGTTTCCCCTTAGTCAGTGTAATTTTCACCTCTACTAAGCGGTCACCTTTATTACGCGCACGAGGTCACCCTCTACGAAGTGCCAACAGCCTGTTTTAACTGTCCTTCACCTGTATTATACGGTTACTGAAAGAAGAACCACTCAGATGAAACGAAGAATAATCTTTCAGGTAATTTTTAATCCATGTGTCTCCCAAAATCAAAGTACGTAGCGAGATTCTGTACATTAATTGGTCAATTATGGCAAAAAGTGGCATTGTTCATCATCTTTATAAAACTCCTAAATTGTGGAACCTGTATTAAGCGGTCAACACGTATTTAGCGGTCATCCCGTCATTTCCTGTGGGTAACCGCTTGACACAGGTTTACCTGTGCAGTAAGATGCAGTTAACCCTTTAATTCCCATGAGTGACCAAGACAGAATTTCTCCTAACAATATCAATACAATATCAACCAGATAAGTGATGAGAAAAAAAATTAAATTTGGGGATAATCGGTTGATTCAATACTAAATTCTCTGAACTAACATTATAAGAATTGTATGGATTGACTCAAATGGAAAGAGCATACTCATCTAATACCACTACTCAGGTAAACTAACACTTTGACATTCACTATCCCACAAATTTGAGAATCAATGCATCTATAAACTCACAGTTAGGAGGAAGCACACTGTCATCCTTCATTTGCTGTCACTTAACCCTTTACCTCCCAGGATCTGATTGTTAATTCACTCCACCTGCCTCACATTTTCTTGTTAATTGGTTGTAAGAATTTGGTGTTAGATCCAGACAACACCTTCCACCTGATACATTTGAGTATTCTCATTACCTGTTTGCTGGATAATGGATGGATATTGTAGGGAGAAGTTCAAGCTGAATCACTTTTGGGAGTTAAAGGGTTAACATACTAAGGTGCCCTTTACAGTAAGTGATGAGGTGCTTCAGTTACTGCATTGGACAACCTGTTGCTAGGTCATCTTATCCGAGATGACCAGATGTTGATGTCAACAGCATGATAGATGCATACATTGGTCGGTAAATAAAATTAAGAGTTGTTTCATAAAAAATGCATGATCTTTGACTAAGGTGTTTTTCACTTACCTCATTGTTGTAACTGTCCCATCAATTTCCATTAAACAAAAGCAAAACAAGAAGAAACATTTATCAATTGAATAGTTTGCATAACAACAGACTAGCAAGAAAATAAATTTAAAATTGAAAACTGAATTGGATTATGGCCAACAATAACGAAAACATAAATATCTGCAGGGTGGATGTGTTCCTGGCATATTGCAAATCATTAAATCTTATTTTTCTTAGATTACTAAATACAAATTATAAATACATTAAAAAAAACAAACTGTAATAAATTCAGTTAACCCAGAAGTTTCAAACATACTGAAGGAAGTGACTCACGTTCCACTGTTGTGTGTTCCAAAGAGATAAGTCCATTCAGCGGCTGTTCTTGCCAAACGATTGGCTACCAATGTGCGCATCCACTCTAGAACAATTCCCTCTGCATAAACATATTTCCACAGGTCTGGATTGCTATTACCAATTGTGGTCTCTTGAGAGACCTATGTGAATAAAAAAAATTCTAGACAGTTACTTTCCTAAAGCCAAAAATTAAAAAACTTTTCCGGTGCAAGTTACTGTTTGAAAGTAACAAAGATGTTTCTGTGAGCTTACCATTCCACTGCTTAACATGTAAAAATCATCTCCACTTGTCATCAAGCCAGGGTAAGAAGAGAAACTTGCTTTTCTGCCCGGAATAATTTCTCCTGTAAAATAAGTCAAACCAAGAATGTAAGAAAGCCCTCTTCAATCTATAAACCTTTCTGTCCTTTTTCCTTTAGCCTTTCACTTAACTGCACCTTAAAATTTCACTAGCCTCCATATGTCTCAAAGGACTTAACCCTTTAAAGTGCCAATCATCTGATTGTTAATTCTCCCCTCTAGCAGCTACACATTTCCTAGTAAATTAGTCACAAAAAGTTGATGTTAGGTTGAGATAACAACTTATAGCTGATAAGTTTGTCTTGTCATTACCTGTTTGCTGGATAATTTATGGATATTATGGGGAGAAGTTACATGCTTATTGCCTCTGAGAGTTAAAGGGTTAAAACACACAGGTGAGATACAAGTGGTTCCATCTACAGATACTTAAGCTGAAGTAGTTTCAGAGATAGATTAAACAAAGAAATTCAAGAAAACATAGTCTTAAATAAAATGATGCAAACCTGTTGAGATAAAATTTAAAGCAATTTAAAGGCCACATCAAACAAGACAGAGGCTTCATGAAATTAATGCTCACCTTTATTTCCACTGACAGTAAATGGAAAATCATAGAACTTAAACACTCTTAACATCTCTGCATATGATGTCCATGTGACTTGAGAGATGTACAAGTCTTTGTTGTCAGGCAACAACTTTATAAGTGCTGAACAGGATCCTGAGCCAAAGACATGGTGGACTTTCTTCTTTTTTAGTGCCTGCTCTAGAGATTCCAGATCACCATCAGCTTGGATAAGGCTTCCAAAAAAAATTTTAGATATGATCATGAGCTAACATGAAGGAGCACTATAAATTTGTTGGCTTCGCCCTTGATTTCAGCTCAGTGTGATAATATTATGCAATGTCCTAGCAAACATTCAAATTTCAAATTTTATGCCACAAATGAAGACAGTTTTGATTAGAGGAAATAGATGTTGGCCTGAACAAATTCTTCCATTGTGATTAAAACATAGAAACTTCTTAGAGCTGTTGAGAAATCCACCAGCTGTTCACGTGCCTTGGATTGGCGGCAGCTCAAGCTGTTTTGAATAGAGAGGTCTATATGCCACAATGGTTGATTGACTAAAGATCAAGAGGTACTAAGGCACCTCTTCTTTAATAGCACCCTTCTTTGTTTAAATTTAATGCATTTTCTGTAGGCAGTTATTTCAGTTGAAAAATAGAGAGCTGGGAGAACACTGCAGAGACATTAACATAAGCTGCTTGTTTAGAGCTGCCACCTCTCCAAAGGACATTTTTTAGCAAGGACTATTGCAGGGAAGGGTTTAGAATGAGGGTTTGGAATAATGCAGTGGTTCCCCTTTGGATTACTTTAGATTATCTTTTGTGATTAACTGCTCTTTGAATGGAAGTTCATTTGTAATGAGTCACATAAAAAATCATGCTCTCACCACCCCCTTTTTCTCAAATTACATTTGTCCAAATTCATTTGTAAAATGCTTAGGAGTCATGTCCTTAATCAAAACAACTTACAGGAATCCTAGATCATCAATTGAAGGAACACTTTTGTTCTGCAGATAGCCTTCCTTAATTCCCTCAAACTGCTTAAGTATTAGGTTTATCTGCAACAAATAATCACACACAACTGAACCCCTTGCAGTTAAGAAATACCTGATGTACAGTGTTTTTTTGGTGTACCATATGAGTTGAACCTACGGATACATCCTACATCCATCAAGCATGCCCCAATGAAGCTGTGTCTTGAATTGAAAATTTGAATGTTGAATTCACATTTTAAAATTGTTAAATAGTATGGAACCAAAGGATAGTTCAAAATGAGACAGATTAGACCAGAAACAAAAGAACTCCAAAATAAACAGGCAGGTGGAGAATAAAATTTGATTCCCACAACAATATTATTTACAGAGTCAATATTTACATAACCAATTTATTGATCAATTTTTGGGGGTTTTCTTGACCTTCTCAAAGTTGGCAAAAGTAAGATGACAGGTTTGTAAATATATTGAAGATTCATTTGTTTAATTTAACCCTTTAACTTCCATGAGTGACCAAGACAGAATTTCTCCTTACATTATTAATACTATGTCAAGCAGACTAGTGATAAGACTACAAAAATATCAGTTAGGGCGTTACAAGTTTATCCAAATTCTCCAAACTAACATCAAAAGAATTGTATTAAAGACTGTAAGGAGAATTACTAATGAGATCCAGGAGGTGAAAGGGTTAAACAGTAGGACATAGGTATAGGAGTTTATATTTGGGAGGAAGCAGGGGACGGTTTGTACTTTAATTCAACTGTTCCTTGCCACCCAGGAGTATCAATGGTTACTACTCAGTTGTCAGGACAGTGAATACTAAGGTGGGTGGAGAGGAGTTATTTGTGATGGTCTAGCATTCCATTTGGGTGAACAAGTACTATTTCTTATGGCCTTGTTTAATAAGTGTTGTGTACTACCATTTAACTCTTGTTGTAAAGCTAAACCCTTTTGAGCCTTAAACAATCCAAATATAACCATTGCAGGTTCCACCTCAGGTAGCACCTTAATAGTTGGTTACTTGTGAATATAAAACCTTAAGCTATAGTTTTGGTCTAAAGGATCACAAGACCAATGATGAAGTTGTATGATCAAATAATACAAAACAGTGATCCAGAAATCATTCCAATAAAAAGTGTACAGCTGAGATTTTTTACCTGGTACCAATATTTATCTGTAGGGTTGCTGGCAATTTGCTCGGATATCCACTTCAGGTTATCACCCAAAAACTTTCCCAGCGTCTCACAAAATTCTGGTTCAGCATCACAATAGCCAGCTAAAGTGTTCTGATAACTTTTGTGCATTAGTTCTGCAGTTAAAGATCCCTCTGTCATTCCTGCTGCCTTTGCTTGCACTGCATCTGATAATGATGCATTTGAGTGGATCTCGAGGAAAGTCCATCTATAAAAGGAAATAAGAAACAAAATTGAAATGATCCTGGATGAGTGAATAAATAACACACTTCCCCCTAAATGAATTCAGAAACCTTCCTGGATGAAATAATGCATTCATAAAAATATAAAAGAGGCCTTTCAAACTAAAGTTAGCTTTGTCACATTTTTGCAGATCTTTAAATATACCAGAGAAGCCTAACAATTTTGGACTAATTTTTCTACTGACCTGCTCAAACTTTACATGAGCCTTACTGAAAAAGGGCTAGAGCACTTAATTCCAAGATCTCACCCACCAACTACCTTCAGAATTCCAAGGGTGTTTTGATGATGAGGCAGACTACCACAGTAACCAACATCTTATGTCTTTTGTGACCAAGATCCAATTTAAACCAGGTTTGAAAATGTCACGTAAGCGTTGTGAAAAATATGATTATGTACTTTGGAATTTTTAAATTTGCCCACCAAACAGGCTGCTTACTTCTGACACAATAACGGGTAAAATTTCAGCACAGCCCCATACTATTGTAAAACAAATCTGTTTTCCCAACGGCAATCTATTGTTTTTGTCATTGTTTTCTCAATCCAAGAACTGAATGCATAATGTAGTATGGGGCTGTGCGGAAATTTTACCGCTTTTGCAAGTGGAGCGGATCACTGAGTTGTTTTCAAAACGTCTGTGTCAATAACCCATCGCAAACAATTGACCTGCCCTTCCATGTGCTGGTCATGGGATGCACAAGCGGTTTCAAAACTGACAAGACCTAAAGCAAACAATCTCTCCCCCTCTCCCTCGATCGGCTTTTCACATATATGTCTTTATCATCTTAACTGCGATATAGGAAAACTCCATTTGCGTAATGTGGACTAGGGATATTTTAGATGTTCAGCACTTACCCGGTGGAATTTATCTTATCATCGAATTTACCCCAGGCTGCCATAGGCTGAGAGGAATCATATCCAGGTTTTAAAAGCAGAGTTTCGCCATCACTACCAAGTACCACCGAAGCAAGGCTTTCCTCTCCTTTCGCTTTGATAATGTAGCCAAAAATCAGGAAGAAGCACTTCAAGATTGTGAGAGCCATGGTTTTTTCCTTGTCACGAGATGTAGAACCCAGATTGCTTGTAACAAACGCTCGCCTTTAAATACGAGAGGTTCACAAGAGGGGCTGGGAGAATTCACCTTTTGGACTTTAGATTTCAAGTGTAGTTGTCATGTGCTGCGAGCTCGACTAAATTGTCCGAATTTCCGGGGTTTGTTTACATCAAAAGTCACGTGACACTACAAGTGAACTCTAAAGTTCTCGAAAGTTTGCACAACTTTCCGGAGTGTTTAGAGGAGGCTATGTAAACACGGAAAACGTCCTCTTTTGCCTACTTACAACATATTTTTCTCCAATAATATTATTAATGAAGTAATTTGTTCTTTATTTATTTCTTGTTGAAATAGATTTTCTTAATGCTCGCTCTGGACGATGGTTTTTCCTACTAGCCAATCAAATCGCGGGTTTGACTACAACCTATCAAATTAGCAGTGTCAATCCTCATACTACGTCACACAACTCGTCACGACCGCTCAAGCACCTTCCAGCGTTGCGATGAAAGTCTCTGAACCCAATCCCCCTCTATGTTTTATATATCACGTGACCACAAAAAAGAAAAAAAGGAAGATGGCGCCTGAAGTTGACTGTATTTCCTTGGAGGCATATGTAGTTCTTAGGAGTCTTATTCGCCAATTTATGGCCATGCCCATTCGGTCTTGAGGATAATGTCTTAGACGTTTATTTTGGTGAACTGGCAAAAGATATTGCGTATCACTATGAGGTTAAACGAACGTTGTGTTGCTGAGTTTTCTACTTCCTCAGCTCCAATCGACAAAGAAGGCTTTCTCAATAAGAAGGGCGAAGTAAATCGAGGATATCAGCGACGTTGGTTTATTTTAAAGGGAAATCTTTTGTATTATTTTGAGAAGAGATCTGACAAAGAGCCCATCGGAGTGATTGTGTTGGATAATTGTCACGTTGAGTTAGCAGAAAGTGGAGAACCATATGCATTTCAGATAACTTTTGGCGGAGATGGGTCCAGGACTTATATTCTTGGTGCTGATACACCGAAAGAAATGGAATCTTGGATGAGAGCGATCACTCATTCGAATTATGAGTACTTGAGAATGATGGTAGAGTCCTTTGAAAGCACGTTAGCAAAATTAACTTCGGATGACCTAGTTAGTTCGAGCTCAAGTGACGGTTCAAATATTTCCAGAGCCTCAGGCCTTACTGTGGTAAATACTGAAGGACAAAGGTCGAACGTTGATCCAACTTTTGAGATTCCTAGTTCGATTGGGAAAGAAAAGCTTGGTGTTGAGTACAGTGATGGGCTGGATGATATTAAACTTAAAAAGAAGCAGGATGTTCCTGTTTCTTCTTCAGAAATTGGCCGTAGTGACATCTCTGGTGATGCTATTGTCAATAGATCCGGATCAATAGTTGGTAATCTGATCAATCTTGATGACGATGATGATGATCAGATTCCAATTCAGAATGAGTTTGCACTTGACGAGGGCTTTTATTCATTCCATAAACACTCTACTCAGCTGATGCCATTAAGCTATTCAGACCTGGAGCGCCTAGAGGATATGCACAATGATGATTTGTTAAGTAGATTGTCAGGAAATATGCCCTCTAGAAGTAGAGATGACTCTGATTTGATTAGAAGGGTTAAACGTGAAGAATTGTCCCGACAACAGAGACCCAAATCTGAACGTAGGAGAAATAATATTGGCACCATGTATCACAATATTGAAACTAAAGAAAGTTTGGAAAGGGAAAAATCTAGATCCCTGCCTAGATCTGGAAATCAAGTAGATGATACAGGTTATCATCCAGAGCATGGAAGTGTCTTCAAATTTCTACATGAACATTACAGTGCATCAATCTGGGTGAAATGTAAGGAATTATGGGGACAAGATAATGTCAGACCACCAGTGCAGCAATGAAGATGAAAAGTCAATGTCTTACTAATAAGCATTATGGTTGGATAACAATCAAATTAAGAAGAGATTGTAATAAAAAATCATAATCCAGAAAGATAAAGTTGAACCAATATGAAATTTCTAGAGATACACATTTGAATCCTGGTGATTGCCTTTTTTTGTCAACAAGACATTCTTGTCCTTGAACAAACTTTCCCATTACTGTGTGGAAAATTTTCACAGAGATGAATATTGATATTTTTTTAAAGAAAAAGGTGGCATTATACCTAGAGTAAGATAGAATTTATGAAAGCCCAGTGCTACCAAATAATCCATAAAAATATGTTCTTACCAATTTTTGTAACTACACTTAATTGAGATATTCATTGTAAAGGAAATTACTACTTTAATGACAATGAGTAAATATCTTTTAAAAAGCAATTTTGTTTCAGTCGGGTTCTTTGAGTCTTGGATCTTATACTTCCTTTGAGATAATATTCTCTACCTATTTAACTTTGACTAAGCTTGATGAAATAATAATTTTAGAAGGTTATGCTCAAATTTAATTTTTTTTGGGTATCAACATTAGTACATTTCCATACATTGTGAACTTGTTATCTTGTTAACCCTCTAGCTCCCTGTTTCAGCAATCTGTGCTATTTGTGAAGGGCTGAAAGTATAATGCATATTAAGGGTGCAGAGCACCATATATTTTAGTAGGGGGGGGCAATCAGTCATGAAGCCTAGTGATTGTAAGAAAGTAGAATGTGTAAGTGAAGAAGATTAATTTTCTACTTTTAGCTGTGTTCTTTGAATAAAAAATTACAGGTACCAAATTTTAATGTGATTCATATGACTTTGATTAATGCTAGGGCTAGTTTTATTGTGCCTTGAACATGGACAAATATGTGCATGTTTGACTGAACTATGCCATGTTTTAGGTAACATGTGGGGACCCCGTGGGGTGAGCATAGGCTTTTATCAGATTTTTGTGTTCCTGACAGTTTAAGTTCAGAGGGGTTTGGTCCAACTTTTCTCATGAGAACACTGCAAAAGTAGCAAGAGGGAAGTATATGTTTAAGGGTGGGGTTACTGTGATTTAACAGGCACAGTCTTTTATCATAGTATAAATACTAAGTGGGAGAGCAGTTGATGCAAGGGGAAAGAGTTAGGAGTTTAAAGCTGAAGTTTTCCATATGCTCTTTTTCTTCCCTCCCCCAGTCTAGTGAACAAGTATTATAAGTGGTGGTAAAATTTCAAAATGTTTCTTATTCATATTTATTACAAAATAATAATAAATAACAGATGCTGTAGGGAATACAACTGAATACTTTTAAAGTGATCTTTACCCTGCTTACACTGCATTCCTAATTCAAACATATCCAATAGCTTTAGTTCCGACACCACCCCACCCCGCTAGTAATCATCTTCGTCAAAAACCAATGGGGCCAGGGTTAGTGCCAATATAGCTCAAGATGGCGGAGGAAGGTGAGTTGAAATTCATATGGAGTTTGGTCTACATTTGTATCTTTTGTGCAGCTTTATAATCATTTGTATTAAAATAAGTTTGGATAAATATTCTAGTTCTCAAAGTATAATTTAAAGCACTGAATAACCGGAACACTGGAGAAAACAATGCCATGTCATTCAACGTGCTTTAGCATAGTTCGTTTTCTCTGCTTTGATATATGTCGATCGATTACCAGTCCTTCCCGCTTGTTACATTTCAGTAAGCGTCATAGATAAAGAAAACATTGTATTTTTGAGCGAAACAGTTGAAGAAATCGAGACTGGGACTAGTCATGTTTATCAGTTTTAACCGGTGATTGTGCATTGCATTTGCAACTGGACCTATACTTACGAATAGGAATTAATTTTCTTTAGTGTAGGGGTGATGATCTTGTGTTCTGTTTCATCTTCTATTTTCAATTGCTTTTGAGTAACTGAGAAAATCAATTATCCAGGGTGAAACGTTGCCTTGTTGTTTAAATACTTTAATTAACCACTCATTTTGGCTGCAAACTATTAAAACTAATATTGAAATACGAAAGAGCGACCTCTCCTCCTTTTGGTTTGTGAGTTTATGATGATGAATACAACTATTCGAGAAAAAGAAAGCATAGTTAAGTATGGTTTGAGAAAATAGATTTTAAGCTGACCTTTCATTTTGCCTAAATGTGAACTTATATACTTCCTCTTTTTTTTATGGCATTTTTTTGCCTTCTTCCTTTCACTCTTTAAAATTTGATCAATTATTCTGTGTTTTAATTGAGTACAGGTCAGGTTGCCAAGCTGGAAAGGCACCTGAGCTTGTTACGTCAAGAGTATGTCAAGCTTCAAAACAAACATATTGAGCTGGAGCAGAAGTACAGTGTAGCAGTAGCCACTTCAGGACAGAGTGGAGAACATGAGAACACATTTGTTAGCAGGCTGTTGAAAACTGTTGCAGAACTATTTGATAAAGACTTGTACAGGTATGGCCTATGGTCTTTACTTCCATTCAACCAGAACAGGTGTTAATTGGTTCTGAAAGAATGAACTTTAAAAGCCCAATAATAAGCTACTGCTGTTGTATGACATACTTTGAATGTTTACTTGTTCTAAGAATGTGCTTGTTCTTGTTGATGTGCTGAAGGCAAAGAGAGATTCTGTGAGTGTATACTGTTTCCAGTGTCTCACCCCACCTCCCCTTCCTATAACAGCAACTGGACATAGCAAATTTTGTCAGCCATTACCTGTGTGCTTGCATGATTTCTCTCCACACTGGAACCTTGTCATTTGAGTGCAGCATTTTGTGAATATTCTTTTAGCTGAACTTAGACTGCAACATTGCGAATTTACCTTTGAACTCTCCTATCCAAAACATTTTTCACTATTCCTGGGCTCCCAGGTTTGTAAAAGTTGGGTTTACACTAAGTCATGATGTAAACTAGTTAGAAATGAATGTTATTTTACTATTTGCAAACAGTGATATAACAGTGTGTTTTGCGGATCAGAAGATAAAAGCCCACAAGTTTGTATTAGCAGCACGAGGGGATCACTGGAGTAACAGAGATCTGAATGAAATTAATCAACTTGAATTAGCAGGTAACTTAATCATAGGGTGCTTTTTTCTAAAACTCCAGGCATCTCTCTGTTGTATCCTTAAGGATGGGCTTTGATCAAAGGATATTACTTTAAATACATTGCTATAATTTTTGCCAATTTATTATTTTTTTTAACTTTAATGAATGGAAGTTATGCTTTTTCTCTTGGACAGGATGCTAACTGGTAACAGTTAGGCCCGCCCCTTGCATTTATGTCACACTGACACATTTCACTGATATCAACTGATGCTATTAAAGCAAACAGTGAGAGTTCATAGCATTTTGCTTTGCACAGAAAGTATTAAGACCAGTCCAATATCAAATTTAATTGGCTATACCAAGAGTAAATTTCCAAGTACTTATGGTACGAAAAAAAAATCGAAGACAGGGTTATGTTGTTGTTTGGGAACAAAACAGATTGTGAAAAAGGGTAAATGATGAATAGTACTTGAGCACAACAGATCCTTATTCAGCCAGGGTCCTTAAGAAGAGTCCTTAAGTCACTGTTCTTTAAGTTGCTGAAGAATTAAAAAAGAATTAACCCTTTGACTCCCAAGATCTTGATGTTAATTTCCTTGTAAATTAGCCATATGAATTTGATAATAGAACAAGATAACAACTTCTGCCTGGTAGGTTCGAATATTCTCATAACCTATTTGCTAGATAATGTGAGGATCCTGATAAGTTTGAGTATTCTCATAACCTATTTGCTAGATAATTCAAGGATCTGGATAAGTTTGAGTATTCTCACAACCTACTTGCTAGATAATGTGAAGATATTAAAGGAGGTCAAGGGTTAACTTTTTCACTCCCAAAATTGACCAAAGAGGAATTTCTCCTTCCAATTTCAAGTCAATTTTTACCATCATGGACCAGAGAAAGGAGAAAATTATCAAATGAGAATGCCATTTTTATTATAAAACAAATTTTCATGGCTAATATTGTGAGAAATGAATACCAGTCAGTTTAGAGAATTGATGTTTGGATCTTGGGGGTAAAAAGGTTAAGAAATAGAACTCTTTAAACAAATTCTTCTGAGGAAAATTTAATATTAAACTTTTTGTATTTATTACTACATCTATGCAAGTCATGTTTATTTATTGATTATGATTTCAGATATCAGCTCAGCAGTTGGTTTGACATTAATGAAATGGGTTTACACTGATAAGGCAGAAATCCCCCATGATGAAGCATTTCTCATTGAGCTGGTTAAAGGAGCAACGAAGTATAGACTTAAAGAATTAAAGGAAAGGTACTGGTAGATGGAAAAAGAAATGATCTGATAATTTTCTGCAGTGTAGCTGAACAGTTTATAAGTCAGTTGAAAAGGTTAATTTTTGTTCAGTTATTTAAAGGGAAACCCTTGACACTAGAAATTGTTAACCTCAAGAGAGACATTTATAATTTTTGGGTTGGAGAATATAAGGGTTAATTTTTAAATTTCATTTCATTGGGAACATGATTTAGTATCATTTCAGTAACAGTTTTCACTTTTATAGCCTCTATGGCTTGGTTGTTTCATTTTTAATCGAGATGGTATTACATTTTAAGAAGAAAGCTGTTGGTAAATCAAAATGACTCTTCTTCATCATTACTTATTTGTACTCTTTTGTAAGGAGTAAACTCATTTTCACTGTCACTTTCTTCCTACATAAAGTGAAGGTCAAGTGTGGCTTGTCCTAGTAGAGCAATTTTATACAAAAATCCTTTTTGAAAGCCAGTAACAAGGTGTCCAAACTCCAATGCCGTTTATTTACTGACATTTTTTTGTTTTCTCTTCTTGCCAGGTGCGAGAAAATGTTAATGTCTTCAGTGTCAGTTTCAAACTGTATTAAGTTTTACCAGACTGCTGAAGATATTGGTGCAAAAGAATTGCAGAAGTATTGTGCAGAAATTATCTCTAATCACTGGGTTGGTTTTCTTAAACATTTGCACTTCTTAAACATTGTCTGGAGAGTAAGTGACTTTACAAATGGTCTACTTGTTTTGTTGTAATTTCAGCATGACCTTAAGACAGAGGATTTCAGCAGCATGAGTGCGCCATTATTGTATGAAATGTTCAAGTCAAAGTCTGGCTTTCCCCTTCACCTGGCAGTTAGGCATCACAGGGAAGATGTTGTCTTTCTGTTCCTGATTGAGTTTAACCCACAGGTAATCAGTATGTTAGGAAAAAAATTAGCAGTTCAGGTAAGAGAAGAGGCAGGGCAGATTAATATGTTCTTGAGGTGCATTTCCCATATGTCTTGCAATTTTTTTAGGCTGAAGATGGACTATGAAATCCATGAAAATTCACATCAGAACAGTTTTCTCAAAATTCTTGTAGATGTATCAGCAGCAGACCCAAATATTTTCACTGTTGTGACCCCTTGGTGGCAAGCTCACAAGAACTTGCCAGCTCCTAAATTAAGAATTTTTTTCTAATTTATTGTTTCATATGTTGAAAGCCTTAATTGATAAGGTGGTATTCCCCAGCAGCCTGGTTTCCCTCTCAACATATTGGTACCCATTTATACTCCTGAGAAGTAACACAAGACTTTGGTGACTTGTGCAAGAATGCATCAGAGACAGAGCCCTTTTGGGCTTACTCTCTTGACCCCTTTAATCAGAATCTGTCTTGCTAACTTCAGGTTTTCTCCATCCTCTAGAAGTTATCTGCATACACACTGCACTAACATGGTGCATAATTCATTCAATGTTTTGTGGATTTTGTAGTTACCTGGTAAACTGAATGAGCTGGAACCGTCTAGTGGTCAAGTTCCTCTTCACATTGCACTCACAGAGAAACAGGAAAGCATTGCTAGGACTCTTGTTGGTCATGGCTGTGATGTGAACATGGCAGATATCGATGGGCAGTGTTTGTTACACAAGGCCATAAATCAAGGTGATGAATTTTCTGCAACGTTTTTGATCAAGAATGGAGCAAGAGTCAGTGCTGCAACACACAGTGAACATGTGACCCCATTACATCTGACTGCTTCTTACAAGTAAGGGAACATTTCACTTTTTTCTTGAGAATTGCAATGAGCAAAATGGTAATTGGTGCCAGTTCAAAGCTTGTGGATTGTGACCAGGATGAGAAATCCTGTTTACAGACATTCTGGTAATGTTGCCATCATGTGGGAATTGAATGTAAGATAGGAATGGAACATTTGGAAGTGGGAGAGGTCCTCTTCCAGTTGCTGAACATGTTATTGAAAACTTGAATTAAACTGATGCATAATTTGACATATAGTAGTCATTTTTCATCGTACTCGTTGTGGTTGTTTTTCAGACCTTGGTCAGCTTCTTCAGTTCCTGTAGGAGCAACCAATTCAACATCAATGACATCAGCTCAAGGAATGGCAAGAATTGCATCCTTGCTTTTGGAGAATTCTGCAAATGTTGATGCCCAAGACAGTGCAGGAAGGTTGGTGAACAACATTTCTGTTACAAGCATGTTCTTGTTGTAAGCATACATATACAAATCAACTTTAAAACAAAATCTAATTAAAGGCTTTCTTGAAAAACTTGAATTTGGTTTGTTTGAATATCTCTTCTAAGAGGTTTGTCAGAGGGGAGTGTGGATTGGTGCAGGTTTGTCCTGAAGCCCAGTTGTACATTCTAGTTTTTTTTTTTTTTTCATCACTGGTATTTGGTTTGTATATCATTGACTGATTTTTGGGTCTATTTACATTTCAGGACTTCACTACACAGAGCTATAGAGGCTCAGAATGATGCTGTTCTTAGCATTCTACTTCAAAAGGCCAAGTATGTGGATCTCTTTCTTCCTTATGCTGCAGAACCCCCACGCGTGTCAAGCGCGTGTTATGCGTGGAAATTACACGTGCTTCTAGTAATCAACTAATTTTTAATTTAATATTTATCCTGTGTCAATCTTCCTTTTGATTTTTATGCACTGTTAAGCAGAAAGGGAGTGAGGATTGGAAAAACTATCCAGTAGGGCATGTCTTGTATATGTGACATATCCTCAGGGGGAGTCAACAAAGAAACTCATGACCGTCCTCTAGGAAAACGAGCTTCAAGATCTTAGGAGGGAAAGGCTAAACAAAGCCACAGCTTCTACTGTTCTATATACAGTTTAAAAGAGTTTAACATCAGGGGTCGGGACTCTTTCATAAGTGCACTCACTTCAACATCACAAAGCAAGCGGGGGCCAGGCAGTCAACGTTTGATGATAGTTTTGTGGGTGAAAAATAATATGTGTTTGTGAAATGAACGGTTGCGTTTCGGGATGACTCGAAGCCTTTTCAACCATTGTTGCCATGATTGGTACGTCCCCGTAAATGCAATTTTTCAGGTTTTTTTCTCCCTTATAACCCAGTGCTATGCAGAAAGGATCTGATTACACTGCGAACGAGAGAAGTAGTTCTCCTCTTTCGCCACATGTTCTCTCAAATGCAAATCCATGCCCAGTTCAAACATTTCCTGCTCATGCGTTTTCTACAATTTTCTCATTGGTTAATTGGCGTTTCTGTGTCTGTTCTGATTGGTAGACTCAATCTAGAGCTGCGTGACAATGAAGGGCGTGTCCCACTGTGGCTGGCATTGTCACGTGACACGCAAGTGGATCCAATGGACGAAGACAGTTTGGCAGCTAAGCTTGTAAAACATGGAGCTAGTGCAGATGCCATCAACAATATTACAGGTGAGCTACCTTCTTAGTACCGGAATATTTCACGGCAAACACCTTGTGGTGTTAAAAATAAAGGATTTTTTCTCTCCAATGCGGGAAACTTTGGTGACGCCCACGACTTGCATAAAATGTAAATTATTTGGGTCATACAACGTAGTTGTTTTTTTTCCTTCGAGTAACTGATGGTATAGAAGAAGATTGTTGACTGATTTGTGATCCTAGTTGCTCATGGCACAGTTTGCATCAATCCAGATTTGATTGTTATGGTAACGCGCAGTTTTCGTACGCAAGCAAGGTTAACGTGCAGAAAACTACCTCTACCAAAGTGTTCGTGACTAAAATCGCTAGGCTCTTACCCAAATCAGACAGAACTGTGAGTTCTAAGGAAAAATTTATTTAGGTTTGTGTTTTAGGGTCGAATGCGGTCCAGTTTTCTTCTTCCTCCTTGGGCGATTGTTATGAACAAAATATTCTTCTTCTTGAATGACTTTGTTCTCCCCGCACCCCTCCCTTCTTGCTCTTTCTCACCCTGGCTTGCCCGCTTAGTTTTCGTCTCCCTACTGATCGTTATTGTATCTCGGATATCTCAAACTTCCGGTGTCTATTAGTCTCCAGCAGGACTTTGCGGTACACTCATTGAGTTATTTTGTTTGATTGGTTTTTAAGGCGACTCATTACTTCACATGGCGGCTGCTTCTGGCCGTGAAGAGGCCGGTTTGTTTTTAGCGTCGCACGGAGCTCAAGCAAACCACACCAACAAACATGGCGAGATGCCTCTTCACGTCGCGGCAAGGAAGGGCTTGGCCAAACTCGTGTCTGAACTTCTTAACAAGTAAGTGAAACCAATCATTAGTCGTTGTGCTAAGCATTTGTTAAAACTTTGGTGAATTACAGTGCTGTAAGAGACGGTACGATGTAAGTGACCTTTAATCTCGCAGTGGCTTCTTCCTGCGACTTTTTCGTTTAACGCATATATTTACTGTTGAATGTTATTAGGCTTAAACGCCGAGCTGTTGGCATCATTTTTCCAGGCTTGACACTCACCTCTTGTTTCCATTAGCTGGTCATTCCAGCAGGTCAAACCCTTTCCTGTGTTTTGTGTGCTGATTTGTGTTATTTTTTTCTGCAGTGTCTAAGTGTTTACCGTAGTTTTGTTCAAATAGCGTATTTTTATGCGCCGGCAGATATCTGATCGTCTTTTCAAACTATATATGACAATCCGTGCAGATACCTACATTATCCAGCATAACATTGGATAACACTGACCAACCCCAATCAATCTCATAAATTGGAAGAAAATACTATCAGCTCTTAGGAGCCTGAGTGAGTGAAAGCCACACGAATAACCTGATATACAGACAGTATCCCGGTGTGTTTGGTAATCATGTGTCACTTCTATTTTTAAAACACAAACCTTAGAACGTGCTACGCCTCTGGTCTTTTTGTACTTCATGTGAATCAGAAATCACGGACAATCGCCAGCTCTGTTCACATCACAATTCAATCTCTTCAAAGCAACCATGAAACGTTTAATTTTTGTTCTATAGCGGAGCGAACCCGAACGCTCAAACCACAGAAACGGAAGAAATGAAAGTCAAAGCTACAGAAAGAGCTCAAGCGAGAGAGACAGCTAAAAAACAAGCCAGACAAAAGGCCAGAGAGAAATTTGTGGAAATGGAAACAGCGAAAGCTGCTGAGAAAGCGAAAGAAGCTGAGCGGCAGAAGAAATCACAAAAGCTACCATCATCACAAGTAAAATCTGTACCAGCTGTATCTTCCATATCGGCAAACAAGTTGAACTCTTTCGAGCAGGATCTGGGACACAGCACAAATCCTTTTGATGAAAGCGATCAGTTCTCATTTGGGTCTGAGGATGCAACCAATCCTTTTCTGGACGATATCAGAGCCGCATCAGCGGCTGCCTCCGCCCTGTCTTACGGTGGTAATCCTTTTGAGGAGCCTTCTAAAGGTACGACAAGCAGGTCGTCTTTTGCAGGTGATAACAGTGTGGAGCGAAATATTTTTCGCTGTCGCGTTTGCGTAGATTATCTCGGCTTATGCAGCTCGGTATCTGAGCATACAACTACTTGATTTCCATCGTCAGCTCCGGTTTATAAAGAAATATCTTTTACTTCCTACGGCTGAATTTGGTATATTTCACTGTCTGTCTCAATGATAATTTCACTTGTAGTTGCCTCTTGTCTTCTTAATTGGTTTTTTTTTTTTGTGGCCTATTTGTCTCGAGGGTTCACAAAAGAACTAGGCTGGATAGGAAGGAATTTTTAACGGATAGGTTCGTACGGTACCGTGTCCTGTGCTGTAAAATATTTCAGGGACTAGGAGTTGTGTCCAATAGAACCTGTTTGATACGAATTTAGTTACACAATTATAATGCACAAACTTCAGTATTATAAAGTGAAGAATAACCTCCTATTTCACAAACTCTTCACTCTTGTGCTGTGCTTGTCTTCTGCTCATTTAACGGGCTTACTTATTTTTCATCTTGTTTAATACTTTGTTTTGTCAGAAACTACCCCGGTACCAGATCCCTCTCCTAGTGCAGCCAGCACAGACGTAGCAGCCGCTGACTCTAACGCAGCTCAGACTCCAACAGAAGAAATGATCGACAAGCTGGTATATGACTTCCAGTTGTACCAGGATCCTTACCTGCAAGCTGTCATAATAGACTGTCACGGAAGGACTCCATTGCACGTTGCTGTGGCTGAAAAACATGAAGATGTTGTAAATTGTTTTCTTGACTTTCAAGGTTGGTTGTTGTTAAGTTTTAGTGAAAGAAAATTTTTATAGAGGAGCGGGAAGAGGTTAAGCGTGAGCCATTTTCTGATTTATCTGAATTTACGGAAATCCCCAACGTTGAAGATCTTTAGTGTGGATCAATATCCTATAATCTTCCTCTCGGCCATCTCATTAGTCCCTTAGAAAGAGAGCAACTGAATTATCTTTTCATTGGAGTGCAACTGGTGTGTTCTCTGACTTGCTATGCAAGGGGCTCAGTTCGCTAAACTACGGCAGACGAGCGCCGAAGTCGTCAGTGTACTGTCGTTCATTTACTTGCAATCGTTTTTTATTTGCCTTTGTCAATTACTACGGCAACACTTTTTAACGTGACATGTTTCTTTCGTGGAAACTTTGAAGAGATCGAAAAGGTTACCTTGAGGCTTAAGTTTTCGCCCATAAATCTCATTTCATGGACCAACTTTATTCATCTTCGCGCGTTGCAGGCAGTTTAGGCAGAGGTGGCCGTCTTCCCATTGTACCAGATTTTAACTTGTCAGACAGTGAGGATCAGACTCCCCTGGAGTTAGCTCTGTGTACAGGTCAGATGTCGGTAGCCAGTAGGCTGCTGGAGGCTGGTGCCAGTATTGAGGTCCAGACCACCAAAGGTCTGACTCTGCTGCATAAGGCTGTGAGGAGGGGAGATAACGCTAGTGCTTTGTTTCTATTAGAGCACGGGGCTGACATTAATAACAAGTAAGATAACTTGTTTTGCTCTGATAGACTTTGCACATGAATGTCCCACTACGACACACTGTATAATGGCGTGACATGACAAGCTGGGCAACTTACACCCCCGTGACTGTCAACGTTACTTATATGCAGATTGGTAAAATTACAGCGTGTTTTGATCGGTAAACCTTTTCAGTTAAATCGATTTATGATACAGCTTGTGCACCCCATTGAAAAACCTTTCGGTGAAACCGAAATAATAGTAGCTACTCTGAGCAGTATAATGACATGCATCTCGAAGTGGACATTAATTCCATTATTCCATGAATAAGAACATGCTTCTACTGATTTGCCTATTAACTTTTAGTGAATTAAGTATAGTTAACAAAATGGTTTCGAGTGCAAATTGGTGTTAATAAGCAAGAGTGAATTTCTCAAAGACAACAAATTGCACTAGCCTGTAGGGCGAGTGCAATTTGTAGTCTTTGAAAAATTTACAAGTGCTTATTTACAGCAAATTGCACGAGAATTCATGTTGTTACCTGTTAATAATATACATGAAAACGCAGTACAGGGAGTTAAGACGGACGAACTTTTGGCAACGCGCACGCGCCATTTGTAATTTGCACTTGTGTTACATGAAAAATGCACTCGTTTCCAATTAGACGCGTGTAATTTTTTCATGCATATTATTACCTCCTAGTATCATCTGCTCAATTCGATTACCTTTAGCTTTTCACTTATTGTCTTGCTGTGTTTAGGACGAAGGAGAATAAGACAGCTCTTCAGTTAGCCATCCAGTGCCATTTGCAGCCGGTAGTAGACGCTCTATGTAAGAAGGGTGCTGATTTAAACAGCTGCGATGAAAAGAACAATTGTCCTCTATGGGTGGCGCTTAAGAGTGGACAGCAAGATATCGCGTCTACACTTGTAAGTATAATACTCATGCTGGAAAGAGATTTTCTAAAGACAACTTAAGGCCAGTCGTTCTTTACTCACTAAGTGGTTGCTTGTGATCGCTAAGTTTTTTGTTCCAATATAAATAGCTGAAGATCGTCACGGAGCTGTAATAGTACTTTCTAATAGTACAATGGAACCTTCCAAAGCCTTCCAACGCGTGGCAAAGACCTTCGAGCTTACTGGACTGCTTATTTATACAAAGTCTGACCAAAACCACGGTTTTACAGAATCTGTGGGCTTCACCGGGCTTTCTATATGTAAGGGTTGATTAATTTATTTAATGTCTTTTCATTGTTAGCTTTCGGCCCTCTCTAAACTGTTCAGAAATATAAATGTTCAAATAAAAGGTCGAGCTAAATTGGGCATTGTTTGGTTTTGTTAAACAACGGCTAAAGTTTGTTTAAATTATCTGTGTTTAGCAGACTGTGCATGTTCTTTTAATATGAGAGTTTTATTGATAGAAAATGCAAACTGACGGTCTTCATTGATTGCGCCACTAGGTATTGTACGGTTGCGACACCGACGCTTGGAATCTGGGCCGTAATGGTTGTACCCAATCACTTCTTCATCGTGCCATCGATGACCGAGACGAACCATCCGCATGTTTCCTTATCAGAAGCGGCTGTGATATCAACAGGTAAATAATTAAGGTTGAAGTTGGATGCTAGCGACTGATTTTCTCTTCCTTTTTTTTTTGTATTAATCTTACTTTAATTGCAATACTTACTTGTTTTTAAACAATTACTATCATGAGTAAAGATGATAACTTTAGTACTATTGAATGAAAAAAAAAAAGGCAACCATTACAATACCCCCCACCCCAAAAAAAAAAAAAAAACACTTACAATGATAGCATCACTTTTTAAAATGGTGTCACCACACGAATGCAAAATTGAAAATAAAAGCTATGCAGTCAAGAACGTTACATACGATACACTTATTATTATCGTCTCTATGATTTACTTAACTCTATAACACTGGAGTGACTAGCGTCTAATTTCTCCTTACAATATCATCCCTAAATCAAACATTTAGGTCATTAGTATAAAGAACATGATCGACAACTAAAGAACCTCTTCATTGTTAAACAAATTCTCCTTGTCGGCGCCCAAGGAAATATGTAGAGAACAGTTCGGAGAATATCCATACTGATGTTAGGGTGTAGAGGGCTTATTAGATTTTTAATTTTTTCCTTTCCTTTTTCCTTTTTCATACGTACTCAACGAGTTTCTTACAATACATCAACAGGGCTTACTATAGTGCTAGAAGTACTTACAACAGCTAGATTCTTATTGTACCAACAACACTTACTATACTTGCTTGGTATTTCTGATAAAGTGCTTCTAACAAGATTTGGATCAATGTGAGTTTCTGACCAACGGCACACTTACCCCTCCCCTGACCCAACCACAGTGAACTGATATTAAGTTAAGGTTAATGTTGGGCTACGAGAGGGTTAGGTGTGCAGTTGCTCAGATAAATAGACATTTATCTCTAGATTTAATATATATTTCTAGGCAGAAATATGATTTTAAAGTTAAAAAAGAAGGATGTGTAGGTAGTGATAGTTAACTCTTTACATCAAGTCTTTGCTAATCTCAGTGACTTTATATTTTCCAGTCCTCGACGACCTGGTCCTGACGGTGAGGGTGGTATTGAAGCCTGGGATGGAATGTCGCCTCTTCACTTGGCTTGTGAGACTGGTTTGGATAACGTGGTACAAACATTAGTGGAGCATAAAGTCAATGTTAATAGCAAGGTTTGTTGGACCAAAAAAATACTTTGTTCTACAGGAATCGTATGATTACAATGAAGTAAATGACGAAGAAATTTTTTTTTTTAGCTTTGATTCCACGCTCTTGACAATTAGTTTTTCTCTCCTCACGATTATGGACCGTTTTTTTTTTTTTTTTTGTAAATTTGTTAGCTTATGTATGTGCAACAGAGAAAAAAAGTATACAAAAAAAACCAAAATGCTATTTTACTGATTAATATTTGTTGACGCGTTAAGTTTTATTTTAGTACAATTTCTTACTTTGTTTCATCGTAAAATAGAGAGAATAACTGCTTCCCCTCAGATCAGAAATAAAGAAAGATCCATGCATCGCCAGATGATTATTCTATATTATTTCCACACACTGCGTAACGAGTCGTAAGTTCAGATAAAAGGAAGAGCCATGTGCTTACTGTCTGCCGTACAATTCTTATGATGTTAGTTCAGAGAATTTGGTATTGGATCAACTGATAATCCCCTAATTGATATATTTCTTTATTTTCGTCCCTTGTCTACTCGATATTGTGTTGATACGGTAAAGAGACATTCTCTCTTGGTCACTCTTGGTACCTAAAGAGTGAAGCTTTACACTTAAGACTTCCTGCACAAAGACGTTCTATATATCTCGAACAAGGTAATAGTTTATTTTTCATTAAAGAGAAAAATCTTGCGATAAACGTACGTAATATATACGACTGGTTATTATAGGATTCAGAGAGTCGCAGTCCGATCCATATCGCCATCACCAGCAAACATCCCATCGTTACCAGGTTACTGCTCAGTCATCCAGAACTTAATATGAACGTCACTGACCGATCAGGACAAACGCCATTTGCTGTTGCCCTAAGGACACGTGATCATGAAGCTGCAGGAGCGATACTAGCACGAGAACCAGGTGCCGCTGAACAGGTGAGAGAGAAATGCTTAAACATGGTCTTAGAAAGCTTTCTAAAAATCATAGGGAAAAACTATAGCAACCATCTTTTTTAATATTTTTCAGTCATTACGTCAAGCAAAAATTTACAAAATAGTTGCTTACAGAGCAAACTCTTGAGTTTTTATATTTATTTCAGTCATTACGTCAAATACCTGGTCTTTCACGGGACACAGAAGCCATGAATGCCAATAAAAAAAATCCCCAGTTGCAAGAAACTTCTGACTTATCCTAACAATATCCCAATCGATACATTTAGTTCACGTTTAAGGATCAGTTCGTTTTTTGACATTAACACCTTATTAAAGAAAACAGGTGACAGGGATACAAGCTTATTAGCTAGAGGATGTTGGGATGATATAACATCTAGTTCTCTCGATTTAATTTCTGGAGTTATGTCGCGGTTAAAAGAGAGAATTGAAAATCACAGCTTGGGAGTGATTTTGGTTATTAAATGTCCCCGCAAAAACCACAGCCTTTCATGTTAAGCACTACCGGTAATTTTATGGATTTTTCGTTACTTCAAGCTCAATATGCCTCTGTTGGAAGAGAAGATAACCCTAAAGACTTAAAAATTCGAATGTTAGCAACCAGATTTATTTAAGCTTCGATTTTAAGCACAACGGTTATATCCTTCATATCACAAGTAAGGTTTGTTAATATTTTCAGTTCGACTCCAAGGGACGCAACTTCTTGCACTTAGCCATTCAGAATGTCGACGTGGAGACTGTGTTGTTTCTGATCGGTGTGTCGGCTAATGTCAACTCTAGAATCCAGGACTCCTCCCACAGAACACCGTTGCACTTGGCTGTCAGCGCGGGGTCGGAAATAATTGTTAGACACTTGGTAGGAGTTTGCTGCTCTTTTTGTAGTTTATTGCTCATAAAGAATAGTTTAACGGTATTCGCGTCATCGTTTTACAACCTACGAAATTCTAGCCTAACGAAACCATTTGGTTGTCGTCTATCAGGGTAGAAAAACATAAAAAAGGCGATTGCCTCCATTTTTATATGAGTTCCGAAATGAACTCCTCTTTCCTCCCTTGATATGCAGTTTTTTTTAACTGAATGCAGGCATACATCGTTCGTTATGCAGCAAAAAATGCAGCTGTTTTTAATCATAAACAAAGAAATTATGCGTTCATTCAGGAGACTAGATCTTCCAACCTACGTGTAGGACTTCATAGAGTAGGATTTGAGATTCCTCGTCTTTTTCTTTTCTAATTGGCAGCTTCTTGCCGGTAGCAGAGTTAATGATGTGGACAAACATCGTCAAACAGGATTGCACATTGCCGCTGCAAATAACCGTGCTTCCATTATCAGTGTTCTGTTAGAAAACGGTGTCGATCCAGATGCTACGGACGAGAAGGGAAATAATGGTATCGTCCTTATTTTTTATCTTCATTTTAAAGATCCTAATCGGGCTGTGTCTGTTTTAAAACTATTAAAAAGAGTTCTGTTCTGGTGTTAGCCACATGAATAGCTAACGTTAACGGTGTTTCAGTTGTTGTGGAAGGAAGGATGCAGCTAGGCCGATTGGTTGGGAGACTAAGTTTCTAGGCCATGAATCTCACCGAAATGGATTTGTTCGTCTGCTCTATATGAATAGCAATTAGTCTCCCCCACTGGTACTTTGTGTACTGTTACTGTCACCGACACATTCTGCCGTTTGTCATTGGCTGTTGAATATCGTTTGTTTTCCCATACATTAAAACAATTCTCTGCACTATTGTGTGATTTACTTTCTTCAAAAATATAGAATTTGGTCAAAAGACTTTGGGGGGAAACTTGGACTCCATATATTAACGATCTGGTTCACTTGTTTGATATGTTCTAGCTTTACATGTAGCAGTACAGTGTGGTCACGTGGAAGCTGTACGTGTGTTACTCACTGAGTCATCCATCAATGCAGAGGCTTACAATGCTCGGTGAGTATCCGCTTTGTTTGGGTGTCCTGTGGTGATTTTCACTCGATATGCATTCATAGGTGGGATGTGCAGAAGCTATCAGAATAGAATGTCGTTTAAAAAAAAACCTTTTTAATTGCAACTACCAATAAGCACGGGTCAAAGTGAACTAATTAATTTATTAACCGACGGGTTTCGGCAGTAAGTGTGTGTATCATTAACTTCTTTTAAATGAATCAATTGGACGGAGAAATGCTCTCTATCGAATAATGTCATCGATTTATGGGCAAAATAAGTCCTAATTCGTTGTTTCTTCGCCTGTTTTTTATGTGTATATTTAGTGGCCAGAACCCATTGCACATTTTAGCGCAGTACGCCAAAGATAACGCAGTGGCCATATTTGAGCTTTTCCGCCAATCAATGCCAGACTATCCCATTAATGCTCTGGACGCGGATGAAAATATAGGTAAGGGTCATCAGTTATCAGTGTAACGTGTCTGTAACTCGATGGGTGTATTATTGGTTTTAAAGTTTGATTACATTTTTTGTAGTTTTCTCGCTTTGTTAGTTGTTTAGAACGTGCAATAAAGGGAAGCAGAGATGATGATCAGGTGATCAGAGAACTCACCTCCCACCGCTGTCACCGCGATGAGTTTCTTGATGATTCACACCACTCCTTGTTGGGTTTTTTTACCCGTTCTCTGATTTTCCTCCCTCCACCAAAACCTCTAAAATTCGAATTTACAACTCGATCTCCACGCCACTGAAATTTAGTAGAGATCATTTTGGAATTTTATTAGAACCGTTTTTCTGCCCAATATTATTCGTAAACCAAAACTTTTGCTTACCAGGTCTGTCAAACCAGTCAATATATTAATTCAATCTTTGTCAGACTCAATGATAGATAGATAGGGGGTAAGTTTTTAAAGAAACTGTGGTGCTGCATCGGTGGAATAATGTAACAGGGTAATTTAGTGTTATCAACTGAGTTGATAACATAAATTGGTCACCGTAAAGAGTTTAAAAGCTGACGTTCCCAACGTTAGCCCATTGTCAGAGTGATTGACGAAGGACTAACGTCATCTTCAAAACTCTTTACGGTGGCTGATTTACGTTATCAACTCAGTTGATAATACTAAATTACTCAATGGTAAGTATGTGAAGCTGAGATAACATTCTGTGTTTGTTATTTCTAGCGTTGTTTCTTGCTTACACCAATGGCGCGGCTCGATTATGTCGTGAGCTGCTGAGGGCAGGTGGAAGCCTGGCAACCATTAACAAACATGGGGTATCGATATTTAATGCGCAAGTACCAACGAAGAAGCTTCTCTATACGTTACTTGGTGAGTGCAAATGAGGGAGGGGAAGTTGTGCGGCTGGTACTTGTACTTACTGTGGTTGTTTTCTGAGACTAATACCTTGAAGAACCCTTTTTTTCCCAAAATTTGGTCGCGAAGATCAAGTTTGCTCTCGGCGAGTTGTCTTTCGAATAAAAAATTTTCAGTTTGATTGAAGTAAAGGAACGGATCCCATGGCATGACATTGTCGCTTTCACGTCCTCCTCAACGGCTTCAAAGTTAAGTTTCAGGTGCCACATTGGCGACTAAGTTTCATTGCCTCTGTGTGACATTTTAAGAGACTCGTCGCAAGGATTGTGGACAGGGACTTTTACCTTCTATGTGCAGGCCTTAAACACATACTCAGTTAGCTGAGAAAATGCAATATTTGTGATGTCTAGGGAGCACTAACTGTAATACGCCGGCACAAGTGCACGTCCATTTCTGACAACTTATACTGATGTACATTTAAGATATGCTGAACGCCGAGCCACAGTGGATTGACGGACCAGTTTGTCACGAATGTTCAATCAAATTCTCCGTCAAAACTAGAAAACATCATTGGTGAGTCTGGAATAAGGAACCACTAAATAACGGTTTGGTAGAAACTATCCATCCTTAATTGCTGATTTGTGTGTCTGTTTTTGTTGGTGTAGTAGTGATTTAACCCACTGAGCTTAAGTATCTACCTGGTAAAAAGTTGGAACTTGTTGAGATTTTGCGATATGTAAAGATGAATAAATAACAAAGTTGTCTTCATTTTAGGGTTGTAAAAACATGTAAGACGACTTTTTCTCCTAACACTCATTACTACCTGGCCTATCAGAATGTCTGACAAAAGATGTCAACTTCGCTCATTTGTTCCTTTGATTTTCTTTAACATTATATCTTCGTTCGTTTTCTCCTCAGTCGCCACTGTGGCCGCCTTTTATGTGCCAAATGTTCGTCCAAACAGATACCCATCATAAAGTACGAATTGACCAAGCCTGTGAGAGTTTGCAATGTTTGCTTCGAAATGCTGACCTCTGGAGTAAGCTAGTACATTACTACCTCGAAAACTTGAACGTATCGCCTTTGCAAGTCAATAACATTATGCGGGTGGCACATGCATGACCGTAGAAACGGAGAGCGCTTTCTAGAAATGTGGATTTTTTTTTTTTTTTGGAATTTAGTTAACGCAAAAAATCAGCCAACTGATCAAGTAAGTGCTTTTTTCCTACTGGGATACCGTATTTTACACCATTTTTTAATTCGCTCCTTTACAATCAGTATGGATGATAAAAAGGGACAAGTTCCCCCTAATTTGGTGTTTGGCAGTATATTCTTCAGATGTTTTTGTTTCCTCTTCCTTGAACTTGATGTTTACTTAGCGAGTAACTTGTCCAGTTAAGGCACCTATTCAACCAATGTGATACGTTGTATTACTTTGTTTTCTGCGCTGTGGCTAATTTTGCTTTCGTTCTTAAAATATCTGAATCTCCACAAGCATCATGTTTTCAAAGGTGAGGAATTCATGTTTTAGTTCACCAGAATCTTCAAAGTGATGACTGAGTAATAAAATATCGGGAAAACCCTAACTTGTGACAAACGTGGTACACAATGTATGAAATAGTTCAAGCCTGAAATCGTTTCTGATGCGTTTTCCGTTTCTAAAGTGGCCTGTGTATGGCTTGCTCTGACTGAAGAAAACATAAACGTCGCATTCGGCTCGCCCCTATAGCCATCGATTGCACTCAGTTTGGTGAGTACTTCAGGCAGGAGTCGTTTTGCGGCATGTCAGTGTTCAACGCGTCAAAGCCATTTTGTCATGTCACTATATAGTAGCTTCCTTCGCGACGTGAAGTTTCGTTCAAGAAGGAATTTCTACATATACGTAGTTGTTAGTTTTTTGAGCAAGAAGAACAACTAAGGGTACAAGTCCAAAGAGAACAAAGATGAATGACGATGAAGAAGATGGCAGTCCATTATAAATGAAGAAATTGAAAATTTTTAGGATATATTTTTCAAAACGCCGTGACTAACTCCTAGTTAACAAGCACGGACACATTTCTAGACTGAATCCTTAAATAGATTCACAGCGAACAACTGATAGAACTAGGTAAGGGATTTGTAATTTGAAATGTAGCTTAGTTTAAAATGAGTTTGTCTTATTGTACAGAATTGATAAGTTCTTTAGAATAAATCAGTATTTCCTGAAAACGTGAGTGTCGTCTCGTAAGCTTAGTGAAACCAGGTAAGTTCGTACGAAAGAACAGGGTGATCAGCAGTTGATCATTATCAGTCCGTGGCGCCATCCTGCGATAGTTTTTCTCACCAGACATATGCAACTGTGTAATGGTAGTTGCATGAATAGAGAGCTGATAAAAATTTTACGATTTGTCAGTGGTGACCACATCAGCTATCTTGCCGAAGGCCGACAAACAGAGATATTATGATTTTTTGTGGCAACCAAGTGCTTAAAAGATCAATACTCTCTCGTTTTATTTTAATACAACCCTCTATAGCGATGTTCCAACAAGCGCAGTTTAGTGGCTTCAGTACTCTTTTCTTTATTCGTTATCTGAGTTCAGTAACTTACTTCTTCTTTAATCCTCTAACAAGTTTTCCCCTGAGAGGTTTTGCATTCCAGAGAGCTTGGATTTGAATATGCAAGTGCAAAATTCGAAAAGGGAAAATAGAACGGTAATACGCATGAGCAGACCGTTATTTGAAGATTAAATTTATTTGCAAATCATGAGGCGGTCTCTCGCCCGATAAAGGAAAAGGTGAATGGGATATTAAAAACGAAGTACCGATGCCTAATTTTTCCGACCCTTTTTGTTTTTACATCACTTGGTAGTCTTCGGATCTCGAGCTCTCTCAGTCCGTCTTCGTAGCGATAATACGTTTCTAAGAGCTGACTTTCGGCACCATTATATGGGTGAGACACTTTAGCCATGGATTTTCGTTTTATTAGTTGGAATGAATGATATGTCAATTAGCTGTTCAGTTCCTATTTAGCCATCAGATGGTTGGATTAAGACTCCAATACGACATTTTACCTTACCATGGTGGCTTCGTTGGGAGAAATATCGCGACTATTGATTGAGCGTCTCGAACCATAACGAGGTTATCTAACCATCAAGAGCGGGAGACGGGTTTTTAAGTAATCGCCCAATCTCGAGCCCTCGGCTCCTCGTCATTGGCGTGGTTGCCTGACCAAACCACTGTGAGGGGGCCGAAAAGATTCAAGGGTTTGAGGGGAAAGGGGATAAAATTACAGAAAAAAACACTGATCAACCAAGGAAACAAATAAAGTGTCAAATGAAATACGTGATGATCGTGTCTTTCCATATTCTTTTCATAGCTGCCAAATCACACTGCAGGGAACAGTAGAGCGGTCTTTTACATGTATTTATGTTTATCAAAATATCCCATCTAAACATCAGCGCTATACAAAATCTGAATTTTGAACAGAAAACAAGCCAGATTAAACAGTAATATTTATCTCGCTGAAAATCACGTCAGTCTTGAATCTTCAACTGTAGAGGAGGAGTGTGGTTTTTTTTATCCTTCCCATTTAGTGCATTGTCTTTGAAGTATCTTTATTTATTATTTTTTTTTGTGGCTTGTTACATGGTACATTCTGTTTGTTGTGAAGATGTGTATCGGATAAAAAGGGCTATTGGTTATCAAATTATTATGAGGCTCCTATGTGATGTGCGATACCGTTCCTTTTGCCTTCACTGAAAATGGAAAGAAATTACTGTGAGAATAAAATATTTGTTGAAGGTATTGAATGTCTTTGAATCAGCTTGGTTTGCTTTAGGCGTACATATTTCATATTTCATTGAAACTCTTGAAGTCAACACTGACTGAAATGGTAATAAGAAAAAAAAAACTGTAATAGTATCTTTAAAAAGTTTTATTGATAAAGGCTTTTTAAATTCATTGAAGCGGGTTCTTTCTAATTAGTTAAGTCGGAGATTGAATCTGTCTTTCCGGCAACAGTTGGTACATGCTATGCTTTTTCCCAACAAGTGGTATTCAAAACCGGATAAAAGGATGCACCTCGCGCTAAGATAGCTGTGAATAGAGCGGAATATTGGACACAAATATCGATTTCAAAGAAAAAGCCGACAATTATTGATGTTTAAAAATATCCGAGTTTATCAGCAAACAAGCTTCAAGAGATAGAATTAAGGCACGTACTGCCGAGTGTCTTGATCAAGTAGTGCCTGGGTTTTAACGATCTTTTTATCAAAAACTCGGTTGCGAAATTAGAATTCACGCGAAGTGGTTGATAGAAATTTTTGGAAGATGTACGTGCACTCGCTTTTAGTGGAGAAAGACGTCAAAGTTTTTTTAGCTCCGTCATCAAATTGCATTATTTGCGAAGAGAAGAGACTTGATATGCGTAAACTAAATAATGAATTTAAATAAATGAAATATGTACAAATCACCTCACTTTGGCAAGGGAAGAAAAAAAATTAATTGAATTGAGGAAAGGTTTATATAAGTTATAATATCAGAAATATAACTATGACAAGGTAATGTGATTTTGATGGCACCTTGAAGACAGTTCAGGCGTCCGGAAGGCACGTTCTGTGAAACATCTATAATAAACGGTAATCATTCTCAAAATTGGAACAGTCACTCATATATTTACGTAGATTGTCACATCTCTTGATAATATATGTAAATTGCTTCAATTTCGAAAGGTACGCAAGGAAATGTGTGTTTCTTTGCACGACGTGTAAAACGTGACAGGATTTCTTCGTTATTGTTGTTTTTATTAAATTTCCTAAAGCTTTTAGAGTTGGAATATATATGGAAGTATTTTCATGTTTTGTATGTCACTTGGCGGGACGTGAGTTATTTCCAGCTGTGACGTCATCATTAACTTGATCTGAGCAATTCACCGTGAATTAATACCCGTATGAAGTCGGTCGCAGATCACTTTCTGTGTCTAACGGGAGGGAAATTGACATGAGGTGAGTGAAATTTTGCTTACATACTAATATTTGACCTTTGCAGTGAAGGGTCTAGAAATTGTTCAGATTCTGAGATTTAACATCGGCTATTGAAGTATCAGCATTTATATTTAGGGAAATTTCGCACCCGTCCTCAAATTTTTCCAGTATAATTAGGTCACTAGTCTGTGGTTGTGTTCTTGACAGAATGTGAAACTCACACTTCTCACTGTTTTCTACGAGCTCTGCTAGAACTTTTAATCTTATTAATTTCTGCCTTTAAATTTGGGCTCAGACCATTTGCACGATTCAGACAAGAATTATCACTAATTATAATTTTGAATGTTTTCCGCTGTAGGAAGCTACAAAAACGTCAGAAATTCTCAAGAAAGCCTTTTTCATTTGATGCGTTCGCAAAAATTGTCTTGTTCTATCATTGTAGGCGTCTTATATTATTACAACGCATTTGTTTCTATGTATTTCGCAAGATATGAATTGACTCGTGAACGAAATTGAAATTAAAAAGAGCAAGGGTTTGTTTTTTTTCGTAATGTTTCGTTTGTTGTGCCTACTACATAAATATAACTTGCCATTTATAGATTTTGAAAATCCTTGGAAAAATGCGTCTGAAAAGTTTCTCTTTTGAGCTCTGTATCCATCAATCGAGGGGGATTATTTTTAAAAAGCGAGTAAACCTTTTTCATTACCATTCATATATATAAATTATCTTAGCCTACCGTTCTTGTATTTTTAATGTTATTCAACGATCGCTGGTAGCTTTGGCGGATGGAACGTGACGAGGAGAGAGGAAGATATTTATGTAATTGTTATCTTACAACTAAACATTTCTTTTTCATCAAATTGAAACCTTTAAGATCACAAACAAAACCAAATCCAGTCTGTATTTTTGTATCACTCGAAATACATCTGCTAATAAGCGGATGAAATACTTTATATTCATCGTTATCATTAAAACTACCACACAGTGAATGCACTAATATATTTTCAAAGAATGAATTAGCATTGACAGCCGTCTTCAATGCATAATCAATTTTTTCTCGTTAGTAACTTAAGATTCGTTGAGGGATCAAACAGTTTTGATGTGGAACAGCTCACACTGAGTTTATACTTACGCTTCTCCAAACTGTTGAATAAATCTGTCTTAAGTAAAAATGGAAAATGTTTACATTATCTCAGTCCTTCGAAATAGTCAAGTTTGTTTTCTTCGAATAATTTCACACGCTTGTATTTGAAATTAAATGGCAAAAACCGCCTGTCATTTTTTTTGACGTCACGCAAACGCTGCGAATTTGTTTGCCTGAAAGATGAATAGAATCACCACAACTTCAACCAAATTTGAATTTCAATGTAGCTTTTTTCTCCTCTGACTTGGAAATTGAATTTGTTCTGAAAAATGTCAATCACCGTGTCACTGAGACAAAGAAAAAAGTCCTCCGTAGTTATTTGAATTCACTCATTTATTTGTTCATTTATTTCTCTCTATTCATTTTTTAATTTATTCTCCCTTTAAAGATGCTTGGAAATGATATGAAAATGGGAACAATTTTGTTAAACTCGGAAACTGATTGACCCACTAACGACGAGGGAATAAGACACAATTCACAATTATATCCCTGTCCGGCGTAAACAATGTTTTCATTCCCCTGACGCTTCTCTCTGCCATAATTTGAGGTACCGGTACTTTAAGTTCGGGAGGAATCATTCAAAATTTTGACGAGACAATTTTTTTTTTCTATGCTTCGTGTACCTTCACGGACTTTTTCTTGTGGAGTTTGCTGCCATGGAGTTTTGGTTACTGATAGTTGGAATTCTGACAGCGCGTGAAGAACAAAGTACTGATATTAGTCACTTTTCATTAGTTAGATTACGAGGTGTTAATCTCCGAGTTTGCGCTAAATATTACAGGGCACTTTTGGTCTCGATTTCATTTGTCCAACTATATTGTCATCTTAGAACAATTGTCACGGTATAATTGAGTCATTCTACGGTAGAAGTTACACGGCAAAGACCGGAAACACGTAAAACTTGTTCCAACTTCATGTTCGATCTCTACCTCGATTTGCCGCTGATTAATCATGATGTAATTGGTTTAAAAGAATGCGATTTGAAAACGGAGATGCATGAGCCACATACACAACTCACTTAAAACCAAGAGTGGCTCAGATACCAATAACACAATACATCCGAGAAAAGAAAGAAAAAACCAGATTGGTCTCTTGAGACTTAGGATATCGATAGAACACGAAGTACGAATAATAACTGCATCCTTTGACAGTTCCTCTCAAGTTATTGTTTGAACAAGTGTTAAATGAAAATGTGAAACCATAATGCTTACAACGCAATTAGCAAAACCGTAATTTTGCGGTAAAATGAAAGAAGTCGGTTCACTCTGTTAACTTTGAGTTGATTTTTCTCATGAGATCCATTGTTCGACCATTAATTGATTTGACGAACGCGTGGTGTCCTCTCGAGTTTTGTTATTATCTAAAAGCTGATATTTACGCAACAATTTGTTTAGAAAACTCCCACTCAAGAGCGACCGGACTGACAAATATACAATGCAGCCAAAAAGACGAGTCAAATGAGGCCGCTATCATGGAAAAAGCCGTGAGGTTCGAGAATAAGGAGGACTCTGAAGACGACGAAACTGCTGTCAAACAGAGCCGCTCAAAGCATCAAAGCAGCCACACAAGTACACGCACAGAGGGTAACAGAAAACATGAAAGAGACAATTCTGGTGATAGCATAGAATCTTTGGCAAAATGGAGAACTGTCTCAAAACAAATTAGAAATGTTGTCTTGGTAAAGAACTCTGTGAAGCCTTCTCGCTCTCGAAAGCGTTCGGCGACTGTGAAGTCGCCAGCCACCATGGACCCATTCCTTCAGAAATTTAGCACACGAGATAATCGAAAGATAACTCCACCAAACAGAAAAAGAACGCGGATTTCCAAGAAAAGCTCTTCTTCGCCTGGCGCTTTGTCAAACGCAACCTCTGCACAAGAACCTCGACGACCACGGCTTTCTATAGAAATCGAAAAAGAGCTTGATAGCGAGTTAGCTAGTGGTTCTGTTTACGAATATGACCAAGCAGTTCATTGGAAAGACAAGAATTTTATTTTTGACCCAGATGGGCTACACATTTGCGTCTGGTTTTATGTTCTTGTGTTTGCAATTCGGTACAATTTATGGGCTTTGATCACCAGGATCGCTTTTCCTGCCGCTCAGAGCGGTTTTTTAAAGATAGTGTGGTATCTCTTTGATTATTTTTGCGATGCAGTTTACGTTTTGGACGTCGTTATTGCTGCAAGAACAGGTTTCCTAGAGGAGGGCATTCTAGTCATAGATGCAAAACGAGTGTATATGCGGTACATTCGCTCTGTGGAGTTCATTGCCGATGTGGTGTCGTTTATTCCAACTGATATTTTATATGCAACATTAGGACCTCTTCCGCTTCTAAGAATCAACCGCATTGTCAAAGGATATAAGAGTTTTCGTATCAAAGCTGTTATGGAGTCACAAGCAAATTATCCTACTTTCTTACGCGTGTTCTTTCTCATGCATCTCATGTTCCTTCTTATTCATTGGAACGCTGCGTTCTATTTCATGATTTCCAGAGCGGAGGGATTTGGGACGAATGAGTGGGTTTATCAAGGCAATGGTTCCTTGTATCAGCAATATCTACAATCATTTTACTGGTCTACATTAACTCTAACTGCGATAGGAGATTTGCCGCAGCCGACTACAAATCTCGAGTAAGTGATTTGTGTTTCTATTTCAGGTAATTTTAAACTGTGTAACTCATATAGTTCTATTTAAATGCAGAGATTATAGCAAGTCTTGTCGTCTGACTCTTTGTTTGTTTGTTTTTCTCCGGTGAGAACCAGGTGCTCCACTGTATAATAAGTATGTAAAATAAATTTTACAGCTCAACCTTAAATGTGTTGGACATTTTCCGAAAAAAAGGAGGTATTTTAAAGAAGTTGTGGCGGGCGAATGACAAAAACAAAAAGCGTTTTCGTTTAACAGTTTTTTTCAATACCTTTCTCTCTTGTAAGAATTTAAAATTCTGTACAAGATTTTGCATAATTTTAAAAATTCTTGATTAACATTAATGCTCCAAAATAGATTGACTAAAGACCCGTAGGGATTTGTACACATGTTGCGGTCAGCTTTTAAGACTTAGGTTTGAGTTCAGTTGAAGATGTACATTAGACTCGTGCGCTATAGCGCCCACGCTACCAATCAAAACGCGACGACGTCCAAGCTTTTATTTCTTTTGCTGCCCTGCACCAAAGAGAAATAGCAGGTGTCTGAAAAAAAAATAAGAAAGTATTAGGGTGATATTTTAAGACAGCGTAGGAATAGGTATACAAGGGCGACAAAATTGAAAGTTTTATGAATGCAAGTTTTACGTAAGTCAATAGAACTTGTGTGAGCCTCTTCATCGCAACTTGAGTCAATCTCATTATCAACCCTAACTTAGAAAACCTCCGTATGTAAGTTCTCTTCTTTTGATTTTTTTTTTTTTATTGCACGAAAGCGCATAAATAAATTCGTATATCTATCCAAGTTCTTTTGCATTAGATGAAGCCCTGCTGAGCTTTTTCCTTGCTGCGTTAACTCTTACGAGAAAATGTTTTCGCCCCGTGTTAGTTTCCACCTGCTTCTCGTTTGCACTAAAAAACGCGCGTCCTGTTTGAGCTCAGCCTGGAACAACACTTCCTCAAGTGCAAGTTAGCAATAATCATTCTCGCTTTCAAACGTGGAGCAAAATTGTCACCAAGGACAAGAAAAATAATTTATCAAAAGGAATAAATCGAGTTTACCCTCCGTAGCTTAACAAAGGTTTATTTTACTCTAATGATTGTTCAGGGTTAATTTGCAAACATAAATATTGATCTCGTTTTCTTCCTTCAGCGTCAGTCATGGACATTATGAGGCCCTTTGACAATACGCAGCAATGCCTTTTTTACCTTTCACTTTTTCAACTGGCAAATGAATTAAAATCTTCAATACGTTTGCAACATTAATAGAAAAAATATGTTTGGTTCTCGGGATTTCCTCACCTACGCGCAGAAGTAACTTTTAAATTAAGAATCACGATTATTCTTTCAACATGAAAACAAGGTGTGACGTTTGTATACTGCCGAAAGAGATGCACATCAACTCAGGCATCGAATCTTGTTGACTTTCATCAAATTTTGAATTAACAGGGCCAAAAAAGACACGAATTTTAGTCCCCATTTCTGTTTCTATAAACTTATCCAATGTTTGTTTAAGGATTTTCGGTTTGCAGGCAGATTGTTTGGAACCCGGCAGTCAATTTCCTTTCGCCGTTTTGAAAAAAGAAAAAAAGCACTTTTTAGGCTTCCTTTTAATTTATAACAATGGTATTTAATATACATTACGAGCAGGTGTCACAAAGTAGTCGTAACAAATTTCAATTTACATGGCCTGTATCCATGGCCAACAAACGAGAGTGAACGACAAGAGAGAGAGGCTGCTGGAGAAATGTTAGCTTTTGGTCGCCAGAAGACCCAACGAAAGACAGTTTAACAAGACGTGAAACTTTTTGTAGGGCATTAGATTGTTTGAGAGCAACTCGTTGCTTTTAAAAGCGGGTATTTAATTCTAAATCAATAATTAAAACTTAGTGGTTCTCTACACTCGTTTTGTTTATCTTTTTTCAAGCGATGCCACCCAGAACTGAACAAAATGACATGAAGTGATGTTTTTGTCAATGCCTCAAACTTGTCAACGCAGTTGAATTTGAAAATCATTTTACGAGCGATAAGCCAGCTTTTAATAATGAAGATGACAGCGATCTTTTCTAAAGCTGGCTTTTGAGGAAAAATGTTAGTGAAAGCTGGAGAAGTTTGTCACCCAAACAGATCAAATCAATCTTATGACTCGGCTTAAATAAATTACAAGCCCTTCAGCTTTGTCAAAAAGTTCTGTTAATAACGCTGGAAAGCTGTAATGACACTTTACGATTATTGAACTAAAATTCATATAGCCTGCAGTGTAGGCGTCTTCTTAGGGCGAGTTAATGTCAAGAAGCTTGAAGCTATTCAACCGGCCCTGTTTATTGAAGATAAAGGCAGCGATGAGGGGAGGGGGCGGGGAAAGGCGCTCACCCCATTGATACAAATTTGTTTCTCTCCCCTGCCTGCCGCTGCCATTAAAATCAGAGATGGCGGCCACAATTTTCGCTAACTAATACTGAGCACTCGCTCGCCAAAATTACGCCTGTTCTGTGGGCTAACATTCATATAACATTTACTTCGCTGTTAGCCAAAAGAGAAGACGACATTTGCAACAATTACGTGAATTTTGAAGTACATTTGTGAAGTGTTTGGGAAACATCTCGAACCTTTGGCCAGTTTGGCGAGGTAAAAGCCTCACTTGTGCGTGATCTGGCGTGTTAGGCAAATTTTAATGTCGTCAGAGTAGTTTGCAGTTTTCAAAGGATTTTCCCTCCAATTTGAGATTCCTCTATTTTGCCAAAACGTGGTGGCCACCGACTGTTTCTTGAAATCTACAAAAGCACTCAAAGTCTTTTGAAATTAAAAAAAGAGAGAAGAAAGTACAATAGAAACAGAAGATCTTTTTCAGCCGATTCCGTGTGACTTGAGATTAAGTATATTTAAATGCTGAGCACTACTTGGTTCCCAGATCTCTATCCTTTGCCTCCTCCCCGTGAAGGTAGAAAGGAGGGAGCCTCGAAATGAATTTGATACTCAGACTATGGGCTGTCCTTTTTCCCAGTGTAATCCTTCGCGCCAATCTGAGCGGTTTGAAGAAGCCACTATCCGTAATCTTATTGATGCATGGCGGTGCTGAGAACATTTCAGAATGTCACTGAATTGACATTTTTTCTCATTTTTCAGATATGTTTACACAATCGCGTGCTACTTGACCGGTGTTTTCATGTTTGCGACCATCGTAGGTAATTCAGTTTTATATATTATTAAGTAATCAATACCTATCTGGTGGATTAAGGCATCTTTAAATGATCTTCAGCTCTCAAACCATCTTTCGTGCCTAAAATCGTCTGGAGGTCACCGACCTTGTTTTGGATTGGAGACAATCCATATTTATATTACAGACCATAGAGGGCATGTTGTGTAATTGTAGGTTCTCTGCAACAGCCAAAATAAACGTGGATGTAAGCGGACGCGGAAAGTTTCGAGGAAACCTTTTACTTACTGTGCATAGCATGGTATTCAAACCTAGAATGCCGAATTAACATTTAGTCATAATGTGCTTTATCTCGATCAGGTAATGCAGGAAGCATTATTGTGAACAGAAATGCGGTGAGAATGGATTTCGAAAAGCAAAGAGTAAGATTTCTCCTTCCTTAGTTCGCCTTTGTAAAGTTTAAATCTGAAATCTTTTGCTTTCGTCCTGCATCAGTCTCGTTTTACGAACGTTAATTATCTGGATTTTTGCAGGAAAATACCAAACAGTACATGAAGAAACACAATGTGCCTAAAAACTTGCAGAGGAGAGTGGTGATGTGGTATGACTACTCATGGGCTAGGTAAGATAATAAGTCGCTAATTATGATTGGTCCAGAAAACTCGCGTCACTTTTTCAACAAATCAGATTCAGACCGAATTGGTCACACGCGTTTCCCGCGCTTCAGGCAGTTTGCTTGTTTTTATTTCGATTTTTCATTGGCTCCTCCTTATATTTTCCTCGCTTTGATTGGCTGTTGCGTTTACTTTGGTTTTACGACACTCAATAGAAAAGCGCTCTTATCATAAACACTCTTTATCACTAGCCACTGATTATAAATTTATTATTAACGATGTTTTAATTTCATTGAACACTCCACCATCATACTGAATTTGGAAAACATGCTTGACAGTTCAAGTCATATTCCAGTTTGGTTGAGCCGTCGAACAAGTTGAAAATCATCCTGTTCTGTTTTAGAGGTAGAATGAGTACCGGTGGAGGAGACCTTAATTCTCTGACGTTACTACCAAGTAAACTGAAGACTGAGATTGCTCTTCACGTTAATCTTGAAACGCTTCGAAAGGTACGATAAGTTGGAGATGAATTATTTTTGGGCTAAAGATAACGAGATTAACATCATGTGAAAACCTTAGAAATATGCCGTCCGCTGGCTCGTCATCGTAACATAGCGTTCTATGAGACAATCCTCACTGATTTTATTTGTAAACCGCTTTTTGGCAATTTCAAAAATCGAAGAGGCCTGAAACCGTGGCCCCCAAGAGATTATAATCTCTCGGTGCTCCCCTTCCCCTCCCTCAATACCATATTCCTTGCCAGGTCTGTTTTGTACTCTGAGAGTTAGACTTTAAGTCTGCGCAGTTTTCCTTTGAGGATCTATTCCGCGGTCACATTATCATTGACATTTGAGTTATAATATGTGCTTATCTCATGCATGAATTTTAAGAGAAAATTGTATGCAGATGTTTGTTGGTTTTTTGTTTCCTAATTGTATTTGTTAGGTGACGTTCTTGCAAAAGTGCCAGCCAGAATTTCTCCATCTCCTTGTCCTTCAAATGAAGTTGCGAATATTCACCCCTGGAGACCTCGTTTGCAGGAAAGGCGAGGTCGCACGAGAGATGTACGTCATAATCGATGGAAAGATCGAGGTGATAGGGTAAGAGTCATAGAGAACAAAGTTAAACCTATTACAGGTATGCATTCCGAAATCAGAGAAAGTGTCCTCTTTGATAAATGAGAGTTTTTGCTTAAGCAGGTTAAATTAGTGGGGTGTTCATTTGTGGTTGCGGTCATGAGTTGATGTATGCCAACAGGAGATGCCTCCCTATGGAAGTTGTCACTGTCCTGGGGTGGAGACTTAACGGCAAAAGGTTTCATTCTAATGATCTAGTAATTTTAATGCATATATTAACAGGGATCAAGGCCAAGTCCTTAAAGTCTTATCTGGAGGGGACTTCTTTGGTGAGATTGGAATTCTCAGCTTGAGCGAAGGCCAAAATAGGTTAGCATTCCATGTAATAAACGTACGATTGATTGCAGTCTCTCTGTCCTAAAAGCCAGTGTCTACCGGTTTCAATAATAAAGGAGTCTTGAGTATAGTTTACTTCTATATGTAAATTAACTACAGTAGGACATAACGATAGTAGACTACGATCTCAATGGGGGACAACTGGGGTCTGGGCTGACAAAGCGGGGACGGGGGAGGACATCAAGAATAGATATAAAAGAGAAAGTTAACCTCAGAATATTTAGGGCTGTTAACTGTGCGGTCCACTGAAGACTTGTCTTGTTCCATGCAAAACGAAAAAAAGATAACACCAGAGTAGAGAAGTTCACTACTTAATTGTTCTACAGCCAGCAGTACTAAGCGTATAGCACCTATTGACTTGGAAGTACGTACTCCACCGGTTTATTCTTTCCTGACGCTGAACTAGTGAGAATATTTTGTATTCGTAGAAGAACAGCCGATGTTAGGACAGTAGGATATGTGGAATGTTTTGTTCTTGCAAAGGAAGATGTGCTGTCTGCCATCCGGGATTACCCTGAGGCGCAGGTTAGTGGCTTCGCAACATTTGTAAATTGAAGAATATCACTCGGAAATTACCACCAGGTATTCGCAGATTTAGCTGGGGCATATTGGGTCACGAAAGGCGGTTAAACCAATCGCGTGCGAGCGAGAAGATTTATTGCATGATCATACTATTCAGCCGCATGCTATCACATTTTAGCTTGCTTTTTCACAAAACAGTGGAACGGGTTAATAAGTCTGTAAGTAGCTGGCTTTCTTTCCTGAGATGTTCCCTGTACCAAGGATCTTTTGTTTTAAACTCATCTTTTTAGGCCGTGCTTGCTGACTATGGAAAAAAACGTTTGGAACGTCAAAACAGCTCACACGATCCGCGCTTCGTGGACATGGACGACAGTAAAGGCAGAGACCTGGACGCTTATGATCCCATAAACCATCAAAAAGCTGAAGAGTTTCAAAGCAAACTGACAACAAAATCCGTTCCCAACGGACTTTGTAGACGAACAAGTGCAAGCTTTTCACCGCTCGAGCGAGCCCCTCAACCATCACCTCGAGCGGTCCTGGAGCCGATTCCTTTGGCTAAATTAAGCAGATCTAGGCGACTCTCGAGCGAAGTGGAAATACAGTCTGCGGAATCATGTAACAGAAACGTTTCAGAAGCGCCATGCAGTAGCGACGAGCTTGTGAAAACGCTGTTTCATGATTCGTACATGGAAGCTTTGAACTTTCTCAAGAAAAATTTTGACGAGAACCTAGTAAGTTGGATACTGAAAAAACATTCTTAATAATCCTTAGTAACCCGCCTTAGTCATGAGTGCTACCGTGCAGCTTGTACTCCAGGATAGGATGTTGACTTGCCATGTATTAAAGTCAAATGAGGGATGAATAAATCTCTCCGTTTCCAAATTTCACTGGCTAAATCCAATAAATATTAATCCTGGATTAACTGCTTACAATTACGTCACAATATCAAGCCTTCTTAGTAAATATATTCACTTAAAAAGTAAAAAGTGTCACCGTCGGAAAATGTAAGGAGCTTGTTCAAGGCAGCTTAAGATAGTTTCGTTAATTTTTTCATCATTAGTTCTTTTGCATATAGATACAACGAAACTTTTTTTCGTGTTTTGCCCTACAATTGGTATCAAATATGCTCAATTATTTTCACAATATGTTGTGATCAATTTGTGACATGTTAGGTTACCATAGTAACACAACAGCTTCTCAGAGACAACTTTAAGTGAGCTTTATTTTCTTGTAATTCAAAAATGAAAGAAAACCTGTACACAAGATTTAGAGCTAAAAGAGAATATCTTAAGAAAGCACACGAAAAAATAACGAAACCTTTATAAGTTGGTCAAAATCTAAGGGAAATATTTAGCTCCGTCAGACAAACTCGCAAAAGACTGGAGAGAAATTATAACATTTGCAATAATTCATCTTTTCGTTTCAGGCAAAAGAAATGACGGATGTTCGCAAATCCCTAAAAAGTAGCGACGAATCTAATAGACGAAAAGACGTTGACATCTCTCACCTCAACACCCGTCTATCAAACATGGTAAGTCGGTCATGTTACTTGAACCTAATCAATTGGTAGACTTTTACTTTTAAGTATATAACGAATGTTACATGATACTTTATGAGATTGTTGGAAATTTTGTTTTATTCATATGTAGGAGAAAGAACTTGAAAAGTGGAAAATTCGAGTGAAAGAGCTTGAGTCAGAAAACTTTATCAAAGATCAGACTATCAAACAACTTCGGGAAGAGTCTGAGGTAAGGATAATGAAAGCAGGTTCAAGGGAACGTCGTCTACCTCTTCGCCTGAAATTTCTCTCTCTCCAACTTTCTTCCATTATAAAAATCATAGACCAGGACGCTCACATTGCAGGCTAGACACGTGGGGTTTTAATTTCCATTTTACATCGAAACTTCAAAACCGATCAGTCTTCCCCAATGTTAGGTCAGTTCTCCAAAGGCCATTTTGTTTGTTTTCGTGGATGAGAGATAAGCCGGTCATCTGACTTAGAGGGCATTACAATGTGTGCTCTTTGTTTGAACGATGTCTGTTTGGACTCAGCGCACTGTGGTTGGACCACGTAATAAAATGATGTTTCTTACCTTCCATCATTCTAGCTTCCAGGACGCCCCGTAAATGTACTGAGAAGAGACAAACATGTTATGGATCTGTAAGTTATCATAGTGTTCTGTTCCAGTGTCACTGCGCACTTGCACAGAAAGGCACTGAGAAAGCCAGCTATGGTAACGCACAACTTGAACACATGCATGTCATTGGATTACAGTATCACTGTTTATCGTGGTATTTGCATTGGTCGCAATTAGAACAATTAAGACCTCAAACACCTTGATTCAAATAAAGTAGGCTGCTTTTCAGTTACATCTTTCAAAAGTAGCTGTATATTGTCTTTCCGCAACAGAAGCACAATTAAATGTGGAATTAAAAATGTTAGACTAGAAAAGAGAGTTTTACACGAAAAATTTGCGCTATGTGAGCTTGGTAGTGGAATCTTTGATGGAAAGAACTCCATTTTTTGTGTTCGAAGCTGATTATTACACTACTGTGTGTCAATCTTTTAGGATAGGGAGCTCATGTCATCAAGATCAAGAACTATGAGCAGCACAGTGAGCTCGTCGTCTCTAGTGGACACGGAAAGATCAACAACTACCTATTGTTGACAGAAATTGTGCGGCTACTAAGAGAACACCAGAATTCATCTGGGGATTTGCGATGGCAGACAAAATGTTATGAATTTACAGCTGTACTTTTGACATGGCAGCTAGGCGTTAAGCGTTAATCCATTACACAGCTGGCTATCCACATCGAGATTGCTCACCATAACCTGCCTTGCAGTTACAAAAAGATGTATGGCCGCCATTGTTCCAAGAGCAGTGCATGACAATGATCTGACGTAACTAGTAACATTATGATATGGTTATCATTTTAACAACTATTAACAGCCATTTTGTAATCGCACTATAATCATTTTGAAAGAATATTTGGATCAAATATACCTCTTATATCTTTTTTACCATCATCTCAGAGCTCTACAAAGCGATACTATAACAGAATCATTAAGTCTGACGCATTCATTCATTGCAAACGTGCGAATTGACAACTTCAGTAATGTGCATTTTGCCAAAAAAAAATAACATCACTAATTCATCTAGGAGAATTGACTTGATGATTTTGTAACTTTGGTAAATCCTCCAGAAACCATGTGACCACTTCAATCTAAATCAATGAAAAGGTAACTTAAAATCATAGCTCCGTTTTAAGATTTTGCTTAGGGTTAAGTTTAACGTTAACCTAAGCTATCGAAAACTTTCTTCAGATGTACTGAAATTCGATTACGGATGAATCTTGCATAGCAACCCACGGTCAGCCTCTAAGCATAACAAAGCCAAGATTTCTCCTCCTTTTCTCATATCTTGGTAGCTAATGCAAGGCATTCTTATATTTGAACGTTAGGTTAGTGTTTGTAATCTCAGAACGTGGTAAGGATTAACTTATTGTTATGCTTTCTCATGACGGGGATAAAAAGAGCATGGTTTTCTAGAGCCTTCATTTCCTATATCAAATATAAGAAATTATTTCATGATTCCTCGATGGAGAAAAAATGAAGAATAACAGACACCAACGATAAAAGAATCCGAACACCAGAAACTGGTGCACAAAGAAGTAGATAATATTTATACGGAAAGACATTGTTTTTATACCGCTAGAGTTACTATTATCAAAACCTATTATGCAGATTTTATGTTGACGGAAAATGTCACTTTGCTCAGCATAGCTTGAACCATCATTGTCCAGCATGCCTTATGATGCCAAATGAGATATTTAGTATTATATAAGGCTAACAATGAGGATGCCTATATCTTATTGGAGTAATTTTACCAATAAAATTGACTGCCAATGGCATCTGCTCTTCTTCAGTGATAGAAATTATCTGACCGAAACGCCGAACTTGGCGCCGTTCCTTGAAAATTCCGTTGGATAGTCACGAAAACCTGTTTACGTTTCCCTGTTTCACGTTTTGTTAGTTAAAAACGCTCAAAGCATCATTAAAAAAATAAGAGGTCTTTGTCTCAATCTCTCAGTTATTATGTCCATGTGAGTGCTCAGTTTCTTCAAACGAATAATCCGTCTTTAAATTTTTTTAGGCAATTGGTTGACTAGCCGTTGTAGCCAGGAAGGATCCTGGAACAATAAGTCCGTTCACCAGTCTACTTAATACTTTTCAAATACACATCAAAGCTTCTTTTCGCTCATTCTGCCGTTTCTCAAAAAATAAGTAAGCGCCCTGTTACGAATAAGCGCCCTCCCTCTGAGTAGCAAAAGTAGATAAGCCTCCCGGCCGCTAATACGATTTATTAAGGTACTCTAAAGCATAAGTAATAAAACGCTGCTGCGAGCTCGATTTCCGCCACAGTCTCGAGTCCAATCGTGTTCTTAAGAAGATAATGGTGGGGCGCGGGCTCTTTTCCCGCGCAGTGGTCGGTAATCGAGCCCATGTCGCTCCGGTAACTTAGATCACTCTTAGATAACTCTTACTGGGAATAGAGATACTTTCATTGGTGAAAGACAAGCCGCCCTGGCTCCAACAAGTCCGCTGGCTAGAGAAGGTAGGATTTGTAAGGGAAGTGGTTTTATACCCAAGGTAACACGGTAACAAATTTATGTATCGTAACTTGCGCAGTGCGGATATTACCATCTTTGTTTCCGGTCACAGTGGCGACTCTACACAAAATTTGGCTAATTGTAATTCTTAACTAATGGCTTTATTCTAATATTTGAAAACATCCCAAAAATATTCCTCTTTTGAAACACTTATTAACTGGCAGTTAACCCTTTGACCCCTAAGAGTGACCACCATCTAATTTTCTCCTGGTAATACCACCCCCCTCCTCCTCCAATTCACGCACAGAGTTCACGAGAGTAAAGGAAATGATCACCAACTCAAGGTTTTGATTGATAGACACATTCTCCTTGTCAGCACCCTAGAAAATGTATTAAGGACAGCATGGAGATTATGTGTACTGATGCTTGGGTGTAAATGGTTAACTGCACTCGTCTTTCTAACTGAGCAGTATTCCAACGAAGGCTAGAGCCCCGTTCAAACGGTCATGATAGTTGATATTCGATGATAATTTCAACTTTCATTCACTATCATTGATTATCACGTTTACGTTCAAACGGTGTATGATAGTTGTTGATGATGAGTTGACAAATTCACGCAGTGAGATCTCGTTGCTCTAGACACGGATGGCGCGCGTTGAGGTCAGAGATTTGGGTGGCATTTGAAATTTCAGTCAAGAAGTTGCTAGTTTAGGACACTGAAGCCTACCTGGGAATGATAAGAATGAATCACGAGCCACTCTAAGAAATTTTGGTATTTCGGTTTTTAGCCCGTTTTCAGCAAAACTGCTGGCCGAAAAACTATCATTCACACTCGAAACGTCAGCTTTTGACTCTAAACAAGGGCCAACTTACGCTATCAGATCAGTTGATAATAGTAAATTACCCTGGTATACTCTCCCACCAATGCAGCACCAGTTTCTTCAGAAACCTACCCCCTTCATTCATCATTCATTATCATCCGCTTATTCAAACGGCAAATAATGTCATCAACAATCATGTCAAATTTGGACATGTCCGAACAATATGGTAGTTAACGATGGTCGATGTAAGTGTAAGATAGTTCATGTTCAAACGCAAGTGATAGCTGAAACTATCATTAACTATCATGACCGTTCAGACGGGGCTTAATGCTCGAAACACCAGCTCTTCAACATTCGCCTGGCCGGTATTTATACCTTACAGACTTAAGCTAATATTCAACTAAAAGTTTTCACTTTCCCGCAGACACAACACAAATTTTTTTTCAGAATCTAACGATTTTGTTAATATAATCTGATCAACCTGGCGAGAGGTTTCCACTGACAATCATTCACATGCAAGTCCCCAAATTCTGGGAAACAGCTGGGTGATAAGACAGTGAGCACATTACATTCACTTGCGACAGAAAAAAAATATTTTAATGGTTCCCACAAAACAGAGGTTACATTTGTATGGCTTAAAAATAACATGTACGTTCAATTATGCTTAAAATCTGGCAAGAAACCAAATCAAGTCAAATCTCTAAATACGTTTACATAAATTAGTACATAAATACATATTGTATGCTCACTTATCACTAATGATATGCGCGAAAAACTCAAGTTAAAATCTACAGAGATTCAGCACCACGTACAGAGTTCACTTAGGAGTAAAAGATCCTGGTTTTACTGGGGCTCAGCGTCACCATCAGCAGGATTATGATTCTGGTTCTCATCAGCTCCAGGCTCGGCTGATCCGGCTTTGTCATTTCTCGGCGTCCGAGAGGCAGAACGAGAACGTGATCTAGACTTCTGAGGGGATCGCGACCGAGAACGAGAGCGAGACTTTGAATGCGACTTTGATCTAGATCTCGAGTGCCTAGGTGACTTTGAGCGAGACTTAGAGCGTGATTTGGAGCGAGACTTAGAGCGAGATCTCTTGCGTCTTGGTGAGTGAGACCGTGACCTGGTACGTGAACGTGAATTCTGGCGACGCGAGCGTGAATGAGAGCGAGACCTGGATCTAGATCTGCTTCTGGATCGTGATCGGGAACGAGATCGCGAACGCGGGCTTTCCTGTGAATTGAAGAAAATATGAAAACAAAGATAAGCAGTGGACATTACAGTCAAATACATGTATCACCAAGAATGCCCATCTTCAAGCTCCTGCAGTGTATTACAAGAAGAGATTTCTGATATCGTTACTTACGTCTATCAGCCTTATTTTTTTTCCATGCAGTTCAGTTCCGTCCAGTTTCCTCAACGCATTTTTCATGTCTCTCTTGGTTGCAAACTCTAGGGTACTAAATAAAAGACAAACCAGTTACGCACTCGATCATGGTCGGCTATTATCAGGCAACCTTTCCCGACTGTATTATTACAATGTGCTCCTCTCGCTGTTTCTCTTCAACAACAGTTGATGAGTACATACTATAATCGTCATCTACATGCTTCTAACCAAACCTCTGCAAGAGTATAGCTGCATTCAGAAAAGAACTTACCCTTCACCCTGCCTTTGCTTGTGGGCATCTCCGTATGTCACCTCACCAGCTTGACGTGCATAATCCTTCAGGTCCTGATAATAAGCGAAAATTCATGAGCTAAACCGTAATCTCGAAAAGTCCAAAATGTTGTTCACAAATAAATTTTGTTGTGCGATTCCAATCTATGAAACTTCCATGCAGCTTTCTCTTGCACCAAAAAAATTGTTGTTCCCCCTGTCGAACGGATCAACCAGCTTCATGTAGACGTTTTTCGCTTTCAAAAAGATTAACTGTCCCTGTTTTGAGTCATACCAGCCAAATACGCGAAACATTCTGCATTACCCATTTGGCCATAGAAAACGATTAGTACCATCATATTCAGTACGAGAAAATGAAATACAACAGTGAATGATTTCAAAGGGGTCCAACATCTTTGATTTACATGTACAATGAACTGGGCGCGTCATTCGTCATGGGCCAAGAAGCGTTTTTGCGTCATGCCTTTGTGAAAATCGTCTTGTCACAACTGTATACATTGACTTCTGATGGCATCAGTGCATCAAAGCCACTCATCCATCAGAGGGGAAGCTTTGAATCATCTAAGCATCTAAGCATCTGTGACTACCCTCACATCAACCCTCATCACAAGTGCATCTTGCAACTGAAAATATTTGAAGGCAATGCAGTGAATACCAGTAATACCTGCAGTTCTTAGAGCAAATGGTACTTAACCCTCTGACTATTCCCACTCCATTGCAATAAAAATACCAACATCATGAACTCCAAACTCAATATTAGATATGACTCAAACTGAGTTAAAAAAAAAGAGGAAGTCACAATTGTTGCTTTATGTATCCAGCTTTGTAAACCAAACTCAAAAAACATTATTGTTCAGTAACCAATGGAATAAGAGGGCAACAACCTTTATAACACTCATCCATCTGTCCTGCAGATAAATTTACCACCCCTTGCAGACTCATCTGAGTTGATAAGGTGAATTACAATGTACATGAATGTGCTAACAAAAAAAATAAATTCAAAATAACCCTACACAAAATCTCAAGTTTTCCACTCTAACTTGTTAAATGCCAAACTAGAATCATAGTTCAGTTTGAGGTGAAAACTAATGGGCACTTAAGACATTTCATTCACCCAATCAACTCAAAAGAATTAAAAAAAAAAAACCATCTTCTTTGATAGTTCACCTTTACTTCTCACTAACCTGCCAACTAATTCGTGTTGATAAGTTTTCAACAGTGATTCGCCATGGTGTCCTTACAGGTGGACCATATCTAACAACAAAGTAATACAAACAACCTTGGTTATATTGTTTATCATTAACTTTTCAAAAGGGTAGTGGTTGCTGATAATGATGTAAACCCATTATTATGATAGAGTATTGTGTTATGATGGGTCTCATAGCATCATCATTTTGAATGATGGACATTCTAAAGATCAAATGCAACAACAGTACCCTGCCATAAAATTGGGATGGTGAAACAAACAGCTACAAAATTGTGGTTAAACAACCTCCTAATTTTGAGAACATTTTATCCATAAAAATTATCTTACAAGTACATCTATTATTAGTTACTATCCTCAGCAAAACAGTAATGTAAATCACACAAAATTGAGTCCTTCATATGATGTGAAAAAGATGATTTCCTGTGTTACTATTTGGATTCACTTTCTTCCTTTTCTTGTTGAGATGCTGACAGCAGGCATGTATGAAAAGCTAAATTGATCTGGCTTGTTCCAAAATTTCATATATTAAAAAGTATCCTCTGAGGAAAAATGTCCTCCTTATCAGCACTGTGATTCTTAAACTTGCTTCTTTTGTTGACTTTCCTGATGACAAGTTTGCTTCTTGGAAAAGACTACTATCGTGAGAGGAAAGGGTTGGTTATGGCTACCATCTGAAAAGAACTAAACTGAACTCACTTATCTCTAGCTCTTGACTTGCGACCACTGCTAAAGCCTCTAGCAGTCCCACGAGAATGTTCCACCAGAATTCTGAATATAAAAAGGAAAGAAATCAACTTGCAAGGCACACAATCAAAATATAGACCTAATTAATTCTCTGCAGCTAAAAAATTGATACATTTTCAAGAAACTAGCAACACTTCTTTGAGTGTATCAATGAGCAATCTCTCAATGACTCAAAAAGCTCACCTTTCTCCCATCATTTCTCTACCATTGCATTCATAAACTGCATCATCTGCATCTCTCGGATCCTCAAATTCCTGAAAAAATAGGACCATTCAATAAGTTTCCTCTGAACTCCTTGGAGATTAGCTACTAAGGATCTCTGACAAAACTCTATATGCTAATGGCAGGTGTGTGTTAAATTGATGAGAATATGGCATCTCTGTGACATTTTTTTTTTACACACATTCAATTTACAAAGGATAACCACAGAGGATGTGTCATAGAAGAAGTTTAACTTTGTATTAACTCTTTGGCACAATGAGCCACTGAAATTCCATTTTAATCCATTACCTGGTTTCTCTTTTTAACTTGTAAAATACATAAAAATATGCATTGTAATATATATCATTGATGAGTTTTTCTCAAATGTGAACTACAATTGGTTCCATGGAGCTTCAGGCAAGGAGTGTGCAGAGCTAAAGGAAATTTTTCTGGTAATATTCTCCCAGTGTTGCAAAATGTTAGGCTAAAGTTGCAATAGGTCTCCTGTCTAATTAACAATCATTATTTACAATTTCCTTTGGAGTCTTGGTAGGCTATGAGAAAAAACTTAAACATTAAACTTTTCTTCCTTTGACTGAAAACATTATACATTTGCAAACTTGAAAATGTTTCAAACCACAAATTACTCTTCGTCATGGGGCCTATGCAAGTTTGTTGGTATGAACAATTTACTTGAGCCATCTGTACAAAATTTCATTTTGAATAGTGGGATTCCCTTAGCAAAACAATAAGGCAACAAAGAAATTACATTTAGGCAAAGGTCGGACCAAAATATTCAGCTCTGAAAGCATAAAAATTTATTAGGTATGACTTAGGCCAGTCATCTCAAAAGTCTCTCTTTACAACCTGACGAGCTGTAGTTTTTCAATAAAAAATCGGCTGCGATTGGTTAATGAAAACGAACAACGCGAATTTTGCCATAGCCCATCTCTACATGTGCTTCAACAAACAAACTGCGCATTCTGTTCAAACCGCATCCTCAGCATGATAATTAAAGATGAACACAAGAAAAGATTACAAATGCCTTACCACAAATCCATATCCGTTCTTTAAGTTAACTTCGCGCAGTTTTCCGTAGCTGCGAAAGAATTTATCAACGTCCTTTTCCCTCGTGCCATACGGTAGTCTTCCCAAGTAAACTCGGCAGCTCATCTTTAAAATGCCTCAAATATCAACCAAAATAGTTCAGATGGCTTTAAAAAGTTTGAGAGTTCGTTTTTGGTCGGGCAAAAGTTATCCAAAATCCAAGAGGAGTAGCGACAGTCGCGGTACTGCACACTAAACCGTCCAAGGTCCACACGTTCTCAAAATGGCGGCTGTTCAAGGATTTAGTGGCGAGTTTCGACACGTGATTTGTTGCCTGCGCAACGATTTACGTTTTATTCGCTGACCATCTATACCGAGGACTCAGCAAAAACAAACATGGCCGAATGGCAAGTGACGCCAGGTTGCTTGGCGTATTGCACGCTAGAGGAGAGAAAAGCAGACGGGAAAATACTTTATAACGAAATTTTTAAGTGGAAAATGAAACATGCTCCTAGCAAAATTCACCATTTTTCTGACGCTTCTTTAGACGAGCAAATGAGAAGGGATTTAAACTCCTGGATCAGGTAGGAGGTTGTGTCCTTGGTGTGCGCCCGGGGCGGGGAAGTGGGGGGAGGGGGGGAGAGAGGTGTGAGTGGGGGTTATTCCTTGTAAGTTTTGTAAGAGGCTATTAGGAATGTGCCGCTGAATGGGGTAGCATTGTCACGACTGGGGTGACTATAATGGAGTTGAATTTTCAATAGAGTTACTTGAAATGAGGTTGCACATTTTTTTTTTTATTTTTGGATAAGAAAATTGCGGAAAGTAAGGATTTTAGCAGGGAAGATTGGCTGTCAAAAGCTTTTAGATTTGCCGAAAAGTGACTGAGGTGGGGTCTCTAACTGGCCACAGAATGGACTATAATGGGGTAGGGGTTGTAAGAAACCAGCAGCACATACCATTTACAAATTGGCCCAAGTACCATCCTCACTCCCCCATGTTTAATCCGGCCTTTAACTTTACACATTTGACTTCCATGTATCTTTTTCTGTTAGATCTTTTCTGTGCTGGTGTTGTTCAGTTCTGTCCAAGGGCAAGGGAGACTTAAGTCATTGAATCTAAATATGATGCACCCTTCTGAAGTGAAGTTTTATTTTGTTGTTGGTCATGTTGCTAATTAACAATTCTTAAATTTAGTACATTAAATTACCATTTGTACTCGGGGTAAGTGGGTGAGTGTAGTCCTGAGAAGGTAGAGGTGACTGACATTTTGACAACCTGAGTGGAAGGCATCATCAGCATCAAGTGAATAGTTGTTGTCATCAAATGTTCTTAGTCTGGTTCGTATAAGGTGATTGGTCAAATTTTGTTGTGATGTTATTGGCTGTAAGACTCAGGTGGCCTAAGTAATTTAGTGTTAACAACTGAAAATGTAAATTGGCCATGGTAAAGGGTAAAAAAGCAGGTGTTTTGAGTGTTAGCCCTTCACCAATCGCTCTGACGAAGGGCTAACGCTTGAAACATTACCTTTTTTAACCTTTACAGTGGCCAATTTACGTTTTCAACACAGTTGTTAACACTAAATTACCTGCTATACTCTCCCACCGACACAGCACCACAGTTTCTTTAGAAACTTACCCCCTTTATTCAAGTGGTGTAAGTTGGTTGTGATTGGTCTGTTTTGATTTGTTGGTAAAGCAAGGTCGTTCTGTTTGGTTTGTTTGTAACCCTAATGTGGTGAATAAGTCGTTTTTATCAGTTAAACTTTTTTTGATGCTTATGTGTATAGTTATCATTAATTGTGCTCCAAGTGAAGGACCTTGATGTCCATCTGTTCATTTGTATAAATATGAGATTCGTATTCCATGTATAATGTAATGTATTGCAAAGTGTACTTGTTGATGAAGTTTCATATAAATAGTTATGTCAAACAAGAAAGTATCTTAAAACCTTACCATATGAGTTACACACCAAACAATTCTTGTGGTCAATCCTGGACATTCATGTAAGAAATACAAGTAAATCCATTCACTGGTATTAAATTAGTATCAATGGGATTGAGTAAAAAGAATTATTGATTATTTCATTACCAGTCCATTAACACAATCCATACTTTTTAACTTTTACAAGCACTGCTAATAAAGTTCATTTTCAATTCAGTGCAGTGGAGTTACATTAGATCAATATGTGTTTCTTTTAGAAACATAGATGAGAGGACTTCATGCCAAAGACTACAGATCTTATTTTCATTTTCCGTCCCTTGTCATGAGGCTCTTGAACATATAATGAAATTAAAAGTTCCCATCATCTCTGCAGGTGCTGTGAGTATTCGCTATTATTTTACTTTTTCTGTTATGAAACTGCAAAACAATACAAGTTATGCTGGCAATAGCCACAGATTAACACAACTTCCACGAAATTCTGGGTGGTGCTTGTCGGAGAATCTTAGATCAGTCCCTAATGGTGGTTAATGTTCTATTGTTCTGTGCTTTTTGCTGGTATTTCATTCCTTTTTTTCCAAAAATAAACCTTTTTCTATGCCCACTCAACGTTTCTGCTAAGAGATACCACGGTGTAAAATAAAAACGAAACAGTAAGGAAAAGTTTAATAATGAAGGTTTGGGCTAGTGCAGATAGTAGCCAATCGTTTCGCTAATTACCAGTTCGCTAACCTCTTAAGCCGTTTCGCCATTTTTTCAGGTAGGTTTGGTAACGTCTCATAGGTCGTTTTGCTAACTTATTACAAAATACCTCGTGATTCCTTCAGCAGAACTTGATCGACTTTTGATCGACCGAAAAAGTTTGAGGGAAGTTTAAGGTCGTTTCAAAACAAGTCGCTGCGAGACAAACTGTAGTGTATTCGATACAACGACAAAGTCGATTCGATACACGCAAAAGGTCAATTTGATTCAACTTAAATCATTTCACTTGAGTGCCACTTCGCAGAACACAAAAATAAAAAGAAAGGAGCAACTACACAATGCAGCGCCACTTTTGAAGGAACATATATCTTGTGGCTCGTTTGGCTCGGCAGTCGATAAAATAACGAGGAATACTGAAAATGCTCTTCAAGTCTTAGTCTAGGTCTTTATATATTAAGTGGCTCGTTTGGTTCAGAAGTGGATGAAAGAATGAGGAATAATGAATGAACACGTTAAGTCTTAGTGGCTCGTTTGGTTCGGCATTTTAAACAAAGGATCAAACGAGCCAAACGAGTGTGGATGGTTTTAAGTGGCCCTGTATTCTGTAGTTTACCTAAAATAGCGAAGAGAAACGTCCGTGAAATAATCTGAAACGTTTGCGAACGACTTATGAGACGTCAGAGAACTGACCTGAGACGTTAATGAAACGACCTTAGACGTTCGCGAACTGGTCGTCTGCGAAACAACTCGTGGGAGAATAGACTGCATTTCGGACAGAATTAATTCACATCTTGAGTTGTTCATTTTCGCTTGTAGGGAAATGGTTATTGGGAGTTTCTACTCCAACAGCGAGGAGCAGACATTGTGGCTTTTGATCAAAACACTGTGTATCCGACAGATATGAGATACACAGAGATCATGGTAAAATTGTTTTGTTTGTTTGTTTTCTGTGGGAGGATTAGTTTTGTTGTAGATGTCACATTTGACCCAGTATCACACACAAGGTTTTACAGGTCAAGAGCCTGCCCACACTGCCAAGTTCCTATCTTTTTCAACTGACTTGAGAATATTCATTTCCCTAGGAAGGTGACCCAAGTATTTTATGTGATTATAAAGACAGAGCTTTACTGTTGAGCTGGCCTGATCATGCAGGTAGATTTTTGTGTTACAGTTACCATATTGTCTTGATCCTCACTCAATTCCCTTCTGCTTGGCGATTCTTCTCCCCACCAGGCCTCCCTCCTTGAATCATTCACCATTACTGCTACTAGTAAGAGCCATTTTCCTTTTTTTTGACAGAGGATTGTTCATTTTCACTGGACTGTCTCAAATACTACAGCGGAAAAACTATCATTCACATCGGCGAACTCTTTGGCGAAACACTCTCCTCAAATCCCTGGGGTCAAACTACCTCACGTGCTTTCCAACTTCGACTCGGGGAAACTTTTCGCTGCGTGTCACGTGTTCAGCTTCCAAACTGGCCTGGTCACATGGATTCATTAACAGTTTGGTCACGTGCTCCAGATGTCGTTGACTGTGACGGAGCTGATATGGTGTTTATTCCTTTGGAGAACACGAGATACTTTGGGTGGAGTGGCAATTGATGATATTTGCACTTCCTCATTACTAGATTGCACGCCCCTGCTCATCATCTGGCTACGAATTCATAAAAATATGGAAAGAGTTTTCTAGCACTGGACTTCACAGAGGCCTTGTCAATAAAATGTGTGGTCTCGGACATAGTTTGATGCTACTCTGGTTTAAAGATTTAATGAATGTAACCGAAGAAGTTACAATTCATAGACCCAACATTGTGGTCTCATCAAGGCAGTGGTGGTAAACAAACAAGAATGGAAGGAAGTGTAGAACTCGAAGCGTTGGCACTGTTATGGGCGATGAGTGATTTACATGACGAAGATTTGTTATTATTTCGTAAGAAGATGTAAATTATTTTCTCACGAAAAGGATGTTGACAAACCCGTTTCAGAAAAAAAACGTAGTAAAGGAAGACAACAGAGCCGGTAAATCTTTATCGGATTCTTTATTAGCTCTAACCTAAAAAAATTAAAATTACTGTAGCAGAGAGAGCGTGTCACAAGAATTTGCGGATGTAAACATTTTTCCATGTCCTCAAAAAACTGATTGATCAGTCCACGACAGGGGAACTAATTGTGCACACTATTTGTCTCAGCTTCGTGAAGCTGAAAAGCGGTCAAAATGAGCAGGTGTTATTGTAGTGATTAAAACTATAGTTGAGACTATCAAAACTGAAGTTCATCGATTTTTTAAGAGTAATTTGAAAAGACGATCCATTTGAACCATTGGACAATAAGGCAAATTCCCCGAAAATGTTACTGTTACTCAGGTGTTCTGATATGCCTGATTCATTATTCAGAACCTTCCGGATAACTTCCACATAATTGTATTACCATGTTGTATTACTATGTACATATTTGATATTGATGTTAAAACTCGGAAAACCGTGAACACCAGATATATTTATGGAATGTTTTAGTGTGTCGAGGGAAAAACCAACAGTGGGTGAGCAAACTAAACCGCAAAAGCAACAGTTGTTTGTTTTGTGGTTTCGAGGTTTTCTCGCATTTCCCTAGACAACCGACTTATAAGAAGCTGATCACAGTGTTCACGGTTTTCTGAGTCTCGCATTGAACAAGACGGACTCTTATTTGGGGAACACCGCGCTTCGGTTTCAAACGGAAAGGACTACCATCATGACTTACCAATATTTGCATAGTAAGAGTACTCTCACGTAATAATCCTTCGATCAAAAGCTGGGTTTTTTATACAAAAGGAAAGTTTAGACGGCTCTTGTGAAGAAAACGTCATCCGAGACTCCTTAAGTCCCATACCCAAGCAGGGACGATGTGTCACGGAATGACTCGCTGATCAGTAACGTTTGAAACCTTTGCACATGGTTAAATGTGATCCCAGTTACATTCGCCAAATATGGCAGATCAATGGCAAACCTTTCCATTTTTTTGACTACTTTTGAGCGCGACAATGATGTAACGGACAGATTGTCGTTTACTGAATACTTTCGCGTGCATTCTAATTCACTAATGCATAAGAATCGTCTATTTTATTATATGGTGACGATGCATTATTCACGAGTTCTTATAACTGACAAGTCACATGTTTTCCTCCATCAGAGGTCTTACTGCGCGAAAAGTGCTGCTCTTTTTAAGATTTCCTCTTTTCGGCGACTTCACCCAGGCAGATCCAGGACTCCACGAAGGGGAACGAGCCAACATCGATGAACGACGGCTCGGGCTCGACAGTCGGGATAGCTCGGAAATGACCGACATGCTTTCTTCATCGTCCTCGGGTTGGAAGACACTTGCAGGAGCTGCATTACCTTGGAAACATAGCATCTCCACTTGTTCGTGTAACGTGGAAGCGAGGTACACTGCACCAGGAGAGACCGCTGGACCAAGGACTCGTGGATTTTGAATTTCCATAAACTTGTGCACGTACCGACTACAATAAAACGAGAAAAAAGTGAAAAAGTGAAACGTTGAAATTATTACAAATAAGTAAGGAAGATTAAGTGCAAAGGTACCTGGGATTTTCGGCGTTGATCGGTGGGATTTCACAAACGTCAATTGAATTAAAATGAGTGACAAACAGGAATGGCTCACTGTATGCTGTACAAAACAAGAAGGAAACAAAAGTCAAGTTAGCGACCTTTACATACTACAGACTTTTTTGAAAGAACTTGGCGCGTGGGTCGCCATTAGCTCATCCCAGAGGACCAGAAAGGTGAGCAACGTTACTGTGTAAATTACCATAGGGACATTTCCACAAAGTGAAAGCTTGCTTAATAGCTAATCAAATTCAGCCTTAACCAAAGTCTCTCTCTCTGACTGCTGATCAAGGGAACGAGGACTATGGCTTAGAACGATACTGGTGCATGCTAGTATGAATCAATCACACCCACATAAACTGAGCCCTTGATTCCACGGTTAAACATGGCTGGAATCAGTTTAGGCAAAATTATAGACATTTTAGAAGAATTGTGCCAACGGATCGACAATTTCAAATGATGTTAGCAATACAAGCACGCGATCTGTGAATTTGGGTAAGCTGTCCCATTTGCAGACAATAATAACACTGATTCTTCATGTTGCGCTGCTTTCTGGTGTTCCATGTGCGCGTGAATCTCAAGGCCATAGTACATCAGAATAAATTAATGGGCCGTCTCTATGGCAGAAATGGAAAAAGGGGAATAGTAGTGAAGCATTTTTCAAATGATATCATCAAACTCACCGAAAGCAAGCGGCAGTCTGCTCCACATCAAAGGTTTTGGCCTGCTGTGAGAACCAAAGCTGTTCACAAACACTCCAAACTCTGGGACAAAGGGGAAAATCGAGATTAGTGAATAGATTTGAACCTTTCTAAAAGTTTCTCACGAATCAAATGATACACTGCACATGCGTGCGATCCATTTTTGATTCAATTCGATGGACATTTCTCACCGTTAAAACAAAGTAACAATTCTTCTTGGTCTGAACCAGCAGAAGTGACATCGAGAACGGCGATTGGAAATATGTTCAGTTGAGCAGCTCCATAAACTGCGAAGGCCAATGAAGGGTCTCTGCAGTCCAGAAATTCTGAAAGGAAATATTTAGTTTTTTGAGTAAAAAAGTGCTCTTTCTTTTTTCAAGTCTTGAAACTGGTAAATCTGCGCTATATAATTCAATTTCTTTTCCAAACCTTTTACAACGTGTTGCTTTATGTCCAGAATGTAGAACTTCCCAGTACCATAGATTACGTTATTCTCACTGAAATGGATGCAGTTACATGGCTCGCTTGTCTCGATCTCCTGCAAAGAAAAACAGGTCTGCATTGAACCCAAAAAAAAAAAAACCATATGAAGTTCAAGTCTAACTAGCTCTTATGAGCATGAGCATCACTCAGAGTCCGGCTTTTTGTTTTGGGGTTTAAGCCCCCTCACCATAGAGCGAGCACTGGCTTTTTCTCGGAATAGAAGCAGGTTATCCAGCTTCAAATGAGGTCGAAGTGTCTTAAAAGAGCTTTTCAATTGCTGATTGGCAAAGATGTAAGACTTCAGCCAAAAGAAAGGTTATTTTCCTTACCTTGCGGGTACAAAATGTCCCAATGCTTGCATTGTATCGCAACAGTAGAATGCTTTTGGGAGTTGCAGCGCAAATGTAGAAGTTACCCTCGCACTGAAAGAGTGGAAAAAGTTATTCATATAGAGCAACGTGAATTTTCGAGAGATTTTCCGCAGAAGTTTAAGTTACAATATCGTTTATGACTAAGACAATCAAACAAACAGGAAGAAAGCTATAGAAAACAGAAGCCGGAACATTATTGATTGTGTTATGGTCATCATCAACACATAATTGCAACAACAATGGAATAAACAGTCATAAACACAATTTATCTTTAATGCCTTGAATTTAGCATGGTGAATCTAATTACCGGTTGTTTTCAATATAATTCTGCAAAGTTAAAATATACGTTAAGTTGATTCAAAACCTTTTACCTTTACTTAAAACAGAAATCAAAACAGTTGATCTGCGAGAACACAAACCTGCCCAACAGCAAACAAATGGCAATTGGTGATTTTTTCAATTCCCTGGGAAGTCAGCTCTAATGTTGGCACAGTAGAGTTAGAATGTCGCGCGCGGCTTGTGACTTGCTTAAGATCAACACTACACAGCTGTCTGTCTTTTCCTGAAAAAGGACACCTCATCAGTCAAGAAAGGAAAGCGATCTGGCTTGAGACTGTGAACATATACCGAAGTGAAAATACTAGATAATATCTCTCAATGTCTTGAGCTCATAGGACAACTTATTGCACATCGAGGACTCCACAGTACACGATATAACCATAAAACCTAGAGATTTTGTCGTGGTCTTATTCCTTTTCAAATTTAAAAGACAAAAGCTTGATAAATTTTTACAAGAATAATGAACTTTCCTTGACCTTCACTGATTAGCTCCAAATGACTATACAAACCTTCGAATAATATGTTTACAACAAAAAGACCTTAAAATAAGAAGGACAGGTTGTGTATACTTTTCATTTTACCTGCAATCATGATAACTTGGTTCAAGTCACTCAAGATATCGATCTGAAACGCTCTCTCGATTCCAGGGATGGCTCGAGGCGAGTGTTTTCCTGGAGCGTCAAGCGACAGAGAAAAGAGACCTTCTTCGGCGCCAAGGAGAACCAACTAAAAGCAAAGAGAACGTGGAGGAAAAGCAAATAAAACTAACGAAAAAGTGGAGAGTAACTTATTGCGATAACTTTCCTAGTCGAAATGGCTGCGAGGAAAGACTTCGGGTACCATCTAAATTTATTATTACCGTAACGAAAGATACCAGGCGATAGATGGTGCATAAATTCCAGGCCGAGCGTCAGTGACTTCTAATGTTGTAACCATCGCGTCCACGAGTTTCATTAACAATACTCCCGAAAGTCTATGATTCGTACCTCATCATTAAGTAGTTTTGTGCAGTTAATATCAAGACGCTCGCCCTCCTCCAAATGTAGTAACACGTTACCCATGAGCTTCTGCAAAGAAAATCAAAACCACGTCAGGGAAAGGTTGCTCTGTACATAATACGAACAATAGAAAGTGTTTGTAACCTGATCCTCGCCGTTGATATTCTTCTTCTTAATCTCATCCAAGACGAACTCCAAAGAGGTGACCCATTTCTGTTTGACTGGGAATGAAGGCGCTAAGATGTAAAGATTCTGAACGGGCCAACATCTCTGGCGCGACTCCACCCTTAGTATGTAGGGCAGATCCGTAGGGGCGGTACCTATCAATTCTGATGACATGACAGCGGAATGAACGGTGACGTGACCATCTTTGCCACATAAGTGTAGTACTTCGGATGGTGACGAATTTTCTGAAAAAGAGAAACGTAAGAGTTTTATCATTACAGTAGACACCTTGAAGAATTGGAGGATTTCGAAATACTGTCTCACCGCCCATGTTTTCTTTGTCGTAAAGCTGCAGCATTTGATCGGCAAGGACGACCCACTTCTTCTCCCATCCATGCTTCACAGAACCGCAACTGTAAAAAGATGCAAAGTTGTTTGTTACCACTAAAGTGGATAATCAAAACTTAACACAAAATTTTCCTTTGCTTTTTCTATCAAA